AAAAATCGAGTTACTTGATAATATAAGCAAATTATTTCTATAAAACAGATAATTATGAACAAAGAACAAAAAAAAATAATCAACATCACACATCAGAGTATCGTTGAAAATATTTTTCTTTTCTTTCTCTCTCTCTCTCGCTCTCTCTCTATGTATATGGACAAATAAGAAAGAAAAAAATAAAGTCTTCTGTATTCTACTTTCTTAAATTTCGTTGTGCTTTAAAAAGAAAAGATATAGTAAAAGTTTAATGTAAAAGAGAAACTTTTTCTGAATCACTTCCTTGATGTCGAGAACCATTTCTATCATCATTAGCTTGATAAATTCTATGCGATACTTGATGTGGTGGTGAGGATGGTGATAAATTTTGATAGCGCATAGCTGGAGACATTTTTTTTGAACCACGAAATGCTTTAAAATAAGCATTACGTACTAAACGTTTTGTAACAGCATGTGTTATGTCACGATAGTCAGAATAATCAGGTTCATTGAGTATTGTCTCCCATTCATTATATTCAGGACCATGATCTTTGTCATTATTTACACCAAATTGACTTTTATCATGATCTTGTTGACCTGCTTGTGCTCGTTGACTTGCTTGATACTGTCGTTCAGTATCTTCCAATTGTCGTTGATAAAAATATGTAAAATTAGATACTATTATAGGTACAGGTAATGCAATTGTTAATACACCGGTTAATGCACATATTGCACCGATAACTTTACCTAAATTTGTTCTTGGTACATAATCACCATAACCTACAGTTGTCATTGTAATAATTGCAAACCAAAATGAATGAGGTATGGATAAAAATTGATTTGTACTTTGTGTTGTTGTAGGTTGATTTACATCAACATCTGAAAGACTACTCATAGATGATGGTAGATATGATACTGTTGTTACTGATGATGTTGTTAATGTAGAAGGTGAAGGTTTTAATGGTGTTACATGTGTATAATCAGCTTCAACAAAATACATAAACGATGAGAAAACAACAACAATAATAAAAAGAAAAAACATTAATAGCAGTAATTCTTTCCATGATGCTAAAAAGGTTAAGGCAAGCACTTGTAAACCCTAGAAAATAAAAGAGAAATAACAATTTTAACTGTCAATCAAATAACTAGAAAAATCACAAACAGATGTTTTATCATATATTCAAATGTTTTATTTACCTTGAAATGTCTTGATAATTTAAATATTCTAAAGACACGTACAAGTCGTATAATTCTTAACACTGTTAATGTCGATGAAAAGCCTGATACTCCACTATCTTTGTTCTGATAGATTAAACCAATTAATTGTAAAAAATATGGTATTATAGATACAACATCAATAATATTCGGTCCATTTTTAATAAAAGCAAATTTGGACGGTGCTACAAAAAATCGACATATCAGTTCTAAACAAAACCATGTTACACATATTGTTTCAATAATAAAAAATAGCCAAAACATTTTTGTTTCACCGCCCGGTAGAATTTCTTGTTCATTGGTTATATTATTCATTACTGTTATGGATGGTGCTGTCATTTCATTACGTATTGATGGAAGTGTTTCAATGATAAATGATGCTATTGATACAATAATCATAACAATTGATATAATTGCAATGACGCGTGCCACATTTGATGATTCAGGACATTCAAAAGCTTCCCATACTTTACGTTGTATATGATTGACAGGTCTTTCAACAGGAATTTCTTCAACATAACCTTCTTGTTTACGATATCGTTTAAGAACTTCATCGCCTGAATGAAAAAAAACCGAGAAGACTATTTTAATGAATCGTATAAATAGATTATAAAGATTCTCAATATCCGCTTTTCTACATCTAGAAAAAATTTGATTAGGTTATATTATTTCCGATTTTGTTTTAGATTATATTGGCTAATAAATAGCGGAAAACGTGATTACTAGATAACGAGAGTTAGCAATTCTATACAGTTATGTTTTATTATATTATTCTTAGAAGTATATAATTTAAATTTTTTTTCTGAACATAAAAATAATTAAATTTTGTTTATTACATATATCAAAGTATTCTTTATTTTATTACAATTAATCAATTAAGAGTTCAATGATATAATTTTTTTTGACTTAAGTTTTCTCATTATAGATAATATGTAAAGAGAAATAGAATCTTATTTCTTTAGATAAGCTCTTTTTGTCATTTCAAATTAGTATTTTCTGTACTAACTCTCTGAGCTTCAAGTACTTTCTATCGGATAGTAATACGACTCCTTCTCATCAATATGTATATTCAATAAAAGAATCTATAATAAGATTCCTATCAAAAAGATAGAATTAAATTAAGTTCATTGTATGTTATACATATGTTAAAGTATGACAGATTTTTTTTGTAGAATATAAGATTAGTTCTAATGAAAAGAAATTTGCCTTCTACTTCAAATATGTATATATATATATGAACATACCAAGATCGAAAAATTTAATTTCTTCCAAGAAAATTTCTGCCGAAATACTTTCTGGTCGTGTTAAACGTCCACCACTTTGATAAAAATAAAGAATAGCTTCGAATGATGAACGATGTCGTTCAAAAAAATATTCATTATTCATATAATCGAAATAATCAGCACGTCGTAGTTTATCACCAAGTAATGTACGTGGAAAACGTTGTAAAGTTGATGCACGACTTTCAAAACGTAAGCCACTAACATTTATTATTATTTTATCATATGGTTCACTTTCTGATGAACAACGACTAGAATTATAACGTTCTAGGCGTGTTGATGATTTTCTTTGTTTGTCATTTTGTTTTTGATTATTTTTATTGTTATTTGTCATTGACAGGTGTGGTTGCATTAAATACCATTCTTCTGCTGCTGTAGATGAATAACACCCACTATCACGAGTTGACGAGGATAGTAATGGAGTAATCTGGCATTCATCAATTGGATTATTAATCAAATGTGCAATTGCTGTCGTTGATGATGGCACGATATCAGATAAAACTGATGATTTATAAATTTCTCCGTTACCTATTTGATCAATATCCATATGATTGTTTTATCATAATAGAAATTCAATATCTAGTTTGAATAACTAAAAAAGGATAGAATCAATTAAGTATGTATTTGATTGTTTTGATAGAAATAAGACACTATATATTTCCTTGATGGCTTATTTTTCTTCTTTTTTAATACAGTCAATTTATTCACTAGAGATATTCTTTTTTTTTGTCATCGATTTAATATAAAATATTTGATCAGGCGTAGAGAACTTTTTTTTTTGTTCATTGTTTGACTTTTTTTTATTGCATTCATATAGCTATTTATCAAGAAAGAAAAAACGACACTCAATAAAAGAAATAAAAACACATCCTCCTCCTCATCAATAAAAGTGCCGCTTAGTTTTTTCTCTCTAAATAATATGCAGTAATGCGTGATTTCAACACGCATGCCTATTATCTCAGACACATTAGCACACTATTACTAGATAATTTATATTCACAGTAAAACAGAAAAATAAAATAGTTATTTTTCTTTCCTTTTATTTCAAGTGTTTCCCTACTCCTATAATTATATAATAATTATCAATGCATGCGAACGTACTATCAAGAAATATTAGTACGAACAGTATAAAAATTAGATCTATATATCAAAAAAAAAGAACAAATATACTGTTATTGCATGTCAAAATGAAATCAGTGTGTTATTTAATGACAAATTACCAGAGACATATAGAAATATTCTCTATCCTTTTCCCGACAGTTTGTATTGAATTAGTTTTTGACACGTATCTATCTTAAAATAAATTCGCTTCGCACTTTTTATTGGCCATAGAAAAATAATCCATTATATTTACTTATCTTTTGCTAGTCATGTGTTCACCCTTAAGGAACAGTTCCCGTTATCGTTTTCTTCTCTTTCTCTCTTCCTATTTCTACATTATCCAAATGTCTATTTTCATTTAGAACTAATACAACAGTAACAAAAGAAAGAAAAAGGAACTGAGTCCGAAATTCAATTATAGACGATCGATTGAAACTTTCTAAATAGCTAAAAACTTCTTGATAACACTTATTCTTAATACCAAAATGCGGATCGAGACGATGTTCTCCTCACACCATAAGCAGCATTATAACAATCGATCGGATTGTTTTCAAAGGGTTGTTTCTATAATATAAGTAAGAAAGTAAACAAGGTTATCAAAGCACAATAACAATAAATGTACTTAATGAATAATATACTCACTACATTCAGATAAAGAATAATGAATGATACTGCGTATATTTTTCTTGTCATCGTTATTATCGATATGGGAATTGAAAATAAATGTCAGTCTTGCCTTGTTTTTTTCGAAAATGATTTAATCGACATAGACAGTTAGCGAAATTTTTTGACTCGATTTATTCGCTCATAAAACTTAATTTCCGGTATACGGCAAAGAATTTTTATTCCTGCAGACGATGCCATTTTATTACTAATGAAGAAGCTCTAATGGCTCTTTTATTAATCTCTTTAGTGATTAATTATAGAAAAAGATGAAAGAACCTATCATCGGAATAGTAGCCTTTTTTTCTCATCCTCCATGTAAACAATGAATAATTATTATAACGTCAGCAAACGACTAGTTTATTCTAGTGTAAACATTAGAAGTTTGTTCTCTCATAAATAAATCTTGTTAATAAGAAGCCAGTTTGTTACTTACCATAGCAATTTGATGAAAGAACAGGTGTATTCTATTGTTTGCCGTAAAAGACAACGTCAGCCCGTTGTTATTATTGTTGTTGTTATCGAAAACAGCTAATAGTTAGTTCTAGGAAAAAAAAATATTAAAGGCGAGAAATGCAGAATCTGAATGCCATGCGACTGAGTTAAGAGAAAGCGATGTTGTCGTCTACTATCGTATAAGAAAGAACGATAGAGAGACAGAGAGAGAGAAAAAAAATAGAAGAATTGGAAATACAAATATTTATTATTCTATACAGATATTTTTTTTTTGCGATCTTCCTTCTCTTTTAACCGTCATCTCCAAATTCATTGTCTGTTCCTCCTCGAGAACGGCATAAAAAATATTTTGTGCATGCTTTTCTCTCTAACGTCTGATTACCTCTCTTAGACTGATGAAATGCAAAAGCGCGTCTGTATGTTCTATGATAGTTATATTAGTAGTTAGTTGAAAAACAGAGAAGAGTGAGAGAAGAGAGACAAAGACATAGAGATAGAGAGAGAGAGAGAGAGAGAGAGAAAGAAAATAAGAGAACAGTAGAAGCATGTGCATGTGTTCGTTTGCAATCGTTAGTAATGTGACACGATGCGTGCGAAGCACTAATCTCTTTTGCACTACAATGACAAGTTTTCTCATGTGAATGTTATTCTTTTCTATTATTAAAAAAAATTGTGTCAAATATTTATACTTAGAAGTCTAAATAGTCTTAAACTGTCTTTACATCAAAAGAGTACTTTTTTTTTCTTCTTAAGTATATTCAAGTAAAAAAGAAATCTTTTTTTCAAGACTCTCGAATGATATTCTCTTTTTTTTGTGATTCAATTCATATAAAATCTTTCATAGAAACTCAAGTATAGTTATGTACAATTAAATGAGTTCTATTCATATATCACCATTGTTTGTATATATTTCTATGGTATTCTTTAATACAATTTTTGCTAATCGATAACAAGAACAATTAAATAATTATTTATAATTGAAGATATTCATTTAAGGCTTGATTAGATTGATAAATAAATGTTTTAGCTTATATGTCATGAAGACATTGTGTTAAATGAAATGTCTTTATTAGCGTGTCAATAACATTAGAAACAAATTTATTAATAAATTATGTTAACGTCAAAAACATATATTCACATATTTTATCTTAACATCTGCTAAAGTTATTATAAGTTGATACATATAATATAACGATGAAAGTCAATACAAGATAAATATTACTTATTATTAACTTTATTAGATAAGAGAAGAGAAAAACAAAAGCAGATTTTTGTTTCAAGTAGAATATCATCAGTAATAGATTCTAGAAAATTTGATTAAAAAACAGGAATAATTTGAATCTTAATTTCCAAATGATATTTCAATGACGTAATTATAATAACAAACTGATAATAAATGGAATTATGAGCATCTCTCGAAATATGATAAAATATAATTATTTTCTATTGAAAGAATAGATGTTTGACATTCCTATCAATAAGAAAAATATTTTTTTACCATAATGACAATATATATAATTATAAATCTATTTACGTATGTTCTCTAGCGATATCTATCTTTCATAGTTCTTTATTGACCTATTATAAAGCTCGAATAGATAAACGATTGTCAAAAGTGTTATTTCATAGATGTTAATGTAATAATATTTACTTGAGAAAATGGCAGGACGAGGTTGTGGTCAACGTGGTGATAATGGTTGGAGCGAATGGGGTGGCTATATGGCTGTAAGTTTTAATAAATTATCTTTAAAAAAAATTTTTTTATATTAAAATTAAGGCAAAAAAACGTAAATTAGAAGAACAATTTGATAAAGATTGTTCAAATAATGCTAAACAACTTGAACGAAAAAGTAATATATTTCATGGAATTTCTATATTTGTTGATGGACATACTGGTATAATAAAAAAAACGAAATTTTTTAATATCATCTAATAATTTAATTTCATATATTAGAACCTCCAGCTGATGAATTAAAAAAATTAATGATGGAACATGGTGGTGTTTATCATGCATATTATTCCAAAGATAAAGTAACTTATTTTATATCAAATAATTTACCATATGCAAAAATACGTAAACTTAAACCGAATGATAAAGTTGTTCGCTCACAATGGATAACTGATAGGTAATTGATAAGATTACATTAAAAATCTTTATCTATTGAATTTTATAGTATAAAACAAAATAAACTTTTACCAACATATGATTATGAAATGTATAAAGATATAACAAAATCTCGTGGACAAACTGAACTTAATTTTAAACGTACTGAACCAATGAGACCAATAACATCTGATTTTAATGTTCCAAATAGTGATGAAGAAGAAAATAATTCTATAGAAAAATCTTCATCATCATCAGAAACTGAAGATATTCAAGCAGAAGAGGATGATCATTTATCAGCACTTGATGCAAAACATCCGAAATTTTTAGAAACATTTCTTAAACGTTCACGTTTACATTATTTATCATCAACAGCTGTTGCAAAAAAAGTTTATGTACAAGATTTACGTCAAAAGCTTGAACATCGTCAACTAATTGAAAAACGACGTGAAGAATTAAAAAATAATATTCAAAGAAGTGAACGTGATTATTTATTTAAATTAAATGATGAAAAAAAAGATAAAATTTATATGCATATTGATATGGATTGTTTTTTTGTATCTGTCGCAACAAGAAATCAACCAGAATTAAGAGATCAACCTATTGCAATAACACATTCAAAAGGAAAAAAATCTACAACAACTGTATGTATTTTCTTATAAAAAGAAAATATGAAATTTTATTCATCCATTTAAATAGAATGAACATCAATTTTATTCTCGATCAGAACTTGCATCTTGTAATTATGCTGCTCGACAATATGGTATTAAAAATGGAATGTATTTAGGTATAATAGTAAGCCATTGCAATTCTATTTCTATATTTATATTTATATTAAAGGTAAAGCACAAGAATTATGTCGAAATCATCAAGCTAAACTTCTATGTTTACCATATGATTATGAAGGTTTTCATGAAGTATCTGATCGTTTTTATGATATAATACTTAGTTATACACTTGATGTTGAAGCTGTATCATGTGATGAAATGTATATTGATTTAACTGAATTAATTCTTTATCTTAAACCACTTCATCCATTAACATTTGTTTCCTTATTACGTGAAGAGATACAATTAAATACCAAATGTCCATGTTCAGCTGGATTAGCATCAAATATGCTTTTAGCTCGTTTAGCAACACGACAAGCTAAACCAAATGGACAATGTTATATTGAAAAAGGTTATGAACAAGAATTTATATCAAAACAAAAAATTATTGATTTACCAGGTATTGGTTCGTCAATATTAGATAAATTACAACAAACATCTCTACACAAGTCTATTGAAACATGTAAACATGTACAAAATTTATTTTCTCTAGAAAAATTAAAATCTGTTTTGGGTACAAAACAAGGACAAACTATTTATGATATGACACGAGGTAATGATATACGAACACTAGCAAAAGATTATTCACCAAAATCTATATCTATTGATATTAATTATGGAATAAGATTTCAAACATTTGACGAATTAAATTTATTTATTAAACAATTAGCAACGGAATTACAGAAACGTTTACAACAAGCGAAACAAAAAGGCAAACAATTAACAGTTAAAATACGTGTAAGATCTGTAAATGCACCGATTGTAACCGAAAAATTTATGGGTTGTGGAAAAACTGATGATTCAAGTCGATTAGTTAATCTTCATTCATTTACAGATGATCTAACAATTATCGAATTAGAAACTATTAAATTATTAAAACAAATGAATTTTGTTGTTTCGGATTTACGTGGAGTAAGAGAAAATATCATTCAATTTTGTTTACTAAAATTTATATTTAGATTGGTATAACAATAACACAATTGCAATCAACAATTAAAAATAGTCATGGTAAAGATATGCATGGAACTCGAACTTTATTCGATTGTAATCAATTTCGAGTACCTAAACTTACAATAACAACAGATGATATTCAAAATATAGATGAACCTAGTGAAAGTTCTGTAACAAGAAAACGTCCTATACAACAAGATCAAACAACATCAGTTGTTCCAAAAAAGTAAGACTGTAATTTACTACTATAATGAATGAGATAGTCTAAAAAAGACTTACCATAATGTTCTTTGATCTAAGACAACAGATCTATATAAAATGGCAACTAAAGCTAATTATCATGTCTGTGAAAAGTATTTATACTCAGATAAAGATTATGTTTCTGTTAAAAGAATTGTCTATTACCAACGTATTATTCTTATCTAACTGAGATCAATGCTATTATCTCAAATAGTTATTTTCAAAAATTTTTTTTCTTTATTTAGATTAACACGACATGATTGTTATACTCCAGGACAAATTGATCCTCGTGTAATGAATGAACTTCCAGCTGAAATTCGTCAAGAAGTTGAAGAACATCTTAAAAATCCTCCAACAACACTTGGCATCAATTCAGAATTACATCAAATTAATATTGCTGAAAAATCATTTACTCAAGTAATGGATCATTTAGATGAAGCTGTTCTTAATGAACTCCCACCTGAAATGCGTCGTGAAATAACAATTGCACAAAAATTACGAAAAATTGAATCAAAATATCCACCAGTCGGTGGAAAACGACTTGTATCTGCTCCTGTTTCTTCCACTTTGATAAATAAAGAAAAAAGTAATGCATTTAATGTTCTAATGAATTCTCCACAAAAACAACCAATACCAAAGAAAACAACGAATCCAATTAAAAAATGGCATACAGAAACAATTCTTAATGAAGAAAATACTGTTCCTATTCCTCTCAATGAAAAAAAACTTAATACAAATCAACAACAACAACAACAACAACCAAGTATTGCTGGTTGTACATCATTAAATGATGTTAAATTAATGTTACGTGAATGGATTGAATCAAGTGATGAACCAAATCAAATAGATCTTGATCTATTTCAAAATTATCTATTCGATTTATTAAATTCTTATAATGCAGAAATGGTTCATCAATTATTAATCTATGGTTTATTACAATTAAAAACATTAACAAAAACAATTTGGACTGACAATTTTCAAATTCTAATCGATTCTGTACAAACACGTTTTCGTCAAATGTATGGTGGTGCAACCATGGATCTTTCATAATTAAGATTATAAAATAAAACCTATTTTTGTGAAAAAAATGTTTTTTCTTTTTGGATTAAATAAATATTCTATATCTCCGTATGCGAGACTATAATAAATAATCTATATCTTTTGTATTTTCTATATATTTAATAGAAGAAACAATTTAAAATGAAACTCAAAGAATTAGAGTCTCATTTAAGTAATGTTGAAAATTTTTCCAATGCTAAAGAATATCTTGAACAATATATGACAACACCACATCTTGGTAATATTATAAAATTCTTCTTAAAAAAATATCAAATTTCTCTTGGTTTTAGCTGCTCGAATGATTTATACAGCTCAAACGCAATATGAAGATATTGAAAATAATTTATTAATTGATTTAGGTATTGGTACAGGTATGCTATCAATAGCATCATGTCTTCTTAATGCTGATCATGTATTTGGTTTTGATTGTGATCCTGATGCATTAAAATTATGTCAATCAAATATAGAAGAATTTGAACTTGAATCAAATATTGATTTAATTCAAGCTGATTTACGACGTATTCGTTTACCTATTGATTTACAACGTATTAAAGCGGATACAATTATTATGAATCCACCATTTGGTACAAAACCATTTTCCATTGCAAATGAAGATCAAGATGAATTTTGTTTAGGTGGTATTGATATGCATTTTTTACAACATGCAAGACAAATAGCACAACATTCGATTTATAGCCTTCATAAAACAAGTACAAGAGATCATATTTATAAAAAAGCAAAAGATTGGAATATGAAAATGGATGTTTTAGCTGTTTTACAATTTGATATTGCAAAATTAGAAAAAAAACGACCAAATCGTAAAACAACAACAACTGCTAATAGTGCACCATTAAAAGCTATTGAAGTAGATCTTATTCGTTTTGAAATTAAAGATAATATGGATAGTTGATATAAAAAAATATTGTTTTTTTTTATATTTTCAAAATATCATTGTTATCGAAATAAATTTCATTGAGAAAAAAAAAATAAACTATTCAAATAAGAGATGCCACTCGATATCGGTAGAAAGCAAAAAATAACTCTTTCTTATTGTCAAATGATTATTGGGTAAAACCAATTGATATCAAGATCTATCGTCCATATTTTTCCTCATATTACTCAAGCATCGACTCACTCATCTTTGTTTGTATATACATATATACATATATATATATATATCTATATGTACGGAACGTAGGTTAGAGGATATATTTCTACTATTTCTTTCTGTTCTGTTCCCTTTCTATTACTCGTTATGTATGAGGGAATATGGAAGAAAAAAAAAGAAAGATATACAATCCTCCTACATAACCCGTCCGTCCTTTTATCGATTTGTTGGATTAACAGAAAGTTAGTTTGCTTTACTCCGTTGTCTATCTATGTCAAACCTCATCGTTGTTTATATTCTTATGTTTATTTGCTAAAGTAAAAAGTAATATGAAGTATTTTTGAATATAAATATTTTTAGACATATTCTTCCTATAATATACTTCGTTGTTTATTCTTGAGTATACTATGAATTCACCAATGAGAATTCATCTCGAACGTGAAGCAACTGATCGACCATGGGGCTTTCGTCTTCAAGGTTAGAAATTTGTTTAGATTTATTTTCGTTTTTTTTTATTAATCTTCTTCTTTTTCCTTTTCTTTATATATATTTAGGTGGTAGTGATTTTTCTATCCCATTGTCGATCCAGCTGGTATGGATATGTCTAAAAGACAAAGAAAAGATTTTGACCTTTTTTTCTTATTACTGATATGTTTTTCTAACCAAGGTTAATCCGGATACGCCTGCTCATGCATATGGTTTAAACGCTGGTGATCAAGTTATATCAATTAATGGTCGAGATGTAACTCGTATTAGTCACCAAGAAGCTAAAATGGAAATAACTCGTGCAGGAAATGATCTTGACTTAACTGTTATTAAGTATAAATTTATTTACATATAAATTTTTTTTTATAATTTTCATTTTCTAGAGGAGTAGTTAATCAACAATCCATAGCAAGTCCACAATCAATGTCTCAACTAAAAACAGGTCCTATACATCAAATGCCAACACCACAAGTTGTTAAACCTAATTTTGCACAATCAAGCGAAGTATAATTTTAAATAACAAACTATTATTTAGTTTTAATATTCAATTTTTTATTTAGCCCCAAACTCATATTGGTAGTAGCCATAATCGAGCAGCTATGCCATTTGATGCACGAGTTGGAAATGAAATGACTTATCAAGCAGCAAAACCAAGTAATTGGCAACCTGGTATGGATTACATTTGATTTATTTAAAAAGAAGAAAAAAAACTTCTTCTTTGCTTATTTTAGGAGATTATACACAAGAAGAACCTGAACATTTACGTCCTAAACTTAGTAAGTCTTTTTTTTTATTATTAAAATTTAATAAAAATTTTGTCAACTATATTTATTTATTTATTTAAAGTGAGTTTTGAAACATCAACAGCTTTTAATAAAGATCCACTCCGTAAATAAAATTATTTTTCCTATAAAAACAATTATTTTTATTTTTATATTAGAACGTGAACCATGGCGACCAAAAGCTTATCGCGATACTCCTCAAGCACCACCACCACCTCGAAACGTTGGTACCGCTGTTTATCATGCTCAGTATAATTCTCCAATTGGACTCTATAGTGATGATAAAGTTTTAGAAGCATTTAAATCTCAAACAGGCAGTTTAATTGACGATATTAAAGGGTATTTACCTATCAAAAAAACAAAATTTTCTTTTTCTATTAAAATATTTTTTTATAGAGGCAGTCCAAATAATAATCCTCCACAACCACTTAATATGTATAATCCTCCACAACCACCTAATATGTGTAATCCTGAACAACAAAATCAACGATCACCAACATACCAAGCTGTAATGAATACTCCGCCACCAAATATTTCTCAATCATCGGAAGCAAAACTTTCTCGATCATTTCGAATACTTGAACAAGATCTTGGATCAGTGCAAGGAACAGCACAAATACCTAAATCTGTTTTTGAACAACGTCGCCAACAACAACAACAGCAACAACAACAACCGACTGGTTTTCGTAGTGTTAGACCACCTGAAGAAGTTCCACCTGAACAACAACGACGACCATATCATACTGAATATCAAGTTGAACATGTTCAAGAAAAATGGATGGAACCAAAATTTAAATAATCGATTATTTCATCAATGATACATCTTCTATCTTTTATATTCTTGTGTGTGCGTGTGCAATAGTGCTTTCTACAGTCTGCTCAGTTGGTCACATCGTTTAATTTTCACGTTCTTTTTTTTATTTCTTCATCTTCTCTCAAAATTGATCGTTCTATATTATTACTGATGAACACATGGTGCTTCATAAAAACATACGAAAATATTTTTTTCTTATCGTCGATTTAATTCTTTTTTTTTCTTTTCTTTTCTTTTAGTTATTTCGAACCTCTCCTTTTTTTTTCTTTTAAATTCTTTTCTCGTTGAATTATGTAAATTTTGTTCAAACAAAAAAAGTACGCTATTTGTTTGACTTTTTATTTACCTATTAAGTATCTAAGTTACGTAATATAGCATTTTTTGTATTATGTTCATTTTTTTTAATAGTTGGTTTTTGTTAATATCCCACCATCGAATGTGTGTATTAATTATATAAAATATTGAAAAGACTGGTAGATAAAAATTTGATGAATAAAAACTGGTTAATTAAACAAAAGCATATGTTTAACACTTAATAATCTACAAACGTTCGTCGTTGTTGACATAACAGAGTGTTCTGAGTCAATGTTTGTATTCTGCACTAAAACGTTGCCATTTCGAAATCAAAATTTTTATTTTTCTTAATTTCGTGCACATACATAGAGGACAGCAACATTAGTAAAAGTGAAATAGTCTTTTTTTCTCTTCATCGTCTTTATTTAACTAACATACATCATGAATTACGGGTAACTATCTATATTAATTGATTTTTTTTGATATTTATTAGAAAAAATTAACTTTTTTGCTTTAGCTATGGAGTACCACCACCACCAAAAAAATTACGAGAAAAAATTTGGAGTTTCGAAGGTGAATGGCAAAGAGATATATGTGGTTGTTTTCACAATCTAAGTGGATGTAGGTTTTTTATTTGTATATAGAATAGTTTTCATATAAATAATGGTTTTTTTCCCTATATTTTGAAGGTTTATGTGCATATTTTTGTTGTCCTTGTTTTTGCTATTCAGTCTTTAATCGTTCTGGTGAATGGCTTTGTGCACCATTTATGTGTTGTTGGCCTGATTCTTTACTTGCGCTTCGAACCAAAATGCGTACGGGATTTCGATTACAAGTAAAAGAAAAATAGAAGCGTTTTTCTTTTTAAATATATATATATATATTTTTTTATTTTCTTTTCTAAAGGGCTCTGTATTTAAAGATTGTATGGCTGCTACATGTTGTCCATGTTGCTTATTAGTTCAAATTGATAGTGAACTCGAATATCAAGGCTTATAATAAATATGTACTATAAAAGAAAATTATAATGATATATACACCGGGAAGATAAAAACTAATAATAATTTTTTTTCAAAAAAAAAAAGCAAAATTTTTTTGTCTTAGTCACAATCATTTTCGTTTATTATTCGTTGAATACAATGTTGTCCTCTATTTGTTGTTTCTAATTGATAACCACGATTACATATACATCGTCCGAATAATGTACAATGAGAATTTTTATCCATACTAGCACATTGTCGATTAAGTAAACAACGAACACGAAATGCATTTTTTATATAAAGACTTGTGTGACGTGTTGTAGGCGTAGGTGACCATGGCCACCAACGAAATATAGTAGTTGTTGAAAATGTTGATGTTGCTGTTGTTGTTATTATAGATGTTGTTTCAATTAATTCTTCATCGGATGATTCTATAATACATCAATTTAGAAATATTAAGAAAACAATGGTACTTTTTTTTCTTATATATATATAATACCTGGTACTTGTAAACATGACCAATCATCAACAGGAAAATAGCCTTTAGGACATGAACATACAGAATCTAAACAAACTGCAGTTGACGTATGACAATTACGTTTAGTTAAACATTTTCCTCCTAATAAACTTTTATAATCAATTGGTATTGTTGTTAACTGTGTTGTTGTCTCTTCATTCATATCTATTTATATTTTAAAAAATTTCGTTTTATTTATAATTATACAAAATGAATATTCTATTTACTTTGCATACAAGTATATTGATCAATTGGTATAAAACCATTCATACATGTACATTGTCCATTATAACAATGAGATTGAGATACAGTTCGTCGACAAAAATAATCATTTGTACATGTATTACCTAGTTTACCTAATGATTTAATTACTTCATTATTTATTGGATAATGTGTTGATGTTGTGCTGCTTAAAAGATTTATTATTGTTGAACTTTCTATTATCAATAGATTTTCAACTTATATACAAAAATATATCTTTGAAATTTTTACCTTGTCCACGCATATTAAAACATAAATGCTTTCCTAAAGGTACATAACCATCTAAACATACACATGTTCCATGAAGACATTCAAGATACATAGTATTATGTTGACAATCACTATTTATTGAACATACGGAACCATATCCTAATGGTTCATTTTCATAGGATTTTGTTACTTGCTTAGGTGGTGGTAATAATAATACTATTTAGAAGGAGAAAAATCCTGAATATTATTTAATAATAAAATAAAACAAACCAAAATCTTGTATACATCGATAAGCATCAATTGCGACATAACCCTGTGAACATTCACATTTTCGTGCTAAACATACTTTTGTTCCATCAGTAGGTGTTCGACGACATTCATTCGCCCAATCACATTCTTCACCTAACATTCTCATACCTACATAATTTTTAAATTAAAACAAAAAAAAAGAACAATACTAATCTCATTTGTTTATACCAGAATTAATTTGTCGACGATGAGGTAATTCTTGTTTTTTTAATATACATTTTTTATTGAAACATATTGAATTAGGTAAACGATTCGTACAATTTGAATCTACTTCACATTTATAATTAGGAATTCTATTATATTGTATAGTCGCAGAGAAAACACAATGAATTATAAATAATAATTCTACCCACATGATTGAATCTTGAATGTTGATTAAATGTATAGATCAACTATTATTCATTCGGACTTTTTTTATCTTCAATGATACAAAACCGTAATCCTTGAAATTCAAGTTTATATTCATGTCTGTCTTACTTTTTTTCTCAGGTGGCTAATCTTGCTTTCAAGGGCTATTGCTAAATACTTGAACAAAGTTCAACATATATTCAATTATTGTATATATATAACGTCATGATTTTTGTCGTCGAAGATTAATAAACTAATGCAATCGAAAAGAGATATTTGTTTAAATACATTGAAATTATCCTTGTATCCTAAAAAAGTCATAAGATTGTTTGAATGCGAATGATGATATACAATTTGAACAATAAACCAAAGTAAAATGCATATATTTTACTTATAAATAAAACGAAAACTTCGTCTTGTGATCTTTATTATCAAAATAAATACTCGATATTCTTCGAATCAGAAATATACATGCATTTAGTTTTACGATGTCAGAATCATAATTTAATTTTGTATATAATAAGAAAATTGGTAAAAGCATGTGAACTACTTACAATAAATGTTATTCACTTTTAGATTTTTTATGACTTGAATAATCTTAAGTTAATTAAAATAGAATTGTAAATATTGAACAGACAACGATTTTAGGATAGCATAACGTGGAAATATGTATTCGAAATAACATAATATGAAGTGCAAATAATATGTAATAATTTCAAACTTGTCGCTGTCATATATCCATGACAGCTGCTTGGTCACAAAAAGTATGGGTATGTATTTTTAGTTTAGTAAATTTATTTTTGTTGTTTATGAGAAGTTTCTATCAACTTTAATCAATTATTATTTATTTCTAACAGAACGAAAATAGCTTCAGCGTTTGAAAATACTTTTTTAATGTGAAATTATGTGGTAATTATATTCGATGTCACTTACTAATCAACATTACAGATATGTATTTACATATAGATCATATCTATTGTTTTTTGACACAAAATTCATGACATGATAAACGTATGTCAATCTTTAGAAAGTGTTAACCAAACATTAATATTCTTTATTGTATATCAGCAACTACGTGCAACTTCGTGTTTTTTAATTTTTAAAAAATTTATTCTATGGTATTTGGCATGCTTAGTTACAATTGATAAAATAGTACCACTTCGTATTCTATCACTTATCGCTCTTTGAATTTCAATCGAACTACCGTTTTGTTTTTGTTAATACTGCAATTAACATATATGGTCCCATATTGACAATACAAAAGCACACGTTTTTCCTGCCAGGTATCTAGTTTAAATAAGCATTTTTCATTTATATTACATAGAATCCGAACAATGAGTACTTTTAAAATGTGTTGCGCATATAAAAAGAAAAAAACAAAGATCGTAAATAAAAAAAAAGAACGGAAAGTGTAATAGGTAAAAAAAAAATGAATCACTCATATTGTCAGATTTTCTCTGTGTAATCAAAGGAATATTCATTATTAAAATTTCTTTTCTACTCAATGCTCTTTTATTTATCTGTGATACACTATACCATATATTTTCATTTTTTTCTGCTTCTAATAAATATTTACTAAAGGTTAAAAGAATGTTATCTTTTCCATTCTCATATATTGGTCAAAGTCCGTTTCGTACTTGATAGACCTTTGCTTTCCTATTCAGGATAATTACAATAGAAATAAATTAGTTTAATTAAATAATTATTTCATGACAAATTTGCACTTACTAAATCGTAAATAAATCGGTTATTATTATAAGTTACTATTCGTCCATTGTCTGTTACATATCGATTCTTTACACATAGTTCTAGGGTCGTCGATACTAATGCATCGAAACACAGAATGAATGATTCATTCTTTCTTCTACATTCGATTGTCTGAGAACAATGATGATAATGTACTAGTTTATATTGGTTAAAATTCTAGGTACTTCGAGATGTACGTCAGGTTCAAAGAATAGATGATATCTATCCTTTTTATATCGTATAAACAATGACAAGAATAAAAGCTTCGAAGAGATGATTTCATAAATAGTTGTCACATGTATTCACATGTTTTCAAACACACAATGATTCTTTTTCTTTCTTTCTATTTTCTTTCTCAGCCAAAATATAATCTAGTCATTCTAGAACACAGAAGAATAAGAACGAGAAATTTGGCCTCGTTTACCTTTGTCAACCCTATATAAACCGATGTTTTTCACATATTCTATACACTACGGTATTCTTATCAATTTAAAACTTTCTTCGTATTCAAATTCATTAAAATGGGTAAATCACATTCAAAAGAAACCTTTACTCAATGGGACTTAGATCGTTTCAGCAACGTAACTGGTAAATAATAATCTATTTGTTAATTATATATTTTACATTCAAATTTCATATAGGTATTCCACGTACTACAGTTGAAAAACTTTACCAAGAATTCATTGCTACAACTGGTAAAGACAACCGTATGGACAAAAAAGAATTCCGTCGTTTATATAAAGAATTATATACAAGTGGACGAACTGGTACAACTGTTCCAGCTGTTATCAGCGAACATGATTTGGAAAAAATTTCCGATCGTGTATTCAAAGCTTTTGATGGTGATAATTCAGGCAAATTGACCTTCGAAGAATTCGTCAATGCTTATTTATTGATCAATCAAAAAGATTCAGCAACATCAACAACATTCACACCACGTGATCGATTAACCTATGTTTTGGATCATACCAATCCAACACCAGGTTACGTTACACGAGAACAAGGTGAACAAGTATTCAACCGTCTTAACAAATTCTACGAGTATGCATTTTTAAATAATTCTTTTGATTTCATCTAAAAGTATTTTTCTTATTCTTTAGCTGGGAAGATACAACAAAAACAACATCAACAACAACTACACCAGTTGGTACAACAAAACCAATGTCAACAACATGGGAACAACACTGGACCAAACTCGATGATGGCAGTGGCCGGTACGTTAAAATTTATTAAAATGTATAAAATATATAATTTTCTTTTCTTTCTTTAGTGTTCCACAAGAAAAATTTGTTGAATACGTTACAACATCTGATTCTTACAAAAACCACCTCAATCGTCCATTATTTTAAATAAATATAACAAAGGCGATGAAATAGACTAATTTTTTTTTGTTGTCTTGTATTTTTTCCATCATCGATATCTTTAGCACTATTTTTTATTATGTACTATTTTTTATACATTTCTCGCTTTTTACTTGTAAAACACATTTGGATAGCGGGGGATAATCATGTAAAAAATATATATAAACCACTTTAACTAAAATTCTTAATTTATTAAACAAGAGAAAACAAAATGAAATAGGCATATCATATCAATAGCATGATGTCGCTGAAAATAAATACTAGGTGACCATTTGATCACTTGAATGACCATTGAGAGAAGAGACAAGCTGAAAAAAATATATGCGACATCATTCGTATTTTTCTTGTCCTCGATGTCTTTGTTCTTCATATCATTCAATCTATCTATCTTCATAATCATCTAACAGAGAATAATGCAAACAAATAGATATAGATATATATATATCAATAATCTTTATTTTCAATCTTGAAATAAATTATTTTTTTATCTTCTCTTTCCCTTTTCTCCTTTGGTAAATAAAATAAGACAATCGATTGATATTTGTTAGGTCAGTTATTCTCTTTCTCTCTCTCTCTCTTTCTTTTTTTTTCTTGTTCTCTTCATTTCTGGTTGCTTAGCACATTAAGTTAGTTACCTTTTCGTTTAATAGAATACGAACAAGTATGTACGATTTGTATTTGTATGACATAAACTTTACAACGATCTAATCGTAAGTTTATTTTGAACAAGGACATATATAAGAATAATCGAATACAAAGAAATCAAACATTTATAGAATATATAAATTATCTTGAAAAGAAATAATAGAAATCGTCATACATTTCAACTATTCTATCATCAAATATACTTCATTATTTTTCTTTCTGATAAGATGGGTTAAGACTCGTTAACTTGGCATCTGTCTTTCTCCACCTTTCCTTCTTCTTTTTTTTCTTCTGTCCTCGTTTTCTTTCTCTTAACTGTACCACAACTATGATCATATACAATCGTCTCGCACATTTTTTTTTCTTTTTCTTCTCTTTATGTATGATTGACCGATGAACAATGTGTTAGTTTACATTGTTGCGCGCGTCGTTGAACTTCGTCTACGAAATTTACTCTATGATCATATCATTGTTTTATACTTTTCTTTTCATTTCTTTTTGTAGACTATTACTGCTATTGTGTTTACATGGCACATCATTTATGGCAGCGGCTCGATTTATACGTTTTTTCAGTCGACGACAAACTAAAAATCATCCAACAACATTAAACGACGAAAATACTCCTCAGACAAATTCAAAATTTCTTCCTAATTTATTAAACTCCAATGGAAAAATTCATTCTATTAACAAACATCAACAAACAATACCAATTAAAAATGGTCTTGTCTGTACGGTTGTTTTTCTAGATGGTGATGATGTGAATTTTGAAGTAGATGTAAGTTATTTTAATCGCAAAGGATACGATTAATGATAAAGTTGACCTGTCCAGACATATTGTCATATACATGTATAATTGATGCGTCAGCTGTTTTTTTAATCGTCTACTAGTGACCTGACCTTATTCTGTCTATTTAAATGTATAGAAGGATTTTTAATATTATTAGAAATTATTTCCAATTATTATATAAATAAAATAATTTAATTTTTCTTTTAGCGAAAAGCTGTTGGTAAACTTCTTTATGATAAAGTTATTACACATACTAAATTAGTGGAAGCAGATTATTTTGGTTTACAATTTACTGATACACATAATGTTAAAGTAATAATATAATATTTATTGTACTTTCAATTGTATTCATTTTCTTAATGTGTTTAGCAATGGCTTGATCCTACTAAATCTATTAAAAAACAATGCAAGAGTAAGAAAGAAAGATTATAATGCAAACAAATTCTTATTTTTATCTTTTAGTTGGACCACCGTATACATTTCGATTTCGCGTCAAATTTTATACATCCGATCCACAAAATTTACATGAAGAGTTAACAAGGTAAATGATTATGAAGTAAAAAGAATAACCTTGTAATATTTTTTCTATTATTTCTATACAGATATTTATTTGTATTACAACTTAAAGATGATATAAGGACGGGAAAATTAGATTGTCCATCTGGTCCAGATGTTGAATTAGCTGCATTATCTATGCAAGGTAATGTAAATGCATTTATTTTTAATGAATGATTTATTCATTAACATTGAATAGTTCATTAATGATATCATCAATTTAGAAAGTTTTTTTTTGATTGCTCATTAGTTAAGATTGAAGATAATATGAACGAGAGAAAACTAACAAAAAATTCTCGATGATTGAACAAACACAAAGGATGTACGCTTTTTTGATTAATAGAGATGAACATAGAATATGATTGGTATTGACGGTTATGAAAAAACGATTTTCCAATTATAATTTTGACAAATGACGAAATATTGAAATATTCTTTATATATGCAAATAAGAATGTAACATTATGTCTTCTTTTTGTGTTTTTAGCTGAACTAGGTGATTATACAAGTGATGAACATACTGTTGAAACAATATCGGAATTTCGTTTTTTACCTGATAAAATACAAACAGAAGAGTTAGAAGAACAAATCCTACAAAAATGGTCTACATACAAGTATATAATAGTCTTCAATTAGTTTTTTTTAAATATTCTTTTTTTGTATGAATAGAGGTTTAACACCGGCTGATTGTGAAATTCAATATTTAAATAAAGCACGATGGTTAGAAATGTATGGTGTTGATTTACATACAGTTATGGGTAAAGATGGTTTAGAATATAAACTTGGTTTAACTCCAACGGGTATTCTTGTTTTTGAAAATAAAATCAAAATTGGTTTATTTGTTTGGTAAAAATTTTCATATTAATAGACAATATCTTTTATTCTGTTTTATTTTTAAGGGCAAAAGTAACACGAATTGATTTCAATCGTAATAAATTAACAATAGTTGTTGTGGAAGATGATGATAATGATCCAACATTACAACGTGATTTTGTATTTCTATTTCGTTGTTATGATGAAAAACAATGTAAACATTTTTGGAAATGTGCTATGGAATATCATATATTTTTTCGTACAACATCAGCTGCGAAAGTAAAACAAGGTGCAAGATCAAATTTTGCACGTACTGGTTCAAGATTCCGATTTAGGTAAGACAAAACAAAACAAGAAACGTAAAAAAATCTTATTTCATTGAATTTAGTGGACGAACTGAATGTCAAGCAGCGACATTAGGAAATTTAACTCGTCGTAGTATGAATTTTGAACGTAAAGCTTCTCAACGTTTTTCACGTCGTGCATCGTATGCAATAAGAAAAAAAATTCAAGAACAAGAGATTTTACGTGAACAAGAAGATGAACGTTTAAAAAAATTAAAATCTGAACAAGAAGCAAAATTAGATGAAACAAAAAAATCACCAGAGTAAAATATTTCTTTAAAACAATTTTTCTTAATATATGAAAATTAAATTTTAATAGAAAAAATCAAGATTCAATAGCAAATCATAAACGTTCATCATCACAAAAAGTTCTAAATCTATCACCTACTCAACGTCTTGATAATCTTATTCAAGCTTCGACGAATGATTTAATATCCGAAGGTATGATTCATATATAATTCCTTTTTCGTCATTTATTATCTTCGGTTACTGTTCTCAATTGATTGAGTGATACTATTCCGAGCGTTAAAAATGTATATAATATATCATTGTCTGTATATTAATACCATGAAAGCGGAGAGATGCTGTCAATCTCAGAATCGTTATTCATTTATAATAACTAATGTAAAACTAGAAATGATATATCATATAATTAATCATATCAAAAACTTGATTCATTATCACGACTATGACAAAGTAGTCCAGTTAATTAACTATTTAATAAAATAGATAGGATTGCATAAATGATTTGTAGCAGATTTGAAGTTTTTCGAAGGTTGATTACACATTTTATTTTAATTGCTACTTTATATTAACGAAATATTTCTGTTCTATTACAATTATTATAAAGCAGAAAGTTTTTTAACGTCTGAAAATATCTACTCGCTTAGATCGGAAACGTTTCCGAACTAAGCGGAACTCTTCGCATGTTCAAATAAGCTTATAAATCAACAATTTCCTCCGAATAAATTCAATTGTCAGGTTAAACGGGTATATTTTCAAAGAACAATTCGAACCTATGAAACTGAACTGGATTCAATCATGTAGATAAACTATATCACTAACAATTTTCACATCAAATGTTTATAGAAACAAAAGAAACGATATATAAACAATAGATAATTGCTTTTATAAGTGTTTCATTACATAAACTTATGATTAAGAAAATTATTTGATCTTTAAGTTTCTATTCTATGAAAATATAACATATTTTATCTTTTTTTTGATGTTATTAGACATTGAATCCAAGAAGAATGGAATAAATATTCCTCGTCCTCCTCCAATACCTCCTCGACAAACAAAATCTGATGATAAAACGACAACAACACCTCCGCCGCCGCCACCACCACCATCATTACTTCTTAATAAGCAATCAAATATAATAATTTCCTCTTCAAATGATCATAATAATGTCAATATAGCTAAAGGTTTGTTTAGTCTAACTCAAAATTTCATCAATAAAATGTTATATATAATATATATCTCTATAGAACCATTAAATGATAACAATGATCAACCGTTATTAATTCAAATATCACCACAGAAAACATTATCTAATGGGTATAATTATTAATAAACAAATTTTCTTATATCATTCATTTATTTATTTATTTAAGACATATTTCTCCATCTATTGGCAAAGTGAACAGTCCAACTACTCGATATACATTAGCTAATAGTCAATCACCTTATGTTCTCAAGGTATAAATTTTATTTTTTCTTTTCTTCTACGAAAAAACAAAAATAATCTAAAATATGATTTTCTTTCTTTTCGATATTTTTTCTATAGAATATTAATAGAATATCTTTACATGAAAAATTTCCTATAATACCTGAACTAATTTCTCATTCATCCTATGATAATATATTAAATTATTGTCTAAGTACAAAAATTGATTTTCCGACAAAAGAAATACAATATGAAAAAAGTTATGCTGATTATGATAATCTATCGTATATAACAAGAAAAAAACCTAAAAAACATCAAATTTCTTCATGTAAAGATTATTTTATATTTCATGAGAATAAAAATCAACGTAAGTAGATAAATATTTGTTTTGTGACAGCATGAAATGAGCATCGTATTCCAAAATAAATGCATGAGATTTTACTCTACTTTGTTTTTGATATATAATAAATCATATTCTATATTTTAGGAAACATTCTTTTACACAGAATCAACAACAGTAAATCCAAATTCGATACATAATCAAAGTACAATATTCTATTTTCTATTTATAAATATTTTTTAATAAATGTTATAGATACTTCAAATTCCCCTGCACCTGTCATTGTAACGCGAACATTAAGTACATCAAATGTTCGAAATGCATCGTCAACTATAGTTCAAACAACACCTACAAATTCTCAAATATCATCATCTATACAAATACCACATCTTCATCCACGTACATCAAATCGTAATACATCATCACCATCAGTTGGTATTACTCCGACATATCACCCAATAACAACAGAATTATAAAATAAAAAAAAATCATCCTTCCTTTTTCGTTTATTACTATTCTGTGTGTTTTTATTCATACCCTTATCTCTGTTATTATTTACATATATACATAATAAGAAATATTCAGATATATATTATTATTATTATTCGATATGCTTGATTGAGCTTGTGCTTTTTTTTCTTCTTGTTTTTGTTGATTGTATACAAAACTTACGATTTCTCTTTTCTCTTTTTTTCTCGTTTTTCGTTCTTATTCCTGTTTGTTACTTTGTGAATTCTTTCGTTATTCTTTTCTGCGCATGTACAGATAGAATTCTGAGTGAATGCCGAAAATAAAAATCCAAAAGAAAATAAATGTTTATTATTCTCAACACATTCTATTGCACAGTGATATGTTAAAAACATATGTGACCTCATTTTTTTTCTTCGTTTCTATTATATCTATGTCGTCTATTAATTTCTGTATTTATTATAGGTGCATCTAATCATTCTGTCAGCTTTTAATGATATATTTATATGTTTTGTCAGACGTATTGCAAAGCATTAATGTTGGTAATTTGAGTTATTTAGACCGCAATGAATAGTTTAGAATATATATTTTTGTGACTGAAGAAGAATGAATATTACAATATGACGGAGCATCATAATCGCTGATACTCTAGCATCTTTTGACACCAGCTGTGACACTACTATAAAAATAAAAAAGCAGCAACTCAATAAATAGGCTTAGTTTTTCCTCATAAATATATTCCACTCAATCATTATCTTTTATTCCTATAACGAAATATTTCTATTCTATCGATAGTGTACAAGTAGGTAGACAGCAATTATTAGTGACTTGAATTATTGATATTATACATTTATCTTACTCGATTTTTTCCTTCTTCTCAACAATTTCCTTGAAGAGACTATTTAACAAGTAAGAAAAAAAATGATTTATTTATTTTTAATTAATACATAATTCATATTTGTTCTAGTAATTCTTTAGGATTTGTTTTGTTTTTATCATTTTCAATTTCAATCCTATGGTTAAATCATAATTTTTTCGAAAGGCAAAAAATGTTAACTTGTCAAAATGCATTAATACCTTATGGCTTGAGGAGTCAAAACCACATCCAATCAAATTTATAAAAGAAAAAAAAAGCAAAGAAAAAAGAAAAAGGCATACACAAGTAGCGACGTCATCATCGACAACAATCATCATCTTGTCTAAGCTCGATCGATTGTCCTTGAATTTGCTTATTTAATAAGAGTAGTTTTACAATTGTAAATATATAGATAAATTTATTTTCAGATGACGCAGACTAATGCAGGTGGTGCAGCCAAAGATGCAGCTGATCAGAACTTTGATTACATGTTTAAATTACTTATTATTGGCAATTCATCTGTAGGAAAAACATCATTTGTAGGTCAAATTTTTTTGAAAAAAAGAAAAAAATATATAAATCATTTGTTTATTATTTAGCTTTTTCGATATGCAGATGATTCATTTACATCAGCATTTGTTAGTACAGTTGGTATTGATTTTAAGGTTAAAACAGTATTTCGTCAAGATAAACGTGTTAAATTACAAATATGGGATACAGCTGGTCAAGAACGTTATCGTACAATTACAAGTAAATAAAATTGATTATAGTTGATTTAATAAAATACTCAAGAGATTCTTCAAACTATTACATGACATTTTTTTTCAAAAAGACAACAATCTCTTGAGATTTAATTGAAAAAGAAAGACAACGAAAATAATTTCTTTTATTTTAGCTGCTTATTATCGTGGTGCCATGGGTTTTATTTTAATGTATGATATAACAAATGAAGAATCATTCAATGCTGTACAAGATTGGTAAGATAATAAATAAAGAAAAGATTTGTTTTTTATTCTTTAGACGAAAAAAACAAATTCTTAAAAAGCGTACATCCAAAAAAAACATATTTTTTTAGGTGTACACAAATAAAAATGTATTCATGGGATAATGCACAAGTTGTTTTAGTTGGTAATAAATGCGATTTAGAACAAGATCGTGCTGTTTCACTAGAACGTGGTCAACGTCTTGCTGATCAATTGGGTAAATTTTTATATATATTGGATGTACGCTTATAGTCGTTTGTTTTTATATATGTTTGGGGGGGATATATATATTCGTTTTGTATTGTGTTGTGTTTTTCAAGGGTTTTGCAGATAAAAACTCATTCATGGGAGAAAACCCCGGTGATGCTTATTGGTAATAAATGTGATGCAACAAATGAAAGAGTTGTTCAGACGGAAAACGCAGAAAAACTTGCCACTGAACTCGGTACTTATATTTGATTTGAGAAGAGATTTTCTGTTGGCTTATTATCATTTGTGTTTATATCATGATTATAACAATATTCTTTTTTTTTTTATTAAGGTTTGGAATTTTTTGAAACGTCTGCGAAAGAGAATGTAAACGTTAAAGTTGTTTTTGAAAGGTAAAACTATAAATTTTATTTTATTATCGAAAAAATAAATGTTCTATTCTAGATTGGTTGATATTATATTAGAAAAAATGTCCGATGCTCCAGATGATCCAAGTGGTTCTGGTCCAGGAGCTAATGCATACACAAGTCAAGCTGGTGGATATAATAAAGGGACTACAAGACTTACAACTAATGATACAGAACCTAAAGGCAATCAATGTAGCTGTTAAATTAACGATTTACAAAATAGGACATAAAGAAAAATTTAAGAAATTTTATTTCCATTCGATGTTTTCCTTACGATTTTATTTTCGTCGTTTGTTCGTCTTGTGTAAACGAAATAAAGTTTTTTTTTTGTAGTTATTATTCTTATTACTATTACTATCACTATTTTTATGTTGTACGTTCCGACAGAAGAAAAAAAATATGATAAACTTTTGTTTTTCTCATTTCTTTTTAACTGGTTATCATTCCGATCTAAGTCTATGTGTTTTTATATGTGTATATATAAATAAATACATATATATATATATATATACATATATTTGACGTATGTTTTATGTATTTTCTTTGTGATGTAACCACCTTTTTGTTTTTTTCTCTCTCGTTCTCTCTCTTTTATTTCTCATTCTGATGACAAAACCCTATTCTTTTTATTTTTTATGTGCAGTATTTTGATGGTTCATTTTCTCATTTATGTCAGATGAGAATATTGTTTCATCATGCCTTTAACCTATTGTTTTCTTTTTTTGTTCTAACAAAAAAAAATAAGATATGCATTCAAACAAATTCACCTGATGAATTACATCTAATTAATCAAGAAAAAGAAAAATAACCATATTTCGATTTTGATCGATTACTTATTCTTAATTATCATAATAGAAGACTATGAGTATTATTTCTTTTTCTTTCTTCTGTTGAGATTTTTGCTTTTAAATGAGAAAATTATAAATATTTAATGAAGATCAATATTTTAAAAGTTTTTGTCTAAGTTTATTAGTTTATTTAACATTTGGTATAATAACGAATATTTCACACTAATTGTATAGATTATTTTATACTAATAGATTCTTAGCATGTAATAAAAATAGATGATTTATGACGTCAGTTATATTATATATAATGTTTTTTCGTATGTAAGTAATATATTTACTTATTTTTATTCAAATTTTCGTATGTTTGTCTTTTGTTGTAGATTTAATAGAAATTTAATTTTTGTGAAATGAACATCGAAATATTTTTCCGTCGAATTATATGATGCATAGAATTATTATTCTGTTTTTTGTTTATGTTAAACATTCTATCGGGTAGAAATAAATCAATTTATGTTCAATTCTATGTGTCTATTTTGATTAATTTTTTATTCCTATGAGAATATTTTATTAATATAAAACATTAGCCAATATCTAGCTCTGTAAGTTCAATTTATTGGTTATGCTTCAATTGAAAAATATTTTCTTATCAATTGAAGATAATTATTCATAACATGAATAATAGGAAAGCGAGAAAAACTCTTGTCGATTACTATAAAGTTTCCTCTCATCTACTACAAATAAAAAGGGAGGAAACGTTGCTACTTCATTTTCTCGTCTAGATTATACAATAGATCCAAGCATATTTTTATCAATCAATATATTCATTACTAAAATAACTCATTGTTTGTCCTATTCATTCTTATATATAATTGAACTATTTTTACTCAATGACATATTTGTATACTAACAACATTTTTTCATTAATCTTTTGATTCTTTTTTAATTAGAACGAAGTGATCTGTAATAATCAAGCGAAATATTAATTTATAAACTATTCATTTTTCATGTTGAATACTCTTTTTCTTTTCTTATAGATCATCGCATGTTGTAATTAATTTTTCTTTCGACAGATCTTTCTAAAAGAATGATTTATCTAAAATGAAATTCACATATTACAAAAAAAAATAAAACTATGTCACGAGATGTAGATGACTGAAAAAACTAAATATCGTGATAGAATCCTTCATCTTATATTTTATTCTTATTTCTAAAATAAAATCATCTGTAAGAATATCTAAACAAAAGACATTAATTTTCTTTTAATATTTCAGATAAAATGGATAATGTCAATAAATATCGTATCTGGTATTTTTATTCAAAAAAAACAAATTTTTTTTTTTAAAACTAATAATTATTTTTCTTAGTATGGTTTCGGATTTTTTCTATCCATTAATTGGTGGTGTTGAAAATCATATCTATCAATTATCTCAATGTTTAATTGAACAAAATCATAAAGTGATTGTTGTTACACATGCATATAATGATCGTGTTGGTGTTCGATATATGGTAAATGGACTTAAAGTAATAAAACATTCTTTTTGTAAATAATTTAAATATATTTATCTTCAAAATTTTTCTAGGTCTATTATTTACCCTATAGACCATTTTATAATAATACAATTTTACCTACTGTTTTCAGTACAATACCATTAGTTCGTTCGATTTTACTTCGAGAACGAATAACAATTGTTCATGGACATTCTGTAAGTAATAATAAATAAATCATTGATTATTTATTTTGTTATTATTTAGTCATTTTCAACATTAGCACATGAAACAATGCATCATGCTAAAACACTTGGTATTCGTACAGTATTTACTGATCATTCATTATTTGGTTTCGCTGATTTAAGTTCAGTACTAACAAATAAAATTCTTCAAGTATCACTTGTTGATTGTCATCATATTATTTGTGTTTCACATACATGGTAAATATATATCATGAAAAGAAAGTCTGTAGTAGTACTCTTCTTTTTTGTTAATGTCAAACGATTATACCGACATAGTATCAATGAGAAATTTTAACCATGTGAAATATAAGTATGATCAATAATAGACAGGAGAGTACCGAGGGGCGGGGAGGGCGTAACTTCTCCAGCTTTAGTAAAGTTTTTTTTATCTGACGAAAATTTTAAAAATCGAAAAAGAAAATTTTCGTGCTAAATACAAAAACATTTTAATGGTTATCATTGATTTTTGTGTTGGAATTTTAGTCTAAAGAATTTGTGAAGAAAATATTTTATTTCAATATTGATGACCGACAATTTGTTCATAGTTCTTTGTCATCTATTAAGAAGCTAATCGAACGAAGAATTTTCTAACTTAAAAAAATCATTGTTAAGCTAATCGAGTTCCGACAATGATTGATGACCTAGGGTACTTATAGTAAGAAAACATTTGCGAAAGTAATATTTTTATTGATTTAATAAAAAGCGGAAATGTGTAAAAACAACACTTAAAAAAAAGTCGTTTTTGTTGTACAAAACAATTAAGAACTTTCGACTTATGTATTTGTTTTTCTAGTAAAGAAAATACAATGTTACGTGCTAATTTAAAATCATCTAAGATATCTGTTATTCCAAATGCTGTTGATTCATCAGCATTTACACCTGATATAACTCTTCGCCCAGCATCCGATGAAAGTAAGAAAATATAAACAAAAACAAAAACAAAGCAAACAATTATTATTATAACTTTTTCTTTGTTTTAATAGTTGTTATTATTGTTGCTAGTCGACTTGTATATCGAAAGGGAATTGATTTATTAATTGGTATTCTACCAAAAATACTACGAAAATATTCCAATGTTAAATTTAGAATTGGTTAGTGTAATTAATTACATCAATATGTTGAATATATTGTTTATATTTTAGCTGGTAATGGACCAAAAGAAATTGATATTCGAGAAGTAATTGAACGTGAAGGTACGGAAGATCGTGTTGCATTAGGTAAAATATAATTTATTATTGAAATAATCTATTATGACATCTTCTCTTTTTATAGAGGGTTCAGTGAATCATGATAAAATGAGGGATTTTCTTAATAGTGGTCATATATTTTTGAATACATCGTTAACAGAAGCATTTTGTATGGCTATTGTTGAAGCTGCTGCTTGTGGGTAAGAAGAAAAAAAAATTGGTATTTATGAAAGACTCATAAAAATAATTAGTTAATAGCCTTGAGAAAAAATTTATCAATTCCCAATTCTAATGATTAAGTTATCGTGATGCTTGAGGATAACAAAAAATAGAAAAATATTTCTTAATTAAATTATTATTTTTTATTTTCTAATAATTTATTTTTTTCTTTCTTTTGTTTATTTGAAGTCTTCTTGTTGTTTCAACTAAAGTCGGTGGAATTCCGGAAGTACTTCCATCAGAAGATACACAATCAGATATTATGATTCTATGTGAAGCAAATATAAATGGTTTGTTGTATCATTTGTTTGCATTTGTTTTATGTTTATTTATTTAATAGACGTTTTTATTGGTTTATGTAATGCTATTGATAGAATAAAACTTGGTCAAATACCTAATGCTAATCAATGGCATGATAAAATAAAAAATTGGTATTCATGGCGTTATGTCACACAGAATACAGAAGTTGTTTATAATCATATAATGACAAAAGAATCAATTAGTCTTAAAGAACGTATTCAACGGTTTGTGAAATTTCTTCTTTTTTTTTGTTGAATTGAAATTTTTTATTTTTATTTCTATTTATAGATATAAACAATGTGGATTTGTTAGTGGTTTTGTTATGAGTTTTGTAGCTATTATTGCGTATTTAATATTTCTTTTTCTTGATTATCATCAACCTAAAAAATTAATTGATCTATCTGTGGATTGTACAAAAGAAAAATTTGAAAAAAAAATGTGAATAATTCTTTTTTATTTTCTTATAGATATGAATTTAAGAAAAAATCATTTTGAATTATTAGCTAATGAACTTATACATGAAGTATTAGATTATTTATCACCAATTCATATAATAAAATGTTTTAAAAATTTAAATAAACGTTTTTCTCATTTAATTTCTCAACGTTTATTAAAAGTTGACTTAACACATTTATCAAAAATTCAATATAATGAACTTATTCAAATTTTACCACTCAAGCAAATAAATTCATTAAAAATCTCAAATAGATGGACAATCAATATAGTTAAACATATTCCATTTAAATCTATGAATAATCTTCAAGTATTAATATTGGCACATATTAGTTATAATGAATTACGATATTTATTTGAACCGAAAAATTTATTTTTAATTTTTCAACAATTAAATATTTTCAAAATTCAATCAACAAATATTAATGGTCTTGATCGAGAAAGAATATTTGTATTAAAAAAAATATTTTCTCAAATGCCTAAATTACGGTTATGTCAAATACCATTAATTGATGTTAATGATTTTGATGATTTAACACCTTCATTTACATTAGAACGATTAATTATTGATTATTGTACAATGATGTGTTTAGGTAAATAGAATTTTATTTAAAAACTAGATCTAAACAAGGACGAATGAAAAGAAAAAAATGTTTATAATCAAATTAAATGAATAATTTGATAATTAATAAAAATAAAACTAGAATAGAGGATGATATAGTCTGTTGAATTGATAAATTTTCTGCAGATTTTTCATTAATAGGTTCATTAGGTTGATTAGGTTGAGCTTCTTGATTTATTGGTTTCCATTGTATATAAGCATTAATAATTTCTTGAATTTTTGAAATGAAATCATTTCTATTACAAACATTTTTATTACATGTATATTCCAGTGTTTCTCTTTCTTTTTGTGTTGATTTTGGAGAATGATGTTCAATTTCACTAATTAGAGTAGGGTCAGTTACTGGTACGCAACTTTGTGTTTTCGTATTTGTTGGTTCATCTAATTCATATTTTTCAATACGTGCATGACAAAAACCATTTTTACATGATCTCGATGTTTTGTCACCTGTTTTATTACTATCAGTACAACGTCGTTGTGCTTTGTCTCCAACTATTAATGAATCATTATGTAATTTAAGTCTAATTAAATCTAAATTTGCTGCACCATCATTGACTAAAACATTTATTGTACTTAAATAAAAATCTCTTGCGCAATCGTCTTTTGTATTGCAACCATATTTTCGATTTACGAAATTGGGTCGTCCATATTGTTGGAGAGATAATTTTATTGATTGAACAAGAAATTCGGCTGATGGTTGATTTTCTAAATTGCGTGTATCATTAGTAACTTGAAAACTAATACGAATAGATTTTGCATCATAATCAATAGTATATTCAATACCACAGCTTAATGCTGATTCATAATTATTTGTATCATTCGCTTGACATTCTGTCGATAATATCGATAGTTCAGAAAATGGAACAGTAATTTCTGGACAATGTGATGTACATAGAATATGATTTGTATTGTCATCGGACAATGAATATTCCACAAAAATACATGACAATAAGATCAGATGGAAAAAGAACTGCATGATAATCGTCATCGATCAATAAATGAATGGTGGAAGGATGTGTGTGCGTGTGTAGTCTATCTTCTCACTTGACGAAACTAAGTCTGCATCTCATCGGATGAAGAAAGAGCGGAGGAAAAAGAAAAATAGCGCGCGCGCGCACACAGACAAGTTCCCGTTCTTTAACGACCTTTTAGGTGTAGCTATATCCTCTTGAGAAATGTATAGACAGCTCTAAAATAACGTAAAGAGAAAATCACCCAACGAGAATCGTATCTAAAATGCAAAAGCAAAAGAATCGGATCTACACATGACGTTGTAATGATCAAAGATACTCAAAATATTCGTTCGAAAAAACAATTTTTTTTATTGAATAACTCTATTTTGCGATGATAATCAATAGGGAACGAGAAGAATCGAGAGAAAGAGAAAGAGAGAAAGAGAAAGAAAAAGCAAAGGAAGAAAGAGAGAAGAAGCAGAAGGAGAAGAAAAAACCTATTTAGTTAGAGACTGACTATAGATCGATTTGTTTGTCTTGCTGTATTATTTCATGAATAGCCAAAGAAAAAGATTGACATATGTCATTTTCTGTTGCCTATAATGTAGACATACTGATGGAAATTGAAGCCATTTTGTACGTAAAATAAATTATAGCCTTGAACGTTGCACACTACCAATCCACACACATATATATATAATATATATAATATATATAGGTCGTTAGAGTAAATGACAAACAGGCATATTTATTTTGTTGCACTTATATGAAAACCAACAAAAAATTAATATCTCATTGCACTCATAGTTATTGTTTTACAATTCCAATGTTATGCAAATGATGGTATATATATTCAGAATCAACAATTATGATTAGAATATTAACAACTATGATCATTTTTTCAATTTTTTACTTAAGGACATTGCCTTGATGTGAAGTCAATAGTAAATGATATGAGTAGAAAAGAAAAGTGATAATGTGTTAATTAACTGAAGTCATACTGCGAACAAAAATGAATAAGACGCTTGTACATAGACCTTTTACAGATTCCTGGAGCTTATAATGAATGTCAAAATTCAATGTCATATATATATTACTTTTTTTTTTTTGATAATTGACAATGCTAAACATTAGTTAAGCTACTTTTGATAACATATCTTGATTAATGTCCATCTTGCAATGTTTATAAATAAAACGCAAAGCTTTGATAATTCTCTTGTGTCATTGTTCTTCATATCCCATTAATAAAAAGAGAAGCATGTATAATCTTCTTTTATTGCCTTCATTATTCTTAAAATGCTTAGAACTTGTGTAAAGAATAGAACAATAAAAGAATTAACATAAAAAGAAAAATGTGAAAGTTATGAATGTGTTCTTTTATATTTTTTGTTCTTTCTTATTATAAAGATCGATTATTGAATTATATACCAAATGTTCAATCTTTATGCGTCCATATATATACTGATTTACAAAATGTTTCTAATTATTCATCAATAAATAATTCATCGATTATTAATTTATCGATTCGTTCATTACAAATTTCAACAATAAATAATATTCCATTTAATCATATAGAAAATTTATTTAAAAATTCCTTTAAATCTTTACAAACTTTGAAATTCTTTTTCAAAACGGATGCATCGAGTCAATCATGCCTTGATTACATTGATGATAAACGATGGGAATTTTTATTACAATCGTTAGTATCATTAGAAAATTTTCATTGTTGTATTGAATTACCAATTCAATCAAAATTAGTAGAAAATTTATTTGAACAAAATCAATTTTTTCTTAAACGAAATTGGGTATTTTTTATTGAAACTTACACATATTCCTTCAATACAATTTGTCGCTTATATACTAAGCCTTATCTGAAAAGACGGCTTGATATCATGTAAGTGCTTTTTCGTGTTCTCTAAATTTTGTTGTTTTTTTTGTCTGTTCTCTCTCTTCTAGTCCCTCGAAAGCATTTGTCGTTAATAATAATTCTTATTCGCGTGTACGTGATCTTCGAATATTGATAGATATCATTCCAGTAAATATTTCTAATAATATATCAGAACTTATCTATAAAAATGTCACGTCATTAACACTTATATCAAATAAATCATTTAATGAACAATCATTTCTTACTTATTTATTTTCAATAATAAATCAAACTAATCTATTTTATTTAACAATTCAATTGGATAATTGTTCAAAACATTTTCTTTTGAATCTTATTGAGAATTGTTCAAAACTTTATTCATTAACATTATCAACATATCATAGTTGGTCAAAATTAATTCAATTATCATCACAAATATCAAAAAGTAACCTTCGATCATTAACTGTTTATGAGTTATTTATTGATTTTAATCAATATTATTTAATACATCAATTATTTAATCAATTAGAAATACTTTCTCTTACTGTTACTACAATTGAAGACTGTTATCGATTATTATCGTTATTATTTATTGGAAATAAAAGAAAAACACTAGAAAAAATACGATCATTATCAATCAAATGCGATTTTAATGAGCCAGACACAATAGCAAATTGGATCCGATCGAATATTCCTAGGAAATTATCATATAAATGTACAACAAGTGTTTTGTTTATTTGGTTCTAATTTACTTAATCTTGCAGTAAAAATTATTTGTTATTATTATTATTTTTTTCTTTTATTATAAAGAATAAATTAGTTGGGAAAGTAGTATGACTAACTAGAATATATATAATATTTACTGATTGTGACTTTTTACTAGATGAACAGTTTATTAGATATTGAATAATTTATATCTATAAAAACTTCCGATCTAATTTATCTATCTTTCAATCAAAATCTACTTCCGTCAAGTACTTTTTATTTCCGTTTTTAGATTAATCCATTGCTTATATTGTAGAGAATTCATTTTGATAATTAAAACATTTATTCATAGATTTAATAATTTCTTTAGAAAAAGAAAAAAACGATTAGTATATTTTGAAGTTTTTAGGAAATAATACTCATCTTAATTATAGTGTCTATTGAATTGTAAGGACTTTGTATTGACAAAATTGATTTTCTTGTGATATAAAGATCATTCGACCTTGATTTTTTGATTAACTACTGTGTATCTATTGATATGTATAACAAAGTATCTGTTTAACTAATCAATATCGATTGTTGTCAATTTTGTTTTATAGCTAACGGCAACAAGAAAGTCAAACTTATAGAGTATCTACACAGACCATCAATATATTATTTAATATAAAAAATATCTGCAACGTAATTATAACCTTGTTAATCAATTATATTAAATAACGAATAATAATAATACGCCTACTTTATTCAATTACAATAATTTTCTCTACTTATTCACTAAAATAAATCTCTAATAATTTTACTTACTAAATAAAAAAAATAGATATTATAAGTTTCTATCTCAAGGACATGTTTTGCAACAGCATTTCAATATGCTACTATTATATTGAATACTTTACAAAAGTTTGAGGGCCATTAAATATCATCGCACCGCAATTATCTCAATATGTTGTACTTTTTTTAACATGAATTTTTTTTATAGTAATGCTGTCTATTATTCTCTCAATAATCATATCATTAATTGAATATTCATCCTTTATATATGCCATGAACTTTGCCCAAGTACTTGGCATTAGAATAACTACACGTATTGCTTATGTTTTTGTATGAGTGTATATAGTCAGACGACATTTTCTCGTACTTGATAGTTGGTTTCATCATACAAGATTAATAATTACCTGTATATTTGCATACTATTTTATTAATCATGTCTATATTGGTTTTTCTTTTCTCTTTATCCTTGCTATAAAGTATATGATTACAAGTGAGATATACATAGTCTCTCATACGGTATTCATAAAGAACATGATTGCCGCCAGATGGAAGATATTTATTAAGTTAATCATTTCTACGTTGATTACGAAACTCGATTTAGTTGATCTCATTCTATATAGTATTGTATCGACAGTTCGATTTTGTCATTAGATAGAACAAAAAATGTACTCAAAAGAAGCCATTCAATTACCTTCTCTATCTATTACTTCTTATTCTCACCATTCAACATAATAGATCATTATGATAATTATACTGTTGATATCTATTATCATGATTGATTTTTCTAATAGATTTTGTCCGTATTCATTTCCGTTTTTATCTATTAAAAAAAAAGACACATTTTCAATTTGAATAGTTTATTAATTGTTTAGAAATGTCCTTCGTTTTTCAATAGTATATATATATAGTAACATTTATTATTGATAGACGTCTTAATAAGTAAATAAGAATTGATACGAGATTGGTCACGATTCTCATCATTATTTCTGTTTTTTTCTAAAGGCATTATGTAATAGAATGTATGTGACATGTTTATTTCTCATTAAATATCTTTGAAAAAGAACATATTATTTTAAATGAGTCTTTTAATTGCCATGATATATATATATATATATATATACAATTATGTCGCCTTAGTAATTTATTCCATATGTTCATTTAATTTCTAATTATTTCCGATTTTAAAGTAATACTCACATTGAATATTTGACATTATTGTAAATCAATCAATGAAGAAAATATTTATAACAAATAAGAATCTATGAATAGTTAATTGATACTAAAAAGAGAAAAAATAGGATCGTACTATTCTTGTTCTTAATTATTTTTCTTTACAAAGAACCAATAATCAGCATAAATTCTAAGAAAATATATTCAAAAAAAATTTCTTATTACTTTACCATTCATATGAATTCCCAATTGATTATCAGCAGAGAATGACATTCATTGAAAAGAACCAAATATGATATTATTTATTAATATTAAAATTACAACTATTATAGAAACAACATGATATAACAAGACAAATTTCATTAGTCTTGTTTTTTGTCATCTTATGATTATAAATAAACTAATAATAAATTTTCTATTATTATTATTATCAATAACATCTAAATATATGTAAATCAAATGAGCTTCCTAATAAATATTTATTATTTTTTACTGTTTTTTTAAATTCTTATATAGATATATTTACTATTATTTCGAAATTGTTTGATTATATCATTTGTATTCGACATATATGTTTTATTTATAGCTTTCCAATCATTTAATTTTCAAAAATAAAGATCAGTCACGTTTCGTACATAATGTTAACATTGTTTTATATTATATATTTCTATCTGAAATAAAATAATTAGTATGATGATAGGATTAAATCGAAATATATTATTGATTTTATTCTTTAATATTTAATTTCGTAATACTATTTAACCTTTAATATTTATTCTGAAAGATTTTTTTATTCTTCTGTGAATGACATTGTCGAATAATAATAATAATCACCTTAAGTCAAAATACTCGATGTCAATGATATTATTTCCGAAGTTCATGCTGGTACGATATTCAATAAAATATTTATTAATCTTTGGAGAAATAAGACTGAAAGTTATTATTTGTTAAACTATACACAAAAAAAAGACCAAGAATTAATTAGTTTCGTTTTCTTTTATTCATTATCATTGTAATTCATTAATAAATAAGGAGACAAGTTAACTTCGTGAGTTATCAAAAAAAGAAAATTTACTATTCTTTGTATAATGACTTATACAGCTGGATAAAAAATAAACTGTCTGAATAAGGGTCAGATATATTGATGTATATATCATAATACAATTTTCTCTCGTTATCAATATAATTAATATGGAAACGGCACGATAACCAAGGGCATTACTAACTTTCGTGCTTCGATGATACTAACATACCATTTTCTTGTTCTCTTTTGATCATTACATTATAAATGTTCCTTGTAGAATACAATCTGCATAAGAGCATAATTTAGTTTAGAAGTCAAGTAGCTTGAACTATGTTATTATTTAAATTTCATTAACTTAAAAGTATAGAGATAATTATGTTTTTGACTAAGAAAAAAGATTTATGTAGATTATTTTTCTATATGATACAGCTAAACGACTTTATTCTAGACAATTACATCATTTTGATTTGATTTTGTTCGGAAGAAGCAATAATTGTCAATGAAGACTCTCGAAGACAAAAACAAGTCATAGACGGAGTAAACATAATTCTACTCTCTAAAAGCTTGAATATATAATTCAGCAACGAAACACCATGTATTTTAATTATTTAAACAGCATAAAAAAAATAAAAGTCTTCTATTTATGTACAATGATTAGAACAGATTATATAAGTGCTATACGAATCGATATCTTGAAATCCTATTGTTGATTCGAATAAATAAACTCTAGCATAATTTCAATAGTTTGTTATTCAACATTGTAAAATATATTATTTTCTGTTTATGAATTTATCCGAAAACATGTAAACTTGATCAAAATAAATATTATATTATTTTATGAAGTGTATATAATGCCTTCATCGAAAGAAACCTAATCAACTATTAGTAATAGTTTTCGATATATTTTTGTAATGGATAAAATATATTAATCATTTCAACTGATTTCTAGATATTATTAATATTGAAATTTGTTTGAATTAAATCAGTTTCTATTACTATATTGTAATTGTCTGCATTCTACTCATTAATTGAAAGAAAATAAGGATTATTATGCGTATAATTTAAATCAGTCGAAATATAAAAATAAAAATTCGATACAGAACAACCTTGCTGTCGATAATGGCAACTTCATTTTTTTTTCCTTTTTTCGTTGTTATTCAAATCTCAAAGATCAATAAAACATGACCATCAAGTTATTTTGTATATATCGTCTTATATTTATCGCCTTTTTTCAAATTTACACAACGAAAATCATGTGAAAAAAAAACGAAGAAAAAGAAAAAGAAAAATTATGAGTAAACATGTGGTGATGTATTTATGCACAAGGTAAGCGTCTGAATTTTTCTGTCTTGCTTCCATTCGATTTCACTTGTACGTCAAAACCAGTCAAGTACTGTTCTGTTGTCGATGATACTTGAATATTTGTGCATGTGAATTGTAAAAACGAAGAATAAAACCTAAGAAAATTTTATTAACACCTTTTCATCAACAAAAATGGGTTCACGTTCATCAAAAACCTCGAAATCATCTCGTATACCTCGATTACGTGTACCAAAATATGATTTAAATCATTTTGGTGTTATAACTGTTATATTTAATCCTATTAAATATAAATCACGTTCAGAATTATATCATAAATTCGATGAACATATGTCACGTTCACATGTAACTTTACTTACAGTCGAATGTATATTCGAATTATCCGAAAATCTAGATTTACCAAAACAAAAATTTGAAATTACACGTCCAAATGATCCTCGACATTTACAAATTCGAGCACCATCAGTTTTATGGTTAAAAGAAAACTTAATTAATATTGCTGTTAAACGTTTACCATCCTATATTGAATATATTGCGTGGTTAGATGCTGATATAGAATTCGAGGTTCGTATATAAGATTTTATTAGGACAAATTAAAATGAATTTTTTTTAGCGTTTGGATTGGCCTCATCTAACAATACATCAATTACAACAATATCCAATTGTTCAATTATTTGAATTATCTTCATTTTTAGGACCAGCTGGTAAAAAAGATGTTTTACGTCAAGATTATTCGTTTGCTTATGCAATTCGTCATGAACAACGTCTTGATGCACGTCGATCATCTGAATGTTATGTTCATCCTGGTTATGGATGGGCTATGCGTCGAACTGTATTTGAAAATATGGGTGGTCTACTAGATTTTTCAATACTTGGTTCGGGTGATGTTCATTTTGCATATGCATTAATAAATCGTATTGAAGAAACAATACCTAATGGTATACATAAAGATTATCGAACTTTAGCGAAAATATGGGGTCAACGAGTTGCTCAATTATCAGGTAATGGTTCATTTGTTGGTTATGTTCCAATTCATATTTATCATTATTGGCATGGAAATCGTGTTAATCGTGGTTATTTTGAACGATGGTATTATTAAATATAGTTATTTATTTTTTTGATAATTCATTTTTTTACTGATTTAGGTCTATTCTTGAAAATTTTCAATTTTCTCCATTGAAAGATCTTGAAAAAAATGATCAAACTGGTTTAATTCGTTTAACTGAACGTCATAATTCATATCAAATAGACGAAATGAAACGTTTGGAATCATTTGAAAAAGGAATTATAGCCTATTTTCGATCACGTAATGAAGATAATTTAAAAAAATCAATACCAGCTATTAATACATTAAAACCAAAAATTTCATCGTCTGATATTGTACGACCAAGTGATATTTTACCAACATATAATCAAACATCTTGGACAACGGATGTAAATCAACCACATAATGATAATGTTGAATATATTCATTTACAAAATATGCATTCTGGACATAATATAAATGAACAAAATTCAATTTCTTTAAATAATCTTAATGATTCTTATAATCATACATCATCATCATTCAAAAATTATTCTCAAGGATATTTAAATCATGAAGTTTCTGATCAATATATAAATTTTAATGAAGAAAATCGAAATGATTTTTCTACATTATCTGAACAAATTTCATTTTAATATTTTCTATATATTTGTTTTCATTATGCCACAAAGATAAATACATATAGAATAGTTTATTTTTTATTATACAATAAAAGTATTTATATATTAACAAAATCTTTAATGACTCAAAAATAATATTTCTCATGAAATAATCAATGAAATTTTCAAGAATTATTTCTATTATCTGCTATAATTGTTTTTCTAAATCAAGAATATTTGATTTTTTTAAATATTTCAATCAACCTTTTTTTCTCCAACGAAATTTCTTTTTCACAAATTCCAATGGATTTTATTGGGTAAAGAATGGATTCAATGACTAATTATAATATAGTTATGCATTTTGTTTAATGAGGGCGCGTAAATTTTTCTCATGGTAGCCAATGAGTATAAATAAGAACGTTCGAAATGATCAGCTGCGAGACAAAAAGCAGCAAGTCAATCAAATAGCACATGTACCGGCAAGTGCAAATTTTGACGACATTCTTAAAACTGGATGAGATTTTTGTCAGATAATAATACAAAAGAAATCTATTTTTTTTTCTTTGTCTCATTTAAAAGAATACAAAGAATAAATAAATAAATAAATAATAGAAAAATAATAATAGAAAATGTTTACAACAACTAATGTAGCTGCTACAACAGCATCAGCTGGTGGTGGTGGTCCTGTTGCTGCTGCTGTTCCACCGACTTTTCAAATAATTAATCCACCAGTTACTGGTTCATCATCGTCAACAACTTCATCAACTTGGCGTATAACTCCAGCATCGTCATCATCATCATCATCATTAATAAGACAACCATCAGTTGTCTCAATTAGAAATGCAAGTATGATTGTGCCATCAACTACTACTCTACCAATTAATTCAACCGGTGTAACAATGCCAACAGTTTATATAGCAGCAACAACTAATTCTCAACAATATAATACAATAACAACTGGAAATCGTACTCTTCAAACCCCTCAAACTGTACGAATTCTTCCGTCACCATTACATTCATCATTATCTGCACCGACTTTAACTATTCTAAATAATAGAAATACAGCAATAATGAATAACTCTCTACAAATTGTAACATCACCTAGTAAATATTTATTCATAAGAATTTTCTTATTGTATTAATAATTTGTAAATGTTTAGTTTCTTCTACTTATAATATTTCCAAACCAGATATTTGTATTGGTACACCTTCTCTTGGTGAATTAGGACCATTAATAATTCAACGACAAAGTACATTTATATTATTTTTTGTCTATTATTATTATTATTATTATTTGTTTTTATTTAGTTACAAATAACACTTTTGTACAACAATCCCGATCACTCACTACAACTGTTCAAAATCAAAATATTAATTCAATTGACGAACAGGTGAAATATAAAAAAACAAATGCCATACACAAAGAAAAAAAAAATCTTGTTTGTTTTTATTTCTTTTATCTTTTTTAATAATTAGAAAAATGCAACAAATTCATGTATAGTAAGTAATGATAATAATAGTTTAATTAATAATTCCCAAGATCAAGAAATCGAAATCTTTGTCAATAATGTTGTTTGTACATTTGCACTTGGTTGCAAATTAAATTTACGTAAAATAGCTATGGAAGCTGCAAATGTTATCTACAAACGTGATCAAGCGGTATGTTTTAGTTTTTGTTTAATAAGAATTCAAATAATCTATATTGAATTTTTTCTTATAGATGGTATTGATGAAGATTCGACATCCAAATTGTTCAGCCAACATCTGGTCATCGGGTAAAGTAACAGTAACGGGAACGACGAGGTGTGTGTAGGAGGAATACTAGTAGTAGTATCACATTAACGTGTACACTGCTACTTATTACTTCCAGTGAGGATGATGCACGACGCGGCGCACGACGTATTGCTCGATCACTGCAACGACTCGGCTTTAAAACGCATTTTCGACACTTTCGTGTTGTCAATTGCCTTGCGACTTGTACGATGCCATGGCCAATTGATATTGTGAAATTAAGTCGAACGTATTCAGAATGTGTGAGGTAGCTAAACAACAATTTATTATTATTATTCTTTTGTTTCTATAAAAATTTATTTTCTTAGTTATGAACCCGAAATTCATCCGGGTGCTACAGTCAGATTGTCCGAGAAAGCTGTTCTAAAAGTATTCACTACTGGTCGTATAACGTTGACAGGTAAAAATTATAATTTTTCAAATCAAAATAAATTTCTAAGAAAAATATTTTAGCACCGGCTGTTGAACGTATCAATACAGCAGTAAATGATTTCTATCCACAATTATATGAATGTCGAAGACTCAATTTTGATGAAAGACATTGTTGATGTAACAATAATAATCCCGCTTATTTTTTGTTCATCGTTCTCGGGACAATCATCTCGCTTTCTTTATTATCATTTTCTTTTTCGTCTTCTCGAAATGTATATAAGTATATATATATATTTGAAAACAAAAACAACAAAAAAAAAAAGAAATAAGTCTTTATCTCTCTCTCTCGTTCTCTTGTTGTCTCTACTGTTTTCTTCTTTCTTTTGCTCATCTGTCAAAATAAAGTCACATAAGTTCTCTTTGTCCTTTTTTTTGCTGTTGATTGTTATTCAATTTTTTTCTTTGTGTCTCTCTATATTTCAGCAGATTTATGTGTGATTCACTGTACGTGTGTGTATATATATATAAGTACGAAGAAAACAAAATTCATTAATGATGATGATGATGACAAAATGTTGCCAAAACGAAGAAGTTTCAATAGATATCTAAAGTTCTACTTTAATTATTATATTATGTGTTTCTATGTAAATGTTTTTTTTTGTGTTTGTGTCTATGTGTATGCCAATTTTCAACAAGAGAAAGAAAAACAAATGACGCAGTTACGAACTAACTTCATGCGATGTATGTTTCATTTATATTATTTTGAAAAAACTCAAAAAAAAAATAGATAGTTTGGTATTTTTCTTGTATTATTAGGCCATGTCTCTGTTTTCATTTCCTCTCTATTTGTTGACTGATTTGTTTTAAATCTATCTTCATATGTTTTTTTTTCTTTATTTCATTTTTTTTGTAACTGCACGCGTTATTCGATCTCGTTGGTATACAAACACGAAGAAAAAATAAAAAAAGAGTAAATTGAAACATTGAAAAATATGGAAAATGTTTAAAATTGAAGTTATAGATTCTTTTTGTTTTCATTCTCTAGATGGTGATAATCTATCTTATTAATATGATTATCTTAATATCAAAAATTGAGAATGAATAATGAAATTAATAATAATATACTAAGAGTATATCTTGTATATTAATTAGTATTTCTAACTCGACTGAATTTGAACTCACAAGAAATTTTCATGCTTATCAAAATCAATTTCAATGTTATTTATTCATCTACTTTTAATGAAAATTTTCTTTTTGATGATCTTTTCGGCTATGAATGTGTATCAATTCAAAATGAGAAAAAAAATGCATTTGTTCATGGACATCAAGAAATCATCGGTGCAAATGTCAAAGACGTAGATGCAATCATCCGAATTGATTTAGAAATGAAGCCATATATATATTATTTTAAATATTTATAATACAATTTTGATAGAAAATCAAAACTTACAATCAAGTATTTTTACTTATCATTATTCAATCATAAATATTCGTAATGAACATTTACAACAAACACAAAACTATAAACAAATATATCCTTTAAGTGACATATTGATCGACATGTCCTTTTTTTTTACTTCGTTTATTATTTTTTTTTTCATTCGAATTATTCATAGAGAGGACGAATAATATTTACGATGAATAACAAAGTGTCACACAGAAAGGAAGACTATACTTTTTCATACTGTCCAACATTCATCCAAATAGGTGATTCGTCACGCATTAATGCACAGTAATATCTATTTTTCTTTCTATTCTTTCTCTCTCCCTCTCTCTCTCCCTCCCCACACATTTATTCATCAAGCTAACAAACTCAGTTCACACATTAATTATATACCTATATACATATATATATCTATATATACCTACATACATCTAAATATACTTAATGACGACGGCAAATACCCAAGGATACTATCCAACAATGCAAAATCAAGATGATAGTCTTTTCTATGACGACCAAATCCAACGTTTTGATGCAGATACTATTAAAAATCGTTATGGTAGCAATTGGAAAAATTTTGCAACAAATGTACGTGAAATAACTCAACCAGATGGATCAATTGTTAAAGGTATGTTTTATATTTTATATTAATAATTGAATACACAGGTTTTTTTTTCTTATTCTAGAATATATTATTGATGATCCAAGTTTACTTGAAGAAATCAACACATCATCACATCATATTGATTCAATATCATCACCAACTGCTTCTGACGATGATCAACAATCCATAAAAAATAGATTTGCACAGATTAAAGCAAAATTTGAACAAAAAAATACATCGAATGTTATGGCATCACCATCAACATCATCCGCAAATAGTAGTAGTACAACATCACGTCATTCTAGAAAACAAATTGATGATTTATATGCAAGGCATAGACAAACATCGAATGAGTCAATGTCGAATAATGATACAAATAGAAATTCGGCCAATACTTTGAATCAATCGTTGGAATCTCAAAATACTTATCGTCGATCACAATCAATAGGTAGTGAACAATCTACTGGAACTTCTTATAGACGTTTTGATTCTGTTGATGAAGCTGATGAAGAAGTTAGACGTATTCATCGACAAGGTATGTTTCATTAAAAAATTTTATTTGATTTTTAATATGATTTCATTGTTTTGAAAAGGTGAAGAATTACGTCGTCATCAACAACAAGATTTAACATCTGTATCATCAATAAAAGAAGGATCACAACCAAAAAATCGTATACAATATGAAATAGTCGATGAAAATGGAAATCCTATGGCTGTTGATGGTGTTCAAGATTTAATTAAAATGTCAGGTGCACGCGCACGAGAAGTTCCTCAACCAGATGGATCAATTATAAAAGAATATGTAATTGATGATCCTCAATTATTATCTCGATTTCGTTCAGAAAATCATCAACAACAACAACAACATCATCAACAACTACAACAGCAACAACAACAACAGCAACAATATCATTCACCAATAACAGCATTTAATCAACAACGAAGTAGTAATGAAAATGTTCCACCACCACCTCCACGTGTCCCATTACGACCATCCGTATTGTTACGTCAAGGAAATTCATCAGTCAATGAAAATGCTCCATCTAATATTCAACAAATTCGTGTTCTTGAATCACAACGACGGTATGAATATAGAACAACAACTGGTCGACGTGTTCAATTTTTTATAACAAATTTTGATACTACTAATGGACAATCAATAACTGATTCAGAAGTTCGTGAATTAGCAAATGCTATTAATAATCGTCTTATACCAACTACAACACCACCAGCATCATCATCATCTAATACTATTCCACAACAAACACAATATAATTTACCTAAACAATGGTATCCATCGATTGATGTAACACAACGACAACGTCTTGGTTCTGATACTCAAACATATCCTAATAATATGAATTTGGGTTTTCCTCAAACACAATCAAATTTAGCACGTTCAGCATCCTATGGTGCACTCAATCAAACTTCTTATCCAACACAAAATCATCAACAACAAATATATCGTGAACCAACGAATAATTGGAATACAAATCGATATCAACAAAATTTGAATCCAAGAATAAATCAACAAAATCAAGATAATGAAGCATTTCAAACATCTGCACAATTTTTACCTAAACAACAAACAAATAGTTCATCACCAATAAATCCTAATCATCCACCGGTTTATTATCAACAATCAACAGCCTATCCATATCAAGGACAACAACAACATGGTGTTCGTATTCTTAATGATTTTAATCAGCAACGAACAACTTCTATAGCTGATGGTCATACTAGAATATAATCTAGACATATGTTTTTGTTTTTATATTTATTAAAATTAGAATGACCATTTGCGCTTATTTGTTTGTTTGTTTGTTTGCCCCTTTTTTGTTTTTTTCTATTAATTAAAATGTGTCTCTTTTTTCCATAAATGAGAAATGAAACATTTTTAGATTTATCATGAAGATTTCACAACAAATATGGAATGATCTATTGATGACACCAAATAATCGCAGTGTCACTCAAATCAAATATACAGATAATGGTGTGTGTGTTTTGAAATTTTAATTGAAACGAAAAAAAACGATTGTTTTGAAATATATTATTTAGAATGGTTAAATGAACTGATTTGTTTTGTTGTCAATGGTTCTTATGAGAAATTATTTAATGAAAATCCAAATCTACGAGATTTCATCAATAAAACTCATGATGATATTCAATCGATTGAGATTATGAATAAATTAAATCATGATCAAGAGTTAGTTAGAAAAATCAATTGAATTTTTTTTAAGAAAATTCTATTTTTATTTTATTTTAAAAGACTTGTTGATTTATTGTATGTTCTCATTGGTATTGCATATCTTCAATTGTTTATTATTAATAATTTTCTCGGACCTAAAATTGAACTTGATAATGATGTTGAACAATCAATATCAGAAGTAGTTATGATACTATTATTGATATATTATTTTTCTTATATTTTTTATTTCAAGAGTTCAATCAATGAATTATTAACCTGTGATGGTGTAGTACCGGTTTCAACTGTTCAACATTTAGATTATTTATATCAAGCAACAAAAGTATTTAATGTTGAAAGAAATACTAATTGGGTATGAATATTTTATCAATTACTCTCATAAAGGAAATTTATACCTTAGATTGGATTAATATTTATCATTGAGTCTAAATAGAAACATGTTATTTCGCAATGTTTGGATCCAGGTTTAGATCCGAACTTTTTCACCTCTCGAATCTCTAAAGACTTTTTTAAAATGTTGATTTGAAGATTCTCCTGAGAAAACTTGTTTTTCACTCATTCTATTTTTATAACAATTCTTCAGAGATTTTATTAGTTTGCCAAGATTCTCAAAGGATTAATTATCCAAATAGTTTATCTAACAGTATTAATATACTAAGAAAATATTTTTTCTTATACATATATGTTTAAATATTAGACTGATTATTGGTGGACAATGCGGACATTATTTACTCATCAAAAAATGTTGGAAGAACGTTCAATGACATTATGTGATAATATTCAACGAAGCATTGATAAACGTAATAATGACATCAATATATATTTAAAAAAAATACTTCTTATTTATTTTAGTTCTTGCTTATCAATCGGAAATGGATAAGTAAAAATAATTCATTGATTCAATCATAATATAAAATTCATTTTTTCTATTATTAGAACACAACAAATTTTATTCTTTATTGAAATGGCTTATGCATCTCAATATTATTATAACTGGAAACAAGTCGAAACAGCTAAAGCTCAAATTATTGAATTATCAGGTTTAGAAATTAATTTAACAGGTACAAAAAAGGATTTTGTTTTATTTATGAAATAAATTATTTATTTAATTAAAGGACAACTTGGTAAACGAACACGTTATCAATTAAATAATACATCTCAATTACTTCTTGATATTACAAGAAAAGATTTACAGCAAACATCAACTAATAATAACAAAACAAATGAAGAAATTTCAATATTACCTAAAGTAAATATAGATCTATTTAAAAAAATTTCGAACTTTTCGGTTTTTTCTTCTTCTAAAGAATCTTGCATTGAATGATGATGTTGTCCTTAATCAAATACAATTTGAAAATGAAAGTGATAATCAAAATTTGACTATTCAATTAAATGTTATTGAACAATTAGCATTATTATTAATTATGTTCGTTATTTATTTTATTTATTTATTATCAAATATTTTATTTCTTTCGTATTTAGATCTGATCGTCAAGTTAATAATCCACGTCATGAAATTACAACAGAAGAACAATTAGCTTTTCTAACTGTATGTATGCAATACATGATAATATAAATTACTATCATCAAAATAAAGTTCATGTTTTCTGCTAATCATTACGAATAGGGATGTGCCGAGAGGTTCGGTCTCAGTACATGCTGAATTACGAACTGATTGAGTTTAATGCAATGAAGAATTTTTACCATCTATTGTAGTTTAATATAGAATAAGTAGTAGGAATAGAAATAGTAAACAGTGTTAATAGGAAAAACTTCTAGAAATGTAGAGTTATAAAGTAATTAGTTTTAAATAATATAGGACATTTGTCTAAACTGTCGTTTAGTACTATTTATAATTTCATGAAGAACTTCAATCAGAATCAAAGTGAAGTGTTGTCTATCCTAGTTTCCGTTCGGCATTCTCTGTATTGATAATATCCTGTCGTGTCTTACATCTTGACTATATTTTACGTAAAGAATTTTCAAAAAAACTTCTGTCATATATCTTATTAACTTGTCATGAAAAGATTTGATTTTGATAGAAAATGAATTCATTGTATTACGACGTAACTTATCTTCTTTCCATTTCATAGATTAGTAAAATTAACTACCATTCTTTTTAAGAGAATATATTGGATTTTATATTTATCTTGATGAATATGGAAATCTATTTTTTTTTTATTAAATAGTATATATTAGCTCGGCCAATAAATTGGTGTATTCAAACATGTTCACTTACATTTCGTTGTCAACATGAAACAGAAAGTAGTCGTAAAATTGAACGAACATTATTACAATTACAAGTAAATCAAAATTATAAAATATAAATATATATTCAACTAATTTCTTATTTGTTAATTAGGAATTAATTGATCAACAAGATAATAAAGATCCTTCAAGTTCATTTCGTTTAGAATATTTTCATTCAACACCAGTATATCCAACATGGAAATTAAAAGTAAAATAAAATTTATTTTTTTGTGCTAAGTAATTTCTTTATTAGAGTGACATTGCTAATATTTATGTTAAACTTGGTCTCGTCAATAATGCACTTGATTTATATTTACATTTAAAAAAATGGTCTGATGTTATATCATGCTATCAAATATTAAAAAAACTTTCTTTAGTAAGTTGAAATTAGTTGGAATAATAGCGAGTGATTTAAGATTTGGTTTTATTTTTAGGCTGAACATGTAATTCGTGAACAATTAAAAATTAAAGAAACACCAGATTTATTATGTTCATTAGGTGAAGTAACTGATGAATTCGAATATTTTGAACGTGCATGGATATTAAGTAAAGAACGTAATGGACGTGCACAACGTTTAATGGGAAAATATTATTTTAATCGAGGAAATGTAAAGCATAGATTTAAATTTGTTTATTTTACTTCATTGTTTTTTTCTAGTATGAAAAAGCTTGTGAACATTTAGTGAAAGCAGTTGAAATTAATTCTTTACAGGTATTGAAAATAAAATCATATACTTATTATATATTAACTCAATGTTTTAATTAGCATGACACATGGTTTTGGCTTGGTAGCGCAGCATTTCGTACAGAAAAATGGGAATTAGGTGCACGAGCTTATAGTCGTTGTACTAATATTGAATCTGATGTAAGTTGATAATTCGAGAGAAAATCTTTACAAAAATTCTTATTATTTAATGATAAACTCATCTTTTGATGTTATGAGAATTGATATAAAAAAAGAAATTATCATAGAATTCGTTTAAGATATATATATGCTAAGGATGATTAATTCGCTAGTCAAGTCTTATTGGATCTTAGACGAAATCACTAATCATTCGATCGAATTTAGTATGAGTTTATCTGTTTGTGTAGCAACGATAATTTATTGATATTTGGTGGATAAACAGCAAATGATTCTCTAACGAAGAATATTTGAATATCAAGAGCACCATGCATGTTTAAATTCTCGATTAAGTATTGCTAATTGTATTGAATAAATTCATCCCGATTCCTAAATATATTTTCAAACGAAATCGTTTACTGATATTCTCTTACTTAAATTTGCTTGTTATTTGATTATGAAAATACTTCATCGATATTATTTATTCAGTTGACGATGAATTTTTTTGATACATATATTATTAATGTTTACATTTTTTTAATATAGAATTTTGAAGCATGGAATAATTTAGCTGCATGTCATACAAAGTTAAAACAAAAGTAAAAAAAAGAATATTTTTATATGATAATTAGAAATGAATTGATTGACATTTTTCTAGAGATAGGGCACATAAAGTTTTTATTGAAGCTATTAAATGTAATTATGATAATTGGAAAGTATGGGAAAACTTTCTTTGGGTATGTTTTATTTAATTATAAAAAAACTATTTTGATAAAAATTAATTTATTATTACTACTAAGACTAGTGCTGATTGTGGAGAAATTGATGATGTTATTCAAGCTTATCATCGTTTGTTAGATTTGAAAACTAAATATATTGATAAAGAAGTATAATTTCTGTTTATAGTATCATCTTATAAAAATATCTTTTAAGGTATTACAACGTTTAGTACATTTATTATCTGAAAATGATCAAAATGAAATTTGGAATAAAATCTATCAAAAATCTCTTGAATTATTTGGAAGATTAACATCACAAGTAAAATTTTTCTAACACAAAATAATTTCATATAATTGAACATTTTAGGTAACTAATGATGCGGATATATGGGAATTATACAGTGATTTATGTCAATTGAAAAAAGAAGATACTTCACTTGATTGGCATATGAAAGTATGTCTAGAAATTCTATAGAAAAAAAGAAAAGATTTATTTAATCAAAACTAAAACTGACATATTTATAATACTATTATATTTACTCACATAAATAAAAATATAAATGAGGACAAAAATAATTTGATTAAATCAAAGAACTTTGTTTTTCTTTTCTATTTCTAAAGACTTTACAACATTTACAACGAGCTCAACGTTGTGCTGTTAATCAGTCATCTAGTTGGGAAAATGAAATCAATACAATTAATGATGTTCTTATATTATCAAATAAACTTGCAATTAGTATGTTAGATTTGTCTTAAAGAAATTCATTTTTGTATATTAATATACTTAGATACAATTAATAAACTTACGGAACATCGTGAGAATGAAAGTTTCAAACAACTATGTCATTCAATCCGTCTTGCATTAAATTCTGTTATGACTCGGTTAAAACAAAAATATGACACATCATTATTGACAACGAATGAAATCATGGCAGAGAATGTTCAACAATTAGAAAAATCGCTTTTACAATTAACTGATATGTTACTTAAAAGTTGATAGAATTGTTAACCCGTTGTTATGAGTTATATTTTTTTTTTGTTTGTTGCATTTTATTACAATAAACATGATGGTTAATCAACGAAGAAAAGAACAAAACATAATAAACGATTCAGTCCGGACATAGAATATGAAGAGTTCGTAATGATAGAAAATTATGTTGAACGACGAACAAGTTCCTTTTCTTCTATAAATATGTCGGAGAACAACTATATATTTTTTTGCTTTATTATGGATTCCATGTACTTATAGATTTGTCAATGTTAGTAAAGACGAGATTCTATCTTGTTCTTTCTCGGTTTTTTTTCTAATTTTCTTTGACATGAGAAATAAGAGGAAGAAGAAGGAGGAAAAGAAACTAGAATCTACAATTTGATCCCAAAGAAACGAAATAAATCAACAAAAGATTGAAAGAAAGAAAGAGAGAAAAAGAAAACTGACAAGATAAATAATATTCTGTTTAAAAGAGACATAGAATACTATGTAAAAACATGTCACCATAAGTGATTTTTTTGTCTTTAAAAAAAATAACTAATCATATATGACATAGAAATCCATTGCTTAATTCTTCGAACAATCTAGGTAAGTATAAAATCAATTATGAGTAGTAAGAAAAAAAGTGAGAAAAAAAGGAAGAGAAGTTTTCTTATTTTAAGTTTGTTTCCATTGATGATGACTACAATGATGACATCTGCTTGAGCTGTTTTTTCTACATTTATATATGCAAATAAATACTTTTTCTTCTTGTCAAAACATCATAGAATAAAAAAAAAGTTTTATTTCCTTATATTATTAATAGCATATTGGAATGTACTCTTAAAAGATTGCAGACAATCATTGAAAAAAATTCATTAGAGAAAATAATAGAAATAGTTCAGTAAGTTTTATTTTATGATAGAAATTGATAAGCAATGTTCATTAACTGTCATAAATAAATATGCGTTATTATACAAGAGGAAAAGAAAAAAGGCGGAAATAACGTCATTTTGATCATAAACATGCACTGAAGTACTAAAAAATCCAAAGGAATACTTGAACAGATTCTTTTGTTTGCTATTTAAACAAATTTATTTTTCGCTTTTTGCTTTATTTTGTTTTCATTAATAGATAATGACAACCAATATGCGTTCATCTCAACCAATGCCATCATTTGTTATCGATACTTGTCCATCAGATGATACTCAAAAACCATTAGAAACTTGTAAACAATCAACAACGAATCAATTACGTTCATGGAGTTTACCCAACTGTAATGAAACTTATAAAGATTTACATGGTGCTATACACTATTCATTTTCTAATCAATTAAACAATATTTTAAAACGATCTCGTTCATATCCAAATAATTACTTATTTATATATTCTAAACTACAGGAAAATTTTCCTCGTATACAATCACCATCAACATTTATGTCTGTTCGTATGAATTATCTTGATCCAAATGGTGGTACACAAACACCAGGCGGTGCATCATCACGTTATTCATTATATGGAAGTTTTTTTGATTTATCTGAAAGTGGTTATTATCCTGCTTCAGATCAACAATTAATTAAATCAGATAATAAATTATTAACTATCGATGGCCGTCCATTATTAATTGTTGATCATTCTACTCATTTAGCAACAAATACATATCAAGATAAATGTATGGATTGGCTTCATCATATTCAAACAAATTCAAGTTAAATTAACAGAAAAAAAGAAAAAAACGAAAATTTATGATTAAAAGTTTTTTTGTTTATTTAATTTTAATCATTATCTTCAACTACAAGATTTTGTATAAAATCTTTATAAGTACATATACGATCTGATTCATCATCAAGTGCAATAGTCATAAAATCTTGAAATTCTTCGTCATTAAATGGTTCACCTAGAAACAAATTTTATTTAGAAAAAATGAAATAAATCTTTTTTTATTTTTAAATACCTTCTTTACATAAATAATTTCGAAATTCTTCTTCAGTGATAAAACCATTATTTTCAGCATCAAGAACTTGAAATGCTCGTAAAATTTTACTTTCTGGTTCACCTTGATAACGACGATCTTTTAATATAACATTCATAACATTTAAAAATCTTTCTAAATGTATTGATTCAGGATTTGAATCATCAGACATCTGAAATAAAATATATTTTAATATACTATGCAATTAAACTTTTTTTTATAAAACATTACTTCACTTAAAATATCTTGAAGTTCACCTTCAGTTGGTACAAGACCAAGAGATCGTACAACAGTACCTAATTCTGTTGATGGAATTGTATTATTTGATTCTTGATCAAATACATTAAATGCTTCTGTTAAACGTTTAATACGTGCTTGATTAGCTCGTTCTTAATAATAAAATTTAATTAGAAATTTTGTTTTTTTTTAAATCAATTTTTAAATAACATACCTTCACTTTCTCGAATTGGATCTCGTAAAGTTACTCGATTTACTGGATCAGGTACAACACCTGCTTCATCGGTTGTTGCCGCCATTGATAATGTGTGTTCGAGTCTGTTTCCTTAGAGTGTTGAGTAACTATTTATATATACTTCAAATGTATGTTATTATAACAGTTATCCAAAACTTTTGATTATAAAATATATAATTAAATTATTTATTCGTCCAAAATAATAAGATATAAGAGAATAAAATACTTCTTTATTATTATTATTTATTGGCAGCGACATCTGAATAAAAGATATATATATGATTTTAGCATATTTTTTATTACCATGACAAATTGTCTCATGAGAAAACTATTCAGAACATTGACATTTCACTATTGTGATTTGGAAGTCAATGATCTTCACTCATCAAATCATTCATATGAAAGATGATCTACAAAAGGAGAAGATAAGTAATGCATAAAGATTTTCTATACAGTGCAACTAAATCTAAGAATGTAAAAAGATAATCTATTTAATGTTACGACATTCTTTTTGATTAAATCGCCTAAATGCACAGCTTATTTTTGCTTATGCCAATAGCATTGATTCTATCTATAAATACATGTTTCTATAATTGTAATCAATGAATTTTTGCTAATCTTTTTTTTACATCATATTTTAAATTGATGAAACAAATCAGATCATATGATCCTATTTTGTATTTACCGATATGTTAATACATTTACTTGGCTATATCCCATTACAAGCTCATGAGTGATTACATGAAATTTAAAGATATTTATAAGCAAAGTAAAACAAAAAAAAAGCAAATTTTTCTTTTAGTATCAAAACAATTATAAGTGCAAATGTAATCGGAAGCAACTATATCGAATGAAAATGTTAAATTTTGATTATCTTTGACCTTCAGATTGATATAATAGGTTTATATTGATTTGATTATGAATAAAATAATACTGTGGAATTATTTCAAAATCATATTGTATTTTAATTTTGATTACAAATACTTTCATTATTTTTTTGTCTTTTAGTTTTAGTTTTTTTTTAATATATGTAATCAGAAGAGATAAAGAAAAATGAATGTGATAAAATTTGAAAAAAAGAAAAGTACTAGGGAAATAAAAATCAGTCACGTCGAACAAGATTCACAGTCATATATATAAAGACCAAGAAAATAAATGACATTACGCATACGACAAGAATTCTATTAGAACATCGCATGGACCCTATTGTTGTTAATTTTGTTTTGTTGGTTTAGAGAAAAAAAAAGAAATAAATAAAATAAATGAATGTTGATGTTGTTCGTATATAAAAAAAATGCGTAAACATATGACAATCAAAGCTGAATAACAAAAACAGATTTCGATTACATAGATAAAGAAAAAGAGTGCTGATAACGTTTGAAATGAACGAAGAAAGATTTATTAATTAAGGTTGTTTTTAATAGCAATCTAAGAACAACATGATGTATTATTTGGTTTAGAATCAGATACAGGATTTGTCGGAGGAAGACGTATTGGAACATGTGATGATCCTGCTCCACCATTACCCTGTGGTCCCATTGGATCCGGAATTTGACGTTGAGAAACAATACGATAGATTTCTAAAAGAAAAAGAAAAATTAATTGAAATACAATAATAATGACAAATATTCTATTCGTTTTAAGAAGTATATTTAATACGTACGACAAGAAAGAATATACTCGATTTTTCTAACTCATCTTTATATTTATTCTAGCAAATGCGAAAATAAAATATATAGATGTTCTTTTCATATTGTGAGTGTTAAATAATTATGTCGTTTTCAAAATCAGTTATAGATAGATTCAAAAAATAATTTAAAATAAACATGAACAATAAATACCAGTGAGGATTGTATGGAATGCTTGTTCAACATTCGTTGAGTCTAATGCAGATGTTTCAATAAATGAGACGCCGTTCTTTTCTAATAATTATAAAGAAAACAAAAATAATAAATGACAATAAAATTATATAATTTCGTTTACCAGCAAATGCTTTAGCTTCATCACTTGGTACTGAACGTAAGTGTCTTAGATCGGATTTATTTCCCACAAGTGAAATAACAATATTTGAATCGGCATGATCACGTAATTCTTTCAACCATCTTTCAACATTTTCATAGGTACCATGTTTACTTATATCGTAAACAAGTAAAGCACCAACTGCACCACGATAATAACTGATTGATATCGATATAATACGAGCATATTGAATTTATAGAAAGAAAAAAAAAGAACATACGCGCTTGTAATTGCACGATAACGTTCTTGACCAGCTGTATCCCATATTTGTGCTTTAATTGTTTTTTTATCTACTTGTATACTTCTGAAATGAAATAGATATTTTGTGTGTATAATAAAAAATTTCTGATTTTGAAATTTACCGTGTAGCAAATTCTACGCCTATTGTGCTTTTACTTTCTAAATTAAACTCATTTCGAGTAAAACGTGAAAGTAAATTACTCTTTCCAACACCTGAATCACCAATAAGCACCACTAAATAATCCATTGATTATTGTCTTTTATATCTAAATTCTAGTAATAAACTTACCTTTAAACAAATAATCATATTCATCTTCACGAGCCATTATATGTTCTTAGTATATGTATATTAATAAACAATTTTACTATCTTGAATATAAAATAATAAAGATTTTTTTTAATCACATATGTATCTGTTTATAGGCTATGTTATGTTTTAGTCGTGACGCGTCGGTTAAATAAAATATGATTGGTTGATTATTTTTCTATCTTATACTATGAGTCATTAGCTTCAGGTGTAATACAAAGTATAACCATTAAGGTTTATGAGAAACCAGATGACGCTAGATGATAGAAATTATATTTAATAAGGTGTTCGTCATTTACAATTCAAGCGGCTTTTACTTTCTTTGATTTTTCTACATGGTTCAATGTAATTTGATAAGTTGAATTCAATAGTTGCTTATCATTCAGTTCTTATGCAATTATTAACAGATTTTTCTATATACTTTGATAGCCCAAGTCATGCTCTATAATTCTGAAGTATTTTATATATCTTCAAATGAAGTCATATTACACATACGGAAAAAACAATCAGACTATGTGCGTGTTCGATATATTCTTTCCTTCCTGGATATGACTTATAGATCGCTTCTATGTCAAAATACGAGCTGTACTTCATATTCAATCAATACTTATTCATGATGAATTAAAGTTAAAGAACTCAAAGAACAAAGCAATATAAGCCATGACATCGTTCATCGAATTATTTTGGTTCATCTGCAGCTGAAAAAATCACTGCTCATTATATTCTCAAACATCTAACAAATTCTGAAAAAAAAGCTGAGTAAGTATATATATATGCTAAGAAAACTTATTGAAATTTATAGAAGGTGTTTGGAGATTTTGTGACATGGTGACGGGAGATGTTCCGTCCACATTCGTTTGACATAGTTGTTTTGCTTCAAGAATCAACGACCTTCTTTGTGATAATGAAAAACCATATATTCATGCAGCTGTAGCCAATTATCTTGAATGTGAAGATGTGACAATAAGGCCGCATCTACTCAGTTCTTCAGATCTGGTTCCCCGTGATTTTTGGCTGCTTGATTTAATGAAACAAAGTCTCGAGAATTAATATGAAGCTGTGCTCAAATTTATGAAGTCATTGAAAAAGGAAGACTATAGAAAAAAAAACTCTTGATAAATGGATTCAACGAATAGAATTATACATAATGAGGGTAATTATTTTGAACATTTCCAAATAGTAAAGAAACAATGAATATTTTTTTCGCTATCATTCTAAATAAAAAAGTATTTCAAGCTTTGTAAACCAAGTACGTAAGCTTATTCTATATGCTTGTCACATCATCAACTTAAATTAAAATAAAAAATTTGATGATATGATTATTTCAGATCACAGCATTTGTCTTTAGTCTCTTCGTATTTTATATTACATTTCGAAATAAATTGAATTCTTCTAATAAAATATATTTTCATCCCTAATTCTATTAGATGACTTTTATTCTTAAGGGATATATCACAAACACCATAATTTCAACAGTATAAGTATATACAACAATTTTGAGCTAAAATCAAACTGTCTTTTCAATAACACCATAAGAAAATTTATTTGATGCTTTTTTGTGTTGATCAAACGTTTCATATATATACGGAAAGAAAAACTCAAATTGAATTTGTCCCTTAGTGATGCAATTCATTATAACAGGAATAGAATGTTTTTTTCTTTTACAAAAAAATCAACTAATCACCTGAAAACAAGCAACACTTAAATATTTTCTCTTTAATATTTTAAAATATTATTTCTTCTTTTTATTTTGTTTCAATCTAATATGAATAAATAAAGAACAAAGAATGAATAATCGTTAATAATGCTCTTTCATAGAAAATATACTACGGTTTATAACAATAGTCGATCGATCCATCATGACATTCAATGGATGAACTTGACTAATGATTTTTTTTACTCTTCTTTTATTGTAACACTCGAAAAATTTGTTAATCAAGCAAAATATCTCCCTAATTTTATTATACAAAGATTCAATAATTCTCTTCTTTTTATTATTATTCTTTATTTTGATGTCTTAACGACTAACATTGATATTTGCTTTGTATTCTCTTGAGAATATATTACCGTCGAAGGATACATGATATAACAATAAAAAAACATACTGATAACATGGTACAAGCAAGTCATGTAGATGAGTCTACTGATGAATTTAAAACTAAAGAAAATTCACCACCTTCATGGCTAAAACGAGCACGAATAATTGCTGCTTTAATTTATATTTTTCTTCAAACTGCTTATTTTATATTCATAATCGTTTGTATTGCAGTTTATCCACGTTGTCAACAAGCTGCTGAAACACCATGGTGGTTAAATAGTGTATTTCTACGTTTTTCAACTCCTACTATGAAATTCAATGATTTAAATGAAAAACTTACTGATTATAAAAATAATTTTAGTATGCAAACTATTTGGCTTAGTTCTGTTTTACCATTATCAAATGAATTAAATCCATTGACTTGGACAGATATTGATGCTACTCTTGGTAATAATAGTACTTTAATAAATCTTATTGATAGAGCACATGAAAATAATATTCGAATAATTGTTGATTATCCATTAAATCATTTATCTATTCAATCCTCGTATTTTATTTCTAATGATGATGATTATTTTGTATGGAATGAACAAGGTAATACAAGTAATTGGATGACAATAGATAATAATCAAGAATCAGCATGGACTTTTAATAATCGAAAAAATTCATTTTATTTACATCAGTTTTATGATAATCATGATTCGATTGATATTAATTATAGAAATAATCGAGTTTTAAATGATACGATAAATTCATTTTCATATTGGAATAGAAATTTTCAATTTGATGGATTTAATTTACAAGGTATTAGTTATACATATGAAGATTATGAATATAGAAATGAAACAGATAATATTAAACGAACAAGACATCTTGATGAAGATTATCTTTTACTTGCACGTATAAGAACTGAAATTGATAAAGAAAAAATTCTACTTCTCGATTCAATTGATTCGTTAGCTACTACGAATGATGAATTTTTAACACGTTATTATGGTGATAAAAATGGATATTTAGGTGGTGTACAATTAGCTTCATTAAATAATTTTATATTAATTGATGAATTTCAAACGAATATAACAATGTTATTTAATAATTATTATAATTCAATATTTATTAAACAAGATCAACCATTTATATGGTCTTCTTTATCGATAAATTCAAAATTAAATGAAGCTTTTTTTGCTGCATGTCTATTTCATAAAGGTGCTATTTCTATTGATATTAATAAACAAGGAGAACAATTTACAAATGATCAACTTGATCGTCTTCGTCAAATAACAAAATTTGCACAAACATTAGATGTTTTTCGTGTTGGTAATATTCAACAAAATATTCTTTCTAATTCACAATTCTTAACTATAGAACGTACAAGACGTGGTGCAAGACATCATATGATTATTATTAATTTTAGTAATACTGAACAAGAAGATACAATTGAATTAAAAGATGGTGTAACAAATGCCGTTGAAGTTCTTGTAACAAATATATTAGATTCTGGTACAAAATATGAAACAAATGCATTAATTGATATGACAAAATCTATACGTTTAAAACCTTATGAATATCTTATTATTCGTTGGTCACCATCTATTGATGGACTTGGAATTATATTTTAAACAAACATTTTCTTTATATTCAATTTCAAGAAAACACTTCTTTTTTTTCCCTAGTATTACTTAATGTTCTTTTTTTTTTAAAGTTTGTTTTCCGGTAATAAAAATAAAAGAACGTCATTTCTATTTAAGAATTCTTGTAGTGTTACCATTTTTGAAAAACACATAGATTTGCTAATTATTTTTTTGCTTTTTACTTAAAACAAAAAGAAAATCATTTATTTGCTAAAAAAAAAAGAAAAAAAAGAATATCACTTCACCTTTTTTGAGACGCACTGCTACATTATTTTTTTTCCAGTTTTTATATACTTCAGTGCTTTTTCAGTCGTTTTAGCATACTTTTATTTTACATCCTATTGAAACAGACAAAGTCTACAAAAAAAAAAGAAAAATTGACGTAGGTAGAAAATTAAATTTTATTTTTTTGCCTCTCTCTCTCGGTGTTTTCTAGTTTTTAATCGACTAAAGTATACAAAATTTTATTTTTATATAGTCATTTCTCAACTGGTGAGAGTAAGTGAAGGTTTACTTTGGTAATAATCATGTCCTACGATCTTGGACAGCAACGTTCATCACCGCCACCAACCTACAGTGAGACTGTGGCTGGTGGAATGGAAAATGAAATGTATATCGATGGTATATTATATATTGATGGTGTACCGGTCAGTCAATCTGAAGAACGTCTTCGATTACGACAACAAAAACAACAACGTTCCAATCCATGTGGAAAAGCTATTGGATTAGTTCGAAGTATTTATTTGATTTTATTCATATGAAAATATGTTATTTATAATTTAATAGAACTTTGGGCTACACAACAAACTGAAAGAATTGATCGTCAATATGAAAAGGATAAATATGTTCGTACAACAATTCGTGAACTTATTGTCTACTTAATTTTTCTGGCAATTTTATCAATCGGTAGGATAATTACTTTAAATTTAAATTCGATTTATTTTTCTTTTCTAGTGGTATTTGGTATGGTAAGCAGTAATATGTTTTTGTTAACTCAAGCATTACAAAGTATTATCATTGGTCCTCAATTGACTGATAATACAAACAATCAATCTGGTCCAGCATTTCCAGATTTTGATCGTATGGAAGATTTTTGGCAGGTAAAAATAAATTAAAAATATCTTATGTACTTTCTCATCATATTTTTCTTTGGAAATAGTTTATGACCGATATAGCACCTACTGCATTCTTTACTGAAAGTTGGTATAATAATAACAATGTTACTGAGTATGGTTATGTTCTATTTGAAAATCGGTTATTAGGTGGGATACAAATGCGTCAAAAAAAAGTTCGGAATAATTCATGTTTGGTTGCGGATGATTTTAAAAATGAAATCTTATTTTGTTATAATTCATATGCACCAGTATATGAAGATCAAGTTTCATTTGGACCATGTGAAAATCTTGATGCTGACAATTGTACTTATGATGCGTAAGATTTCATTTCTTTGATTGTCTTTTTTTTTTGTATTAATAATTATTTTAAGATTTAAATATACACCAAACAAATCATGGTTAGGATTAAGCTCAACTGGACAAGTTAGTGTTTATGATCAAGGTGGTTATACTTTACTAATGCCATCAACAATGGAGGAATTTAATGCTGAAATTCAAAATTTATTTGACAAGTAAGAAAATTAATCTATATAATTTTATTTTTAATTTATAATAATTTAGCCTTTGGATTACACGCGGTACTCGAGCAATTATAGTTGATTTTACAGTTTATAATGCGAATTTAAATTTATTTTGTCAAGTTCAGTAAGTTAATAAATTTTCCGATTAGAATGAAAGAATAAACATTTAATTGGTATTATTTTAGACTTCTTTTTGAATTTCCAGCTGTTGGTGGTGTATTAACAACATCAACATTTAATGCTGTTAAATTAATTCGTTATGTTTCGACATTTGATTATTTTGTCTTGGGTTGTGAATTATTTTTTGTTCTATTCATTATCTATTATACAATTGAAGAAATTATAGAAGTAAGTTTCATTGATTTTTTTCTATTTTTATTTTTTATACAAATAATTTTCTAGATTCGCAACTATAAATTATCATATTTTAAATCAATTATGAATTGTTTGGATGTAATTATTATATGTTTATCCTACGTTTGTATTATATTTGATATTTATCGACAAGCTCAAGTTGATTCGTTACTTAATCAATTATTACAAGATAATTCAAAGCAATATGATGATTTTTCATTTTTATGTTATTGGCAATATCAATTTAATATTATAATCAGTGTAACAATATTTTTAGCTTGGATTAAAGTTTTTAAATATATTAGTTTCAATAAAACCATGACACAATTAAGTGAAACATTAGCTCATTGTGCAAAAGATATATCTGGTTTTGCTATTATGTTCTTTATTATTTTCTTTGCATATGCTCAACTTGGTTATTTAACATTTGGCGTTCAAGTTGAAGGTTTTGCTAGCTTCGAATATTCAGTGTAAGTTAATCATAAAATTAATTTTATGAGAAATAAATAATGATATTCTTTTAGTTACACATTATTCTTAATTATTTTGGGTATTTTTGATTTTGAATCACTTCAACAAGCTCATCGTGTACTTGGTAAGAACTTTTTCAAAAGAAAAATATTTGTATCTTTCGATTTTCTTTAATTAAGGTCCATTATTCTTTTTAACATACGTATTTTTTGTATTTTTCGTCTTATTAAATATGTTTTTGGCTATTATTAATGATACATATGTTGAAGTTAAAGAAGAATTACGAAATAAGAAAAATGAATTTGAAATTAGTGATTTTGTTCGAAAAGGTTATGGTAAAATGCGTGAACGTTTAACAGTGAAACGTGATCGTATAGCTGATATTCGTCGTGCATTAGCATTAGCTGATCTTAATCGTGATAAACGTCTAGAATTTGATGAATGGCGTACAGAAATGAAATCACGTGGTTATGCTGAAGAAGAAATTGAAGCATTATTTTCGAAATATGATTTTAATGGTGATAGAGTCTTAGATGAAAATGAACAACGTGCATTAAGTAATGATTTATTACGACAAAATGATGCTATAATTAGAGAAATGGATGAATTAAATACGTCAAAGAAAAATAAGTAAAAAGAAAAAAAAAGAAATAAATAAAATTATTATTTTTGTTTTTTGTATTTTAGTATGCCAATAGATACAGGTGATGATGAAGAAGAAGGTGGAGATCGACATGGAAGTGCAGGATCAAAACGTTTACAAGCACATGAAGTATCAATGGAAGAATATAATGAATTGGCTAAACGACTTGATACAATGGAATCATCAGTTGGATTTGTTTTAACTAAAGTATTGAAAAAATAGTTTTTAGAAAAAGAAAAAACAATTTGAGATTTAATTATTTAGATTGATAATGTTGCTTCAAAACTTGATGCATATGAAAAACCAAATAAAGCTAATGGAAAAGCTAATAAAAAGAATCGTTCAGCAGATGGAAAAAAAGTATGAAAACATTTAATTTTTTTTCATAATTGACTTTTGTTTTATTAGTCAAAAACTGATTCATTAGAAGTTGATTCTTTTCACAGCACAGCTGATTAGGTAAAATTTTTTTATATGATATCATAAGAAGATAATGTTTCTTTTTTCTTGTTTAGAATCGATGAACAATATTCATTTTCTGAAAAATTATTTACTCGAACAATTTTATTGATAAAAATTCTTTAATACTGCTTTTTTGTGTGTATTGTTGTTTTGTGCTTATTCGCGTGAAATCTTTTTGATGTAAACTCTTTATATATATACTTATATATTTTATTCAAATAAATATGATCGAGAGATGCTAAAACTACAAAGTTAATTTTTTCTACAGTTCAATTTTACATATACATTCATTGATCATGTAACAGTATTCAATTATTATCTATTTGTTGAAGAGAATAGATCCTATTCATTCGAAACTAACAATCAACCTTTTACATTGCAAATTAAAATTAACAGACCTAATAATCATTACGAGAATCAAGTCAATTTTCTATTCAAGATTAACATTTTTAATTGTTTAGACAATAGTCTATCATTAATTTTCATAGAAAAAAAGATATAAATAGCATGTCATCATGCACTAATAATAATTTTTTTTGATACTGTCTGTATTAGCTGGCATTGAACATGTTCTTAAAATAATGAGCGCACAAAGAATAATTGATCCCTATGAACACGCATTATTTTTATATTCAATTTAACATAATGTACCGAGTCATAATATGGAGTAACTATCATATTGATATTATTCGTAATTTAGAATTTATATATAATAAATTTTATATCGATAGTTGATTTATGTGTAAAACAAATAATTTTTTTTATTTCATCATATATATTAATACTTTTACTGTTTATTCAAAAAAAACTAATGTAATCGAAAAAAAGCATCAGCAAATATAGCAAAAATCTGAGACGTGTGTATATAGGAGAGAGAGAGAGAAAAAAAAGGGAGATAAACAAGTCATAATCGATTGACTAGTCAACACATACACAGATATACAGAAAAATATGCACCGGTGAATGTGTACAAAATCAAAGATAGAAGAGACAGAGAGAAAGAGAGAGAGCGAGAGCGAGAGAAAGAAAAAATAAAAGTATTTTTTATCACAATATTGCAAATAAAATTCATCAATTCACCCATATGAAATAAAACCATGAGAATTAAGAAGTAAAATTGATTATAATTATTGTTATTATAATGGTGTATGATGATATTTATTCGATGATGATGTTAATGGTCGATAATCATCATCATCATTACCTGAACTTGCGGGACTTATTGCACGTTCATCATCACTAGTCGGTGGATAGAGAAGAGTTGATGATGATGTTATGGTTGTTTTTTCTGTACTACTACTACCACCACCTGGCATGAAACGACGAAATACACTTCCACTTGGTTTTATTGTTGGTGGACTTTTTATAGATGTTGATAGGAGTGAAACATTTTTATTGGATGCACTTTGTTGTGTTGGTGATTCAAGTTCAATAATAGTTGATTTTTCAGGATGTTGCTGTTGATATTTACCACCACTACTTCGACTATGATGTAAACGTGATTTTAATTTAGGTGAACGACCTGGATTATAACGTGTATTTGAAATTGGTTGAAATCTAGTCGGTAATGGATTTTTTGGGCTAACAGGTGATGATGGTACAGGTGCTGGTGCTATTTTATTTGATATTGAACCACGTGATGTTGTTGATCCACCTAAACTTGCAATAGATGAACTAGCTGAACGATTATAAATCGATGGTGGTGGAATTGATAGTGCTGCAAGATCATAATAACTTATTTGACGTAATGGTGGTGTTCCAGGATTTTGTTCGCTTGTTCTTGATTGTCGAGATGAATCATGTATATCTGATGTTATTGGAGGTGATGGTTGATTAGTATCGTATATATTCGTTTTAGAATTTAAATCGGAATAGAATGATGCTGTTTCAAATAATGGAGAAATTGCCACAGAAGTAACATTTGTATCAGGCGATAATCCCGTAGTTATTGGTGATAATGGTGCTGGGTGAGGCGAAGGTGCAAGTTGTGGTGGTGTTGCTGATGTTGGTTTTGGAATTGACGGTAAATTATTTGCTGTGGATGTATTTAATGGTGAAAGAAAATGGAAAATCTGACTAATTTGTTCATCAATATGCGTCATACGTCTAGTCAATGCACGTACTTCATTACTCAAATCAGTTTTTATATCAAATAATGATGATAACAATTGATGTTCACCAAACTGTGATGATACACTACGATGTGGTCCAAATGCTGCATTTATATCTGAATGAGTTTCATTCAATTGTTTCTAATTAACAATAAGAAAAGAAGAACAGAATAAGATATTATTTGAAATAAATTTTAGTAATTATTTTACTTGTTCATCAGTTCTATCGTCGAATGTTTTTATACTTCCACGTCGAGCCGATTCTGGTATAAATAGACTTAGTGGAATCGATGGTCTTCGTTCACTTCGAAAGACTGTTTTTGATTGTAATTCATCATCAGATGTATTTGGATCAAATGGATTATTTGTTGTTTGAATTAATGATGGTTTTATTATTGTAGGTGTTGTTGGTGCTGGTGCTAGTGCTATTCCTGTATCACTTTCTGGTTCAGTTGAACCAGTTTTTAACCATTTCCATTTACTTGACTTTGGATGTCGCTGTAATGGTGGACTTTGATTAAGAGATGTTATCTGTGATACTTGAGATTCTTGTGATTCTATACGTTCTGATATTGTTTCTAATTTATCTCGTTGTTTATTAGTAGATGATGCAGGTAATTGTAAAAGTTGAAGAGATGCTAAAGAATTTGTGTTTAGTAGTGGTGTAGTATCCATTGGTTCAGCACTAGGTGGTTGAACAGCTGTTTCTGGTATAATTGGTAACAATGGTTGTGGTTGGGATGAATTTGTTGATCCTGCTGAAGGTACAGATGTAGTCGGATTATTTTGGGAAGCAGCACGACTTTCTTGAGATATTTTACGAAATTTTGATATTAGTTTTCGTACAGGATGATCAGAACTAATTTGATCTAAACCTTCATTTTTTCTTGTTTCAGCTAATTCACGTTCACGTTTAACATCAGCTATTTTACGAAATACAACCTAAATATATATAGAAAAAAAAATACAAATGTATTTCATTTTTTTTTGAAGAAAAAAAATAATCATACACGATGTCTTAGATTATAAGTAAGCACCATATTACGAGCAAATGAAACACTAAATGGATGATAAAAATCCAAGACTTCAAGTAAACGATCTCGTCGTATTTGATGTAAATTACAATAAGTTAAAGCACGAACATTCGCTGCTGATTGACCAACATTATCTCGATTTTTACTCCAAAAATCATCACCAAATACATCATTAGTACCTAGACGAAAAAAACACAAATTATTTTAACACTAAAAATAAATTATCTTACTAAGTATTGCTAAAACTTCATCATCTTGTATAACTTCTAACGAACCAGATACAATAAAACATAACATATCAAGACTTTCACCACAATGATATAACATATCACCAGGTGCAGAATGGTTTATATGAAAATGAACAGCTAATGCACGTAAACAACCATCACTAGCTAAACGAAATGCTGGATGTTCATTAAATACACTTCGATTCATATGTACACATATATCAGCACGCATATCTTTTGGACAATAATTTAATACTTTTGTTGCATCAATACCTTTTGTCATAGCCCATGTTGATACAACATAATCCATAATACGTTCATTTAATTGATTTGGCATACCATGCAATCGCATAAATTCTCGAATACTAATATAGAATAAAAAAAATGTATATTTTTGTTTTTTTAAATAAACAAATTATTTCATATAAAATGTTTTTCTTTTTCGTTAATTTATTACATACCTACTTAACATTTCATGATATCTCGCAGTAGCAGAATACATTTGAGTAAATATTGTTGTTACATTACCAAATATAGTTGCATAAAGTAATGAACCAATAAGCATCATAACACATGTAAAAATTTTTTCATTATCACTATTTGCAGCAACATTACCAAAACCAATACTAGTTAATGAACTCATTGTATAGTAAAGTGCTGTTACATATGCTGCTTTTCGACATGTACCATTTGATTCATATGCTGTTAGATTACCATACGAATCAATACATGCATAATGTAATTCTCTATCCATTTTTACTAACCAACTATATTCCATCTATTTGAGAAAGAAAGAAAGAAATAAACAAAATTTAATAATTTAGCATTTTAGTTATGTCGTATTTAATTATTAAAAAGAATCAAATATGTCATATGCTCTATATTAATTAATGAAACCTTTTTTTTTGTATATAAAAAATTTAATTAGAGAACTGCTTTAGGTATTCTAGATTGAATTGTTTAATAGTTGATAACGTAGAAGATCTAATAGGAAACTCTAGAAGCACCTAATTAATATAATTTCTTAGAAAAAAGTTCTAGGGTTTATTTTATTCAATAATGCACATTATTTACTATTAATAGAATGGAAAGTACAAAAAAAAAGAATTGAATTCAATAATACAAATATAGATAATTAATTAATTGATCTCATTCATTATTTTGACTAGTTTTATTATAAATTGATTATTTCAAGTTCTAACTAATTTTAGTTTCTTATGTTAAATTTTGTAGATAGTTTTATTGTGCATGATACAATCTAATTAAATTAAACACGCACATATATATATATATATATAAAAAGAAACATAATTTTATTTATTCATATTTTTAATATTTATCTTAGATCGAATACTAATAAATAGAATAAAAATTAGGTTTTTTTTTTATTCATGACATTTGTTTTCTATCATAGCAAAAATTTCTAATCTATATATTTTTTCTCGTATAGTATACTTTCCAAATTTAGATTTATATTGAAAAAACTAATAGATTTTTAGTCGTAAGAATAAGTGAGATATAAGAAGATTATATTATTGATACTTAGACATATACAAAAAAAAAGAAAATGATTTATATGAAATTACTCGATACATACTCGTTTACCAGGACCACCTCTTCCTTCTCGAAATCCGATTGTATACCATACACAAGCAAACCTACATAGATATTTAATAATTATTTGTTTTCTATCAACATTTCTTTTTTTTTTACCAATGAGCAACAAGTACAAAAACACAAATAAGTAATAAAAGAACAGCTGCACCATATTCTAAATAATTGTCTAATTTTCTAAAGACACGACCCAGCCGTAATAAACGTAAAACTTTTAATGCGGAAAATATACTTCCATATCGTTGAAAAATATAAATCTTTAAAAAAATAACAAAATAAAGTGGAATAAGAAAAAATAAATTTTCAAGATTTTACTTCTTCAGCTTCTTGAAATGCATTAAATACATCATATGGTAAACAAGCTAATAAATCAATAACAAACCAACTTTTTAAATATGTTTTCCTAATACGTTTTGGATCAGATATAACTTCTCCAGATTCTTTACAAAAATAAAATAATAATAATAATAATAAATTTACTTTTTTTGTTTATTTACTTGTGTGTACATATGTTGTATGGAAATTTAAAATAATATCAATAAAGAAAATAACATCGACAATACTATCGACAACAAGTAATGGCACATCATCTAGCGATTTACTACGAAATGCAGCATGATACGGTACTAATAATGATGTATAAAATGTCAATAATAATATCACCCAATCCCACACGGTTTTAAATGTACAATAATGAAGAATTATATGTGGTGGTGTACTTGGTGCTTCTTGTCGATAACTCTAAAAATAAGAAATAACATACATATATATATTTTTTTCTTTGATAATAAAAAAAATTACCGGTAATACTTCTGCACTTAGATTGAGTAGCTAAAAATACAAAAAAGAAATAAGCCACTAATTAGATCTATTGTATTTTCTATTAACATACATTAGGTAATTGTGATGGTTTTGTTGGATCGATTTGAATTGCTTTTGCATTTGCTGTTGTAAAGTTCATTAAAATCGATCGATTTCTTGTGACAGATTTTGCTATACGTGCAAATTTACTAAGACCACCTATAAAAGAAAGAAAATCATGTTTTTTGTCTTTTAAATAAAAAATCTAAGACCTTTAGCATCTTCAGTTTCAATTGGTTGTTTAAGTGCAGTAATATCTGTAAATGTACATAGATAGAGCACCACAGTATCGCGTTCATTGATTATCGGAGCTATTTGCATAAAAACCCATATCGGAGTTTCTATAGATAATGAAATTTATATTTATTTATTTTTTTTTTGAAAAATGAAATAAACAACATACTGTTTTTTTTATATAAAAGTACTTCAATTTGTTCAATATGACAATTTTCTAATGCATCACGTATTTTTGTTTGTGTATCGGTGCTAGTTAAGTCACCGTACATAAAATTACACGTTGAACTTTTATTCATTAGATCAGCTCTTAAATAACCCGATATTTTTGTAAAACCATCGTTGGAATAAACTATTGGATAATCTAATATTTGAGCATTGGATAATATGAACGCGGTGTCTAAATATTCATATGTAAATATAAATATATTAAGATGAATGCTATTGATTTTTTTTCTTCTTTTAATAAAATGTAGATGATGAACATCCGATTTATTATTGATCTAACATGATACCAATGAAATATTATATTATTCATGTGATTTCCGTCATAAAGAATTACTGAGTTTTTTTCAAAATTCTAATGAGGAGATAGGTTACTCGATCGGAAATCCAGGGTAATATAAGTGTTTTTTTCTTTAATTGATTTCTTTTCTTTGATTTTCGACAGACGTTCATAGAATTGACGTAGCACCCATACACGGATATTTTCAATATGAACGCCGAAGGCGAATTGGTGAATAATGTATGTGTATTTCCCATAGGATCGCTCATTTGCTATTCTAAAAGAACATTTGTCGCCAATTCAGTTTCTTGCATGTGTAGCTACCCGCCTCCTCCTATGTATATGGGGAAATTATTGTTGTGTATGTGAAAGCTCAACAGGAAATATTATTGACTATTGCTCTTATTCATCTTCAATATATCTAATAAGATCAAAAAAAAATCAAAAGCACCAAGGATAAAAGAACAATCAGAATATTAGATTCGAATAAATAATTATGACTTAAATTAAGAATAACAGAACAGTTCATATCATATCATATATAATGTAATTGATTTAATTTAAGAACAAAAACTTGACTATTGACATAAATAAAGGCAATAAAAAGAAGAAGTAAAAACAAGTGATGATCTGATTTTGTTTTTGTTGTTTTTTAAAGTGAATTCATTTGAATAAATATAGAATTAGTCAATATAGATAAAGTTATATACTTACGGGCACCACTGCATTTACGAACGATCGATTCAAGGAAAGTATTTTGAGGTGCAACCAAGCCACGTCGTGACCCGGGCATTAATGCTCTAGAGTTCTTCTAAATATACAAATAATAGTAAATACAAAATAATCAGTCATATAGATAAAAGTCGAAGTTCCTTCTATGTGTATTGCCTTTCTTTTTTTCTCTGTGTCTGTCTCTGTCTCTGTGTTTCTCTCTCTCTCTCTCTTTCCCCCTTTGTCGTTATCGATTCTTGGGGGACAATGATCGAGAGTCGTCCGACTGCGTTCTATTCCGTTTTTCGAGGATTAGGTTCGTTAACAGACCGGCAGCGTGCCGTGATCACGAGGCTGAAACAGCATTGCTCTCTGACTCTCTCTCGTTTTTTTTTCTATCAAATTAGACGAAGAGAAAAAAAAAGTATAGCAACTAAAAAAAACCAAGAAAGAGAGAGAGAGAGAGGGAGAGAGAGCGAGACAGAGAAAGCGGCCAAGAAACAATGTAATAGAAGAAACGAGAAAAAACTTGCAGAAAAAAAAGGTAACAAAAAAAAAAGGAAAGATTTATTTTACTATGGAAAAATGTATATTTATACTTTGTACGACCGGAATAAATTCGAGAAAAATTTTTTTTTTCAGGAGAAAAAAAAGAAAAATCATGTAACAATGAATCGTTAATATATATTTATTTTTGTAGAACTTACTCGATTTTGAAATGGTAGGAGATGCATAAATCTTTAGTCGCTGTTGCACATAATAATTGCGACGACAACGACCGCACATCTCCATTGATATTGTTGTTCATACAGGCAGATATAAATCTAGAAATAAAAAAATATAATTTGAGCCAAAAGATAAAATTAATAATAAACACGGAAATTTGGAAGAATGGATAATTAAGTATTTGTTTTGTTCTTGATAAAATAGATTTTCTAGATATAAAAGATTAAATACTTTAATCTTTCGATTTTTTCATTATATGCTGAGTAGCACTTTTATTTAAACAAAAGAACTAATACTTCTTAAAATATAATATAGAAAATGGATGGTTATTCCTAGAAAATTTGTTTAACCTTTTTAAATCAACTATTTCTCAAAATATCTAACCTTGAAAACAATTAGTTTCTATTGTTCAATTTATAAACAGCAGGTTATCCTAAGGTAACTATTATTTCAGTTTCTTTTTTCCGGATGGATATTTCTTTTTTATCTAATCAAAATATATCTGTTAAATCATCAACATTTGTTTACGTTTTTTCTTCTTCAATATTATTCAATTATAATTTATTTACATTTTCTAAAAATAAAGTTGAATTAGAATGAAAATAAACAATTCAGTTTTTGCTTCTATGTTTGCAATTGACAAAGTACCTAATAATCTTAAACAGAAAGGATGACATTACCTGCTGTTGTGTGACATAGTTTGCGGTGATGAGAAGGATATCCATCATTTTACAAGAAATAGAAAAAGAAAAATGAAATGACTGCTAGTTAATTGCCACTGTCGTCGTGTCGTATGGGTATGTGCAGGCTACTACAACTCAATTACATATATGAGTTTTGAGCACACCTTTACATATATAAAGTAAAGTATTCTTTTTGTTTCTTATGTCATTATTCTTCTGTTTCTTTTTATTTTCTTAATCAAGATCTATCATCTAACAAATGAAATATGGCAAACAGGATGAAGTTGACGACGACAAAGACGACGACATCGAAGATGTAAAGAAGAAGAAGAAAAATATATGAGAGTGCTACAGAGACAAGAAAAGTGAGTAGGTGAGTAATGAGAAAGCGTTCGTCTGTCCATGACGTATACTAGTCAATGCTGAAATGCTGATTCTTATTTCTTTACTCGTCTTCTTTTATTTTTCAACATCCCTTTCTTTTTACATTAGCGCCAGAGTCTATATGGGTATACTTACTTACTTACGTCTTTTGTTTCTAATCTATAGGCGTTCAATGATGCGCCTAGAAGAAGATCAAGCAAAATAGCGAATAACGATCTTTATCTCATTTTAAATCATTTTTCTTTTGTTTGTTTGTTAGCTGCCAGTTAGTAGTTTCTTCTCTTTTCCCCTTCAGTTTTTTTCTGATTAGATCACACATACATATTGCTCTATTATTTTTTTTTTACTTGACTAGTAAGGAAATATGGATGATGAATATATTTCACCTGCTATTCTTCTCACACAGAAACAAATTAAAGATCCTTATCAAATATTCAACTTTGTCCGACACAAACAGGAAATATCATTCATCATTGTTTGTATGCTATTTGTGTGGTGGAAGGAGAAATAAAAAAAAAAGAACCTAAAAGGAGAGAAATAACTTGAACAAAACATACGAGATGAATGATAAAATAGAAAAAAAGTTGTGTATGTAGATAAATAGGCCAACTGTCAATTATTTAGTATAAATACGCAAATTCTTTTGTGATCTTCCGTACACAAAAAAAGAAAAGGGAAAATGAGAAGTACTGACAATAACAACAATAACGACGATGACAGAGCTCAAATTTCATTTGAACGTGCTTTACCATTGCAATTTAACAAGAAAACGACAATTGTAATACTACATCGGATGCAAGAAAAAAATATGTTCATGTTAGAAATTAGCTCAGTTGACATAGCACACATCAGTCTATGAAAATAATCAATAATGAAAATGCATTGTCAGACAATCATATCATTCCATACAGATTTATTTTTAAAAATAAAAATTGATGTCAAATTTAGAAGTAACTAAAAGGAGAAGAAGAAAAAAAGTCAAAGAATACGAGAAAAAAAAGACCTCATTCTTTCACATGGAGAAAATTCCATTTGTCTCGTTATGCACAATCATTATTATATTACTGATCTGTAACGATAAACGTCAAACGTACATTTTTCATCAAAATTCTATGAGGTAATTCTACTAATGCACACACACACACACATACATTTTCCTTGTTAGCTACTTTTGACACACCGCTAAGCATTTATTATTTGCTGTCGATGAACGTGATTAATACTGACGAAAGATTTCGAAGTATAAGAAAAAGAAGCAGACGAAGAAAACAAAGTATTGACGAAGATTCTCTAACAAAGTGAAAAATAATATATATATTATCACTTCTCACGTGTTGTGACAATCAATACTTTTTTTTTCTCCTATTTATTAGACATGCTATCTCTTCTCTCCTTCTTTTTTTCTTGTTATTACAATCAATCGAAAAACACGAAACAACTTAAATACAAGAAATATTAAATAATCCCCAGTGACATAATCATCAATTATAGATGTTTATGACTTAGATGAATATGAATAATTCCTTTTTATATTCAATTTGCATAACAATGATCAAGCAATTGCCATGATAAATTTCATATAAATTTTGCACTTAATAAATGATATTGATTGACATAGGAAATATGAATATCGAAATTATATCTCTTCAAGAAAATCAATTCGGTTAAAAACAAATGAATATTATTATTGTTATTGACTTAATAGAGAATTTAGAATTTTTTTCTTTATAATCATTTGTAAAATTCAACATTCTATTTTTAAACAACATATTAATCAGTGTTTATTTTTAAAAAAATATACTTCCGATGTCATATTCATTGAATGTAAATCTAACAAGCACAAATTAACATTATTTAAAAGAATTATAAAAATAGTTTTTAGAATCAACAATTCTCATCTACAAAAATAATGAATACTTAACTGATTACTACATGAGTTTCAGTGTTATTATTTTTTAAAATATACAACGTTTATTCAATAAATAATGAATTCATTAGATGATTTTAAATAGAGTACTTAGTAAAATTGCATTATCTATTGTATTGTAAACACTTTAATAATTACTATTACTTCTATTAGAAATATTACCTTGAATTATGAGCTTAAAACAAAAAAAAATGTTTTCATTATTGACAATAACATCTATGATTAATATTTTGTTTATAATGAAAAACTTTTCAATCTTTTTTATACATTGATCACACCTATATATTATTCATTTATTCATTTGACGAGCAACACATTTGTGTATTATTAACTCCCAAATGAAATAGTCAATACATATTTACATACTATGAAACTAAAAAAAAAAGTAGTATAATCAATTCATATATAAAATGTATACCTACTTCAATTATTTACTATACTAGACTCATGAGAATAAATGAATTATATTTTTTTTATATCTGTCTATGGTTGTGAAATATGGATATTAATTATATCAAATGCGTACTTGCATTATATAATGATGTTGGGGCAATTATGAAATAGAGCAAATAGACATTAGTAGAAAATTTTGAAAATGTAAATATTTCGAATAAATATTGATTAGTATAAAACTTTTTATTATCCGTTTCTTACGTATATAGTATATATAATTTATAAGTTTGCTATGCTCACTATTTAGAATATAAAACAAAACAATAATGCGAAATATTATTTTTATTATTTACTTTCCGTACAAGTAAAGTAAATCCATTGTACTTGATAACATTGTTAATCGTAGGCTTACTAGAATGAAGCATGTTTTATAATACTTGGCAAGAACTATCATTCCATTTGATTGAGTATAATATACCCGAAGTGGTTATTAGTGAGTACTATGAATGCATATATACTTCAAAATATGATCTTTTTTTTTGTACTTGAATTCTTGGATATAAATACGTGAATTATTCATAAAAAAGCATTACAAGATTAATCAATCATGTTTACATTATAATATTTTTTATAAGTTGTACACTAAAATGTCACTAGTAGTTATTCATATCGTTTTTTTATCTAATGATCCTCTATAAAATAAAATCTATCTTATATTTTAGATGATTCTAATTTATATCGTTACTATATTCTATAAAAATCGTTTCAATATTCTCAAGTATGTGTATTTTTAAGCACAGATGTATATTCACAATTGAACAATGTATTCATTATTGGTGAACATCTGTGTAATAACAGAATTTATGTTATTATATATAGGAAAAAATATCAATGAACTACTTCAATTTTATAAGAAGAATAGTGAAAAATCTTACCATGTAGTTTTTATAAGAATTAAATTGTACGTTCAGATAAATTTCTCGATTCTAAATAGATGTATTAAAGAACATTTCAAATAATAATTATTATCTTCAAACTTTACTTTTATCTATACAATGGAATATAATAGTTGATTCATTGTCACTTTGATTGCCGGACGGTTATAGTACTTCTTTTGGAATAAGAGACGAAATACATTTGCAGTTAAGCTGAATCGGATCATTTCCGTACAGTATCATTTAATACTTAAATAAAAAAAAAGAATTCAAACAAATAATTCTTTCTTATATTTCCGAGATGATTCCATTATTGTTTAAGTATTTGATTATATAATAACATTTTCTTTTTTCCTTATGTCATAATAGATATCTGTTGATCAAATTGTAATACATGTTAGATTTTTTCTTCTTATCAAACGAAACAACTGTCAATATGATTAGAACTAATTCTTGTTCATGTTTTTATTACTGAATAGATTTTTTCTAAAATCAAATGATTAGAATATAATATTGTTTCGTTAACTTATTAATGAAAGTAACAATTCATTTAGTCTAATGCTTTTTCTTTCTTTCGATTTCCTCGATTGCTGAGAGACAAAAAGAAGTGTAGACAGTCAGACTGAGATGACATTATTTTACCGCCTTCTTCTGTTGTCATTCTGTCATTAAAATGACCAAGTAATCCGTTTGAAATAGTGATAACGATGACAATTGATGTCGTCAGTTGTAAATGATGACCAAAGCGGAAGAAATAAATGGTCTTTTTCTTAATCATTTTCTATTTTATATTGTCTACAAATTGATGATGATGTAATCAAACTATAGATTCATTTTTTATGATATAAAATCAACTTTTTATATTTAAATTTGACGTGACTATGTCGCCTTCGTTTTCCTTTTTTCTCATCCAATATTGACTTATTTAACTTAATGTGTGTTTTCAATTGGAAATTTTTCTAGACACAAAATTCTTTGAAGAAAAATAATAAGACAAATGTTCGATAGATGATCTTAACTTATTGGCAAGAAGAAAAAACGTTTAACAAGGTCATGAGATTATTTTGAATAATGAGTATTTGTTGCATCACGGTCATTTGTTGGTGTTTGTATCCTCAAGAGTCTCGTTCATTCTGTTTGTATGTTGAAATGAGCAATAGTGCATGAACGAAAGATTAATCAATGTGGCACCAGAAGTCGTATAGAATATAGTATATGCACGCACGAACAACTATTGTTCATACATATGAACTTTCTCACTAACATTCATTGACTTATTTTAATGAGTATATACCTTTTTCCTTCTCTATGTATTTCAATAAGAGCAATTGTTGAAAAGAGAAAGCGAGAAGAAAGTTTATATAGATATGTTTATTTTCTCTTATAACAATCTTATATTTGGGAATAAAACTTACATTTTTTTCCTTTCTCTCATCGATTACAGTACTCTCTCGTCTAGAAATAGTTATCATATGTCTATATATAAATCTACGTGTGTGTGTGTGTGTGTGTGTGTGTGAGTTTATTGTTGATAGTATCATTATTTCTCATGGTGATATATGATAGACAGAGATACTTGAGTAAGATGATGATTTGCTTCGACGAGCATAAATGAGATTCACTTTTATAAATCGATTTGATCATTATCATTATTTCTTTCGAACATTAATCGATCTTAAACTTGTTTCCATTTGTTTTTATTGATACATGTATATGTATATATATATATATGTATTTATATAAACATTGTTAGTTTTCTTTACCTTGACAGATATTATAACTATTAGTAATTTCATCATTAATAACACTCTTTCTTCTCCTTCTTCTTTTTATTTTATCGAACCTTGACATAAATTATTCTTATTCGTATTTGTTTGTTCAAATATACATACTCAACAGCTTGTATAGCTTAAAAGCAGCATCAGCTTGTACATACAAAAAATATGGAAAGAAGTATAAGGAAGGGCAAAAGTGATTATCAGTTTCTATTTGATTGTAGATTGGCAGTTAACTGTTTATCATTGATCAACAGATGACTGTTAGATTGTCGTATACAATACAAATATATATACGAAATAAAAAAAAAGAACGAAGAGATACTTGAACAATTGAAATAGCAAATAGGATAGTATATAAATGAGTGTGAATTAATCGCGATTTAAAAAAGAAGAAGAAGATAAACGGGCGTGAAAATGACTATTGCTTCAATAACACTCTTTTCTTTTTAAAAAGACTTTGATTTCTTTTTTTTTATAACCACATCTGTTCAGCGACAAGGTGTGACGGACGACTTTTTAGAATTAGTACCACCTCATCCATTCACTCGCGCATTCTCTTTTTCTTCTTCGTCTCTCTGTCACTTTTTGTTTCTTCTTTCCTTTCTCTTTTGAGCTTTCTTTGCACTAACCCACACACACACACACACAACAAATGACATGATTATATGGACATTTCACAGGCTACTCGCACTGTGCATAAACTATATGTGTCCTCAATATTATGTTTGTACATCTAACTCTCTATTTATCTGTCTATCTATCGATTCCTCTTTTTCAGTTCTATATGTTTATAATAGTAACAGTTGAGTTCTGTCTCTATGTAAACACTATCACGAGTCCATCCTACTAAGAAGCAAAAAGAAAAAGAGACGACGAGCACTTATTGAGGTAATTATTCAACAGAAGTGTAAAGAAAGAAAGATTAACTTGCTGATCTCTATCTCAATTGCTATCTTACTCTCTTTAGATAAGCTGCTTGTTGTATGTGTGTGTGAGTGTATATGCAATACTTTTCTTAAAGAAAGAGGCTAGTATTAGAATTGTGTTCCGCTTGTGTAATAATATATGAGAGTTACATCCCGCTTGGTTGATTAACGAATATTGACCAATATGGCACTGATAAGACAAACTCAATGATTATCTTTCATTTTTCGATCCCATGTCGTGCCTAGCTATACATATACGTAGGTTCTTTTTCTTCTTTACTCTATTCTATATATGTATATTAATTTATAGAGTCGTCACCAGAGGCACTTGTGTCGGCACACGTGCATACTGTCTTCTACTAGTTCTTATCATCATATTGAGTAGTGAATAAGAGAGGAAGAGAGAAAATAGAAACCAATTTACACTATATCATTTACTGCTCATTTATTTTTACTATTATCGTACTCATTGATTGGTGATTTTGTCATTTGATTGGTTATGATTATAAATAAAGAATAAGAGAGTATTTATATCAGTAAAAATCAAATTATATCATTCTCACATTATTTGACTACTTTTTTTATGCGTTCATAATTAATCGATCAAGGTAGTCGAATGAACCAAAGTCATTTTGAGTAATGTGTTGAACAAGGTCTTTTGTCTTGTCTCTTTTTGATATCATCGATTTCTTTTTTTTATATATATGCATATTTTGGAAGGACATGATATGAGATACACATATGCACAAATCTGCGCTATGAGTGCAATTGTATATTGAGCGCGTGCGTGTATGCATATGATAGAATCATCGTATACACACACACACACGCACAGATGTTAATCGGTGGACGCCTTTCGATCGCCATTCGTTTACCATTCACTTTTTTCTTTTAGTTTATTGAACATGACTGCCACTTATCGTCTACAACTGCCGCGACTCATCATCACATATGTCATTTTCTCATCTTTAACAATGATTGTAAACGCTATTGAACACGGTAAATATTTTCTTAGGATCAGTTTTTTTTCTGTTTCATATTATTATTATTATTTTGTTCATTTTTTGTTAAATTAGCTGATTCAAGAATTAATCAAAAAATTCTTATTGGACCGAATCATATTAATGCATATCCGGGTGAAACAATTCAATTTCCTTGTATTGTTTCCAAACAACCGAATGCTATTGTCACATGGTGTTGGAATGATTTCTGTACATTAGGTAAAACACAATTATTACGACATGAAACAACCCGTAATGGTTTAATACATATTTATCAATATGCTGCTTATCCAAGATTTCAATTATCTATTAATGAACGTCTTAGTAAGTAATTTATACCTTTTTTTTAAATACAGAAAGTAAATCTTTTGATCAATTTCTTTCGGAAATTTCCATTATGCTAATTATTTTTTTTGGTATGGTCTGTTGAAATATGACCAACATGAATAGCTTTTACCACCTAGTGCGTATGTGTAATGAAAAAGTAACATACTGTCTTTTTTTTCCTTCTTCGTTTTATCGGAAGTACACATTATTCTTGATTATAGTCGCTATTCTTTGTGTCTAGTTGTTAATTGTTGCATCGAAGTTTTCTTTTCGTCTCATCTCGTTGACCCGTCATTTCCATTGTTGTCTTCTCAGGAGAGTAATTCAAGAAATGGACAGGAAGTTTTTGACAAAAATTGACGACTAACTAGTCAGACATTTTATATGTCTACATGTCTATTGTTCTCATCAGGAAATTGAATATACTAATGTACAATATAAAAAAAAATAGAGTAGCCATATATGATCAATATTTGATTGACTCCCTCTTGCTGTGTAATCTTTCCGGAAGTAACAAGTGACGATAGATACATGGTGTAATATATACTGACAAAAGTCATCCTTGAATATAATAAACGATTTAGATATATTTCTTTTTGTTTAGATCACTATAATTTGTCAATTGTTCATGTGTCAAATAAAGATGAAGGAATATTTCAATGTCAAGTACAGCGAACAATGGATGCACATGAAGCACGTTCTGAACGTGTTCGTTTAACTCTTATTAGTATGAAAAATACTTGAGACAGTTTTTTTGTCGTTATTAACCTTCTTTCTTTTCCTGTTAGCTCCGCCAAATGGTCAACCGACATTGCTACTTCCTACTATGCCATTAAAACAAGGTCAACCAACTAATATAACTTGTTTATCTGCTCCATCAAAGCCAGCATCAAAATTAGTTTTATATAAAAATGAACTCCCAATAACAGAAGAACCTTTACCAAAGATAACTTATGAATTAGATATACAATCAAAAAAAAATCTAACAAAATTAATTTATATTATTGATGATCCAGATGATACTTGGAATAATGCACTTATTAGATGCGCTCAATTTTATGAATATGGAAATTCTCCTTTTAGAGATGCTGCAACAAAACTAAAAGTTTATTGTAAGCTTTTTTTCTCTTTCTAAGTATATCAATTGAAGCCTTTCTGCTTTTTCTAATGACTAAAATGTATACTTCATAAAGGAATCATATCAAATGTTTTACAGATTGACTTGATAGAAGAAGATGACTTACAATACAATAATTGAAATATATAGTAGAGCCATAGTTTGTCAGTTATCCATAAGAATACATGATTCTAATCAGTTAATAAATAATAAAAGGAGTTATTATTAATTTAGATAAACCAAAAGCTCGTATTGAATCTCAAAATCGTTATCCATTAACAGTTAATTCAACTGCAACATTTCGTTGTATTGTTTATGGTAATCCTGAACCAAAATTTAGGTAAGAAATATAAACTTTATTTTCATTAAAAAAAACACTATTTCTAATAGTTGGTTTGCCAATTCAATGGATTTAACATCATTAACAAGTTCTATAATAAGCATTCCATTATCAAGACAAGTACATAATCATTCAATCGGATGTACAGCTACAAATTCTATGGGTACAACAAATACAAGTATTCGATTATTAATTCGTTGTATGAAAAGAAATATTTATTTATTTTATTGTCTTAATAAGATTCTCTAATCTTTTAATAGATTCTCCAAAATTTGTTGTTCGTCCGCCAAAATTTGTTGTACTGGATTTTAATAATCAACAATCATCGAAATCAAATCCAGTTATACTTCGTTGTATCGTTGATTCATTTCCTCGTTCAAAAATATCATGGTATCGTTATGGAGAAAAATTAATTGAAGGTTCATTATTTAATCTTGAAAATATAACAACACGAGAACAACAAGGACTTTATTCATATCAAATTGAAACAGATGGTTTTCAAACAATTATCGAGGATTTTATTATTTATTTTAAAGGTATTCGAAATTATTTTGTTTATCATCTAAAATTTTTTTTTGTTTCTCAAGGTAAACCATTAATTTATATTCAAGAATTTAAACATTATCGTTCATCAAATACACGTGAATTTGAATGTCAAGTTTATTCTTCGAGTCCAATTCTTGTATAGAAATTTGAAATAAACAAAAAACTTCAATTGAATTATTTTTCTTTTTATTTAGAAAATAAGTTGGAGAATAAATGATCAATCAATTGAATCTACTGATAAATCATTAATATCAACAACATGTGATGATAATAGTTGTAAATCAAAATTACTTTATAATAATCGAAAAATTCTTTCATCAATGAATAATCTTAATCGTTTATCTTGTATTGCTGAAAATGAACATGGAAGCGAACAAAGTCGTCTTTATCAAATAAATTCATTTGAAGATTCATCAACTATATTAATACCTGTTGTATGTAGTATTTTTCTTCTGATTATTATTTTATCAATTGCTGCACTTTATTGTGGTTGTCGTGCTAAACAACAACGAAAACGTTCAAGTAGTTAGTTTTTTTCTTGTTTGATAAATATTTATTTCATAAAAAATTTATTTTAGTAAAAAAGCTTCCTATTGTTTATGATGCACATTATTCAATAAATGAATTAATTAAAGATGTTGGATGTTTACGAACATCAGATTTTCATACATGTAATGATAATGATCAATTATCATTAAAAATTGAACAATCAAAAATTGAACCAACAGGTTTGCATTTTAATGAATGTTTCTTGAATATATATATATATTTTTTGGATTTAGATCGTTTACTAGCATCTTTATTCAATAATAGTAGCAGTACAAAAAAATTAATGGATAATCTATCGAATGAATCATCTATAAATAGTTCTGGTTTTCATTCAAAATCAACTACAACAACATTCAATAATGAATATAGTCCGAGATTAGCCGAAATAGCTGATTACACATTTTCAGGTATGTAGAAAAAAGAGACAATGAGGAAAAATATCATTACAGTAGACGTCTATACCTTAACTAAAGGATATCTCTATATGATAGATTTGATCGGATTATTTTCGCTTAAATGAATTCTTTTGTCATAAATTCGAAAAGATTGATCCATCAGTCGGATTCTAATTTTCTGAATCGCGAGAATAGAGTTTAGTCAAAAGCCATAATAAATCGCACTTAGTTTACGTATCTGATACGACTTTATTAATATTTTTCATTTCTTTTCTATATATATAAAAAAAACAAATGATTTTCTTTTTTTAATATTTAGGTATATCTCCATTATACACAACACAATATCATATGAATGTGTGATAAGAAATTTTCTTTTTCTTTTTTTTCTTCTATTCTATGTCAGATGTATTTTATTTGTTTAATTTGATTTTTTTGATTTTGTTGATAATATGATTTCATCACATTCATTGTCATTGATCATATTGAATATAAGACGATTACGTATTATTTTAAATATTGTATATGAACTATTTAATATAATCAAAATACTAATTAAGATTTCATACCAAAATTTTCCGTGTAGAATCCATAGAAATTGACAAACAATAAGAATTATAAAAATAAGAAATTGTATTGTTAAAAAACATCGTGTATTACCAAATAATCGATATAGAATACTATGTGAAATTGATTGTGGATGTGCAGCATTACTTAAAGGATGTTCGGCAACAAAATATTTCTCATTATTTGAAGATAATCTAATAGTATGACCACGTATATATGAATTACATTCTGATGACCATTCATTGATTGTATCTGTTCGAAGAAATGTTTGTAAGCGCCATTGACCAAGATGAGATGCTAGATGATAAAGATTTGTTTGAAATTTAACAGGAAAAAGAAATATAATATGGGTAAGAAATGTAGTTAATGCACAGATCAATATTAACATTATATATCGTTCATAATCCACAGAACGTACATCAGCATCTGAAGAAGAAAAAACGTAAGATATATATATATGATTAACTACTAGATAATTTCCTGATGAATCCGCTAATACATTTTCAAGAGTTTAAATCATTTAGTACGAAATTTACTATTATTCTTAATAGGAATATATATACTTTAATAAGCACAATATTTTAATCAATAAATAAAACTAGAATATCCCTTCAGGTAAATAATATATATTTTATTCCCATACGAAAAAATGTTAGTTATATTTAGCTATAGAAATAAATAAATAATGTAAACTATATTTAGTATTTTATCGAAGTCTTTAAAAATAATCAATGAAATATTTATTCCTAAGAGATTATTCTTAATTAATAATAGTTGTCATATGACTGGGATGATAATAAACTCTTTATAATGTATTGAAGGATGACTGAAATGAATATTAAACATGTTTCAAATCTTTTCTTATTTATAGTTAATCTCATACATTATATCTTAAATGGAAATTACAGATTTAATTCACCATAGTCTTTACTGTCGTTATTCGAAAGTCTACGAAACTATATTCAACTTACAACTATCGACATAAAACTTTGAATTGTTCTTTCTTCTTCTTAATGTAAAAGAAATCTCTATCCCATTAATCATATTCAAAATATCGATCATTAACATAATTTATCAAACGATCTAACAATACATTATGCAATATTTTATTTTTAGAAATTAATCATAGTCTGTATCAATGCTTTTTTGATCATTAGATAGGCTCTGTGAACTATTCTCTATTTATGTCTCAATACTCTCATATCAGTATTATTGAATATACAGATATATCGAAATCATTGTTCGAATATTTAATGATTTATCTTACCCATTATTTTAAATGGAATAAAATCGAAAAGAATAAATGAAGCAAATGTTCGATAACAACTAAGTACTATTCGTCGTATAACCATTAACCAAAGATCATTAGCTTCTTGTCTTATTTGTGAATAATGTAAGGAACATTTATGTTCATTTAATTTTTCTTCTGTTATTGATAACCAGCGAGATGAAAATATAAATGATGAAAATAATGAATTTACTTTTCGAGATTGCATAGTCAATGATGAACGATAAGATGAGCGATTTAATATCGTCGAAGTTAAAAACGATGAATTATATGGACGATATTGTTTACGATTAATATTCGATATTGAATATAAATCTTTGAATAAATTAACTGAAGAACGACGAAATAAATTTGGTTTATCAAGAACAATTAAAATAATAAAATGAATAATAACAATACAAAATATTGATAATGTTAAATAATGTGTAATAAATGTATGAAAATAAAGCCAAGCAATAAAAATAAGATAGAGAATAATAATTATTCCAAATAATATTAAACATAATAAATTACGATATTTTAAATTTTTATAAACATGAAGAAAAACTTTCTTTTGTAATGTCCATAAATATGCTGTAAGTAATTCAATTAAACTAACACTAATTAATGTTATATAAATATATTTATTTATTAAATGAATATTTATTGGTGAACGAATAATACCATCATGTTCATTTGATAATGTAATAAATAATGTTTGTTCATATTCAGTTTTTTCAATATTTTTACTAAATTGAGATTGATTTTCTTGTGTTTGATTTGGATTTAACCAAAAAACAGCATGATATAAAAGTATATGAATAGCATTAACATGTATTAAATTTTGTAGATTAATATAGAAACAATATGTTAAATGATTATCAAGATAAATAATAGGAGTTTCTCGATTTATGACTTCAGTTTCATTATCAGGTACTGTATCATTCGATATTCTTGTTATTTTATTTAATGTAATTTTTTCACGCATTGAATCAATACTAACTGGATTTGTTGTTGATGAAAGTAAAGATGATGTTGATTGGGTTCGATTTTTTATTGGTAATGATGAAAATGAATTATTAGAATTAGCTGTAGATTTTGAATCACTTGGGCTTCGACGATGATGCATATGAAAGGACAAATGATCGACTGGAGAAATAAATTCAACGTGTATTTGTATATTAGTGTGTCTGTATGATTTAGTGATATATGTGTGCAATGAAGCACAGCAAACAAAAAAAGAGAAGAAAAAAAAGACGTATGATGTAATCAAATATTACTTGTGTTCAGTAAAAGATTATCAATGAAAGATTTCTAATAGTTAAGACAAGTTGATTGACCAAATAAAATGATTATTTATTTTACATTCGATTCATTTAAATATTAAAAAAGTACTATATTCTAATTTTAAGTACAAAAACATATTACTGCATTTATTAAAATAATAAGAATATATAAAACTTCTAGTTTTGTATTATTTGATTTCTCTATTTTCATATGTAATTGACACAGGTTATAATTATTATGTTTTTCTTTCAATGATTTACAAGTGACTTAAAAAAATAAAATTAATATCATAGACTATTATGATTGATAAGATACATATATATTAAAATGCTTTATTTAGTTTTTCGATAACAAAATTATTATCAATTTTTACTTTTGCTCGTATTTGATCTTCACCTATGCATATTAGTTACTCCTTCATTTTTAATAGAAATTCTTTGTAGAATAGGTAAAATAAAAGATGAGTATAAAAGAAAATGTATGCTTAAATATCGTGCAGGTTTCAATATCAGTTTTGTTTCATACTCTTTGTTCTTTTTTTTATATATGTGTAACGTGAGTGAGGAAACATGGTGTTTGTCGATTAAAGATAAAAACTCACGAAGACATCCTTCAACAAGAGAGAAAAAAAAAGAAATGACGGACGAATAAATACAAAACGTCGTATTCACATCTATTGAAAAGATTGCATTTCGTCTGCGTCCATCTTATCTATCGTTTCAAGACTATGATTTTTCGTAAAACATATTTGTTCGTATTATTTGTAGTTTGTCTATTCCAATTAGTCACTACACAAAATGGTATAAAAATTTCATCAATTAATTTTGATATTTTCTAATATATATTTTTGTTATGAATGTTCTTGTACAGATGATGATACAACAACACCATCTCCAATTTGTGAAAGTAAGTAAATTTACTTGTTTTAAAATTTATACTTACTTCAATAGGCGGCAAATTTCCTTTGTTCGGAAATAAGTCATGTATTTCTCAAGAATTATATACAATCATCTTCTTAGCAAGTATTATTTTGGCTGGTATCTCTTTTATCATGCTCATTGTAAGTATTTTCAGTAATAGTTTTCTATATTTCTACATTCTCTTATCATTTAAATTAGGGTCTAATAATATTAACCTGTCGTAAAAATTCCGGTAGTTCTGAATCAGGCAATTCAGATCGTTATAGTATTTCATCAACTAGTACTCAAGAGGTTCCATCTATGAGTAGAGAAAAAAAACAAAAAGTGGAAGCTTTAGGAAAAGGTACGTAGTCTATTCGAATGGGTAAAATGATGTGAATCATCGTTGAATATTTTTTTTTTTTCAAATAGTGGTTGGTACAACTCCACTCGAAGACACTAGACATAAGCGTGTTGTTCCACCTACTAATGATTACTATGATATAACAGATACACGTACACCAGCATCTGCACCTTACACATCTTCAAAACCTATTTCAAAACGAACTCCTGGAACGGACATACACGAAATGACTCCTCGACAAGCGAACAGACCACCTACTCATATGTCTCAATTTCAACCAGTGGCTCCACCTCGAAGAGCAGACAATCAAGCTGGTCGTAGTGGTAATAAGCGTAACAATGATTATTATCGAGATGATAATAAAATATCATCACAATTTTAATACAAAAATTATTGTATTATGGTTTTTTATCTTGCATACACATACAAGAATTTTATATACTAACATTGCCATTTTTTTTGAGTAAATTTCTAAAAAAGAAATAATTAATTTTTTTCTCTATCAGACAGATATATATATATATCAAGACTTATGAGATGATCTTCATTCTGATTATTTAAAAATATTTGTTCACATAAAAGCAGCACGCACATACAGAAGAAGAAGAAAAGAATATTAAACATCGGTAGCAAGTTTGCTTCCATTGCTACTAGCTCTAGTATTTGTTTGATAAAATGAATTATGAAAAGGTTGTGCTTGTCCTCGGAGATTACTTGGTATTTGAACATGTGATCGTCTTATTAATAAACGATTATTCATTGGTGAACGGTCTCGTTCAATATCAGGAACTGTTTCTAATGTAAAACCTTCCATATCAGCAAAACGAACACGTTTTTTTTCTGTTAAACCATCACTTGAATGACTTCGTATAGTTGAACGTGGCCATATTTCATCTTGTTGTCTATAATCATTATCTGTCTCAATAGCAAGGTCAGATCGTCGATAACGATTATTATTAGCATTTCGTCGTGTTATTAACATTGATGGTGATGATGAATTATCATCAGAAAATGATCCATTAATTGTATCTCGATTATAATAATAATCATGATTACTGTTAGTTGATGATGATCGTGTTAATAGAGATGTTAAACCACTTCCAGTATGTCGATTTGAAGAACCAACACCAGGATAAACTGGATCAGCAGAACCAGGCATATCTGTTTCATATATTGAACCTGTTCTAGTCAAAGTTGAACCAGCTGGTTTCATTGTAGAATTTAATGCTGATGATTGCATTCGATTATAATAATTTGTTAATTTTGATGCATTTGATTGATTATATGTTTGATCAGTATTAGATGTTATAGGAAATGATGATACAGCTGACGCTCCATAATCAGAAGTCGTAGTAGGAAGTATTCGACGAGGTAATATTAATGGTTGTTGTCGATAGGAGGATTCTTGTGGTTGTACGATTTCAGCTGAAAATGAACGTTTTAATTCATAATCATCAGGATGAAAATCATGATAAGATGATATTGATGGTTCTGGAGTCCTTTGAAGATCAACGACTGTATCTGATGAATTCGAACGAATAGCTGTTGTTGATAATTTCATTGGTACTGCTGATGTATATGATAATGAATCATCATGATTATCATAATATCTAGATGTTAAACGAGATTGTCTAGTTGAGTCATATCGATTATTATTAGTATTTGTTATTGAATTCATAGGTAAATGTGGTGTACGAAGGACACCATATCTATAATCATGTGGATGTGAAGTACTTCGATGAACAGGATTATATAAAGATATTGATGGTGATCGTAAATTTGTTTGATGAGATTTTGATACAGGTAAATTTTGAGATTTTTGTGCTAATGTACGACGATGTCGTCGTTGTTCTAATCGCATACGTTCAAATTCTTCTATAGAAACATAAAATTTACGTCCATGACGATAAACAGGAACTGTATTTGATGTCATGTATGTTTCATGTGTATTGGTAGGTGAAAATGTACGTTGTGAATATTGATGTTGTACATGATTATATTGCGAATTATCCAAATACAATTGATCCTATTTTATATATGAAGAAGAAAAAAAATTTCTGATAAAATATATAAGATGTTCAACAGAGATAATGAATCATTCTTTTTTTTTATTTGTAATTCTTCTCTTCTTATCAACATAAAGAAAAGAGAACAAAAAAAAAAAGGAACATGAGAAACTTACAAGACGTTTTTGAATTTGTCGACTACTATTCTCGTCGTCTTCACTATCCACATCTGACGACGGTCGTCGTTCGTGATTTATATTAGCTGTTACCATTTAGTTTCTTGATGTGTGTTTTTTCATTTATTTAATACATCTAGGGCAAGTAAAAAAAGAAAAGAAATTAATATTAAAAATTCCGTGTCACCTGATTGTTGATTTCTTTTCTTTTATACTTCTATTAAATAATGTTTGATAGTAATTGGCTTCTCATTCATATAAGCGCATATATACTCGAGAAAAAAAACAAACATTATAATGTAATGTTGTTGTTGTTATTATAATCGTCTCTTATCGTATCTTCATCAATCAAAATATAAAGCAAAAAAAGAAAATGACGCTCTAAGATTGATTTGTCAAAAATATTTATTAGAAAAAAAATATTTTTTAATTAATCATTTATATCTATGATTCACGAGTAGGTGGCACAGCGAGAGTCTTTTTTTCTTATCAAAATCAATAACATGTTTACCTCAGTAATGCCAAATATATATATATAGTTATGTAGCACACAAAAAAAACACACGAGTAGGAGAAAAGTGAAGAGAGAGAGAGAGAGAAAAAAAAGTGATGACAGTAACTCTTACTACTGACTAACATCAGCTAGTTTCGTAATCATTGTGCAACAACGGGACCGACCCATCTTTCAGGGTCGTGTCATTGTCGCTTTTTTAAAGGCACATGCGTAAGAGCATACGTTCTTTTTTAAAACTCTTGTCGAGTTTTTTTTCTTCTTCTTCTGTACTTCTCCCTTTCCTTCATTCTGTTCTTTTTTTTTCCTCCTTTAACTTTGTATGTTGCGTTGTGAATAAAAAAAAAAGTTTATATATATGTGATGGTGGCATACTCACACATCTACGTTGAAACCCGTTAAAAAGAACACGAAGGATCAACTCGAGAAGTCTCCGATTTTTTCCTTTTCTTCTTCTGTTCTCTTTCATTACCTTTCCGTTCTTAACCAAAGATTGCAATAAATAAAATTATGCGCTTGTATATAGATGTATATATATATATGTTTTGACCTTGAAAGTTGCACTGTGTTACGAATAAGGCCAACTATTCTCCCCCTCTCCCTCTCTCTCTTTTATCGAAGTGTGTTTCGCAATCGATCAATAATTGAACTGTACAAGTGTATATATACACGTTTGATATGACACTAGTGTCAATTACAAATACTTCTTCATTCCATAGATTTAGTTATTGTTATTTGAAGAAGTAATAAATCGAATTATTTGGTTGAAATGAAAAAAAAACTATTTGCTCATTTGAACATTTGATAAGAAAAAAAGTAATGTATTTTGATCTACTATTTAAGTTATGTGATTGTAATTTGTATTTTATCATTCAACAAAAAAAGAAGAAAATCAAATTAAATGTCATACATATTAGGATTGGATTAATCATGACTTAGTGAATTTTTGAGAAGGATTAGAGTTATATCGATAATCAAATGATTCATTTTCTTTCCTTTGCTTTTACAAAACATTCTACTTTTTATAAAGAAATGTTTTCGTACAATTTATATTGAAGCGAATACATGTAATCACGATATTCAAAATATCAAATATATATTCAAATAACAGTTAACATATTATTTCTATGAATATTAAATTACACCTTAGAAATGTGATAGGAAATAGAATAATTTATAAATATATTTTGAAATGAATATTAAAATTCATTGACATAAAAGTTGTCACCTAAAATAGCTCGTTTTTAAGAAAACATAAATTATATTAATAATAAAATATTGTTCTTGGATAAAATAAATTGACTGAATATCCAATAAACTATGAATGTCATGTGTTCAATTGAAGGTCTTTTGAATATTGTCATTTAAAAAAATAACCTTCGTTAAAAATCATATGTAGAAGTTCATAGATTGATTAACAACAGTCAATGATGTAACTGAGAAGGTAAAACTTTGATTGAAATGAGCCCCCATACACTGTCTAGCCGAAAATTGATAATGATATCAAACATCGAATCTAAAGTCACATATAACCATCTATTATGTTATTACGTCTTGTCTATCAATAATATCACTTATTAATGTTCAATTTTTTTTAACAACAGAGATATTGAAAGTTACTTTTCTATAAGATATATAATTTTATGTTCATTGAATATACTGATCAATCCTATAGAGAAAAAAAACTACTCTTTCTCTCTTCTTCTAAAATAATACTTTTGAATAAATATTGATCTGTATATATTTCTATAAACATTCATAGATTATATGACTTGTTGAATTCTAATTAAAGAACTAAGCATTCCATTTACTATAAAACAAATAACGATGATATTAAATTACTAGTAATTTCCATATAGTATTCGTATGCAAAGTATCTCAATTTATCTACGCCCATCATATTATACAAATCTTGATAGTGAAATTTTTTTAAAAATATATAGTATTGTACTACTACTATTATTCATAATGACAAGTCACCATTATTGGTTATATAACAATTTTATCTTTGTCCTATATTATTGATTCTTGAGTGTCCCGTTTTACTTTTTTTATACTTTAAAACATAGAACCAACAAAAATTCTCTCTTACATAAAATTATCAAACGGTCAATGTCATAAAACATGCCTGAGCAATAATTATATATTCTTACGTTAACAGAACAATCTATCTTGAAGACATTGATTTTAAATCGAACTTCTTTATTGAAATTAGAACGATAGTTCTTCTGTAAATATTGTCTTAAACTTAATAAATACAGTTACATTTAACACAATACATATCATTTTCAAATAATGAATTCTTACAAAAGAACGATTAAATTCATTTTATCGTTCTGTAACTATATATATATCTATTTTTTATAAAAAATAATCAATTAAAGAATTCATTATCGTTAATAATATCTAACGATAGAATATACAAAAGAAACTCTATCTATCATTGTTTGAAATGTCACATTTCACATCAATTTAAATTCATTCATCCACTAAATTGCTAATATATACCGTCCCTCAAATCGATTATTTTTTCGACCTTATCTTATCAAATTTTAGTAATATGAACGTCATTCATATTCGCTTCATTATAACTTTAAATTGAATTGCAATGTCAGTTCAATTCTATACAATATCTAATGATATATTTCTTTTAATAATCGAAAAGAAAAAACCCCGATGTAAATGTTACAGACAGGATATGTATTTATCGTTTATTCAAGATCAGATCAACCTGCTTATATTTGTCCTACTTTTTTTTCGTGTTCTGAACAATGTCAAAGATATATATCTATCAACATAATAGTTACTAGAAGAAAGAAAAAAAAGGAAGAGAAGAAAAGAATTGTCATCGCCTTTTTCTATTTCACCTATCACAATTTTTGTTAATTCAAGTTTGTTCTATTCATACACGTATGGTAATGGTCATTTATTCTTATTTATACTCACGTACAGACTATCATCAATCTATATAAATAGTCAAAGACGAGAACAGATACATATACTTATAAATGTGCAATAAATATATCAAGTTAAAATTTTAACAATTATCATTGAACGCAAAAAGAAATTTCAAATCATTTATATTTTACTTTTGAAAAAAATCAAAGTTAAATACGTGTCATCATGATTTATTATTCGACAATGTTTTTTATTTAATTTATCAGATAAAGTTATTATGTCTTCATTTCAAAAATTACTTAATCGTTTTCTTGGTCAAGTTGAAGCATCATATGAACCAAATTTAGATTCCAAAGATTCTAATACTCGTCGTAATCTAACAGCATTACAACGTAGTCAATCATTATCAAAAGTAATTAATAATCGTCGGCAACGTTCATTAGATGCATTTAAAAATGCATCTTGTTTATCATGTGGTATTAGTAAAGATGATCGACAAGTATCAATAAATGATATTGATACACTTGCACCAATATCATCAAATCATGAATATAATTTTGAAACAAAATCTTCAGTTAATCAAAATAATGAAAATACACTTTCACAACAAGTTCGACAAAAACGACGGGCAAAAACAAAATTGGTTATTATTCGTCATGGTGAACGTGTTGATACACTATTTGGTGATACTTGGTTTCATCAAGCATTTGATGCAGCAGGAAATTATCGACGTTTTCATACGAATTTACCAATGTCATTACCATATAGACAAAATTTTCAAGATTATATATATGATCCACCATTAACTGAACTTGCTCTTATACGATCATATCGAACAGGTTCGAATATTTTCTAATCATTACAAAATTATTATTATTAAGTTTTTTTTTTCTTCAGGTGAAGCTCTTTTACGAACAGGTCTTCGTATTGATTATTGTTATTCATCTCCATCATTACGTTGTATTCAAACAGCTGATTCTATTCTAGATGGAATGAAATTACGTACATTAGTACCAATACGTATTGAATTAGGTCTATTTGAATGTGCAACATGGTATAAAAATGTTATACCACATTTTATGTCAATAAATGAACTTGTTCTTAATCGTTTAAATATTGAAACATCTTATAATAGTGTACAAAAATCTTTATCAACAGATGAAAATGAATATGATTATTATCAACGATCACATTTAGTAATGCGTCAAATCTTATCAAAACATGATACAAATGATATAACTATATTATTTATTGGTCATGCACCATCATTGGAAACTTTAACAAGACAATTAATAGGTGCACAACCAAGACCTAATGAATTAGTAGAAATAGCACAAAAAATCAATTATCTTTCATTAACAATACTTGAAGGACAAAGAAATTCATGGACATTTGTAGATGCTATTCTTGCTAAACAATCGTGATGAATAGATTTCGTTCGTTCGTTCATTTTTTTTTTTGTTCTTTTTATTCAAATGTACAAAGAAAACAAAAGACAAGGATTGAGAGTGATTATGTAAATAGAAGAGATAGGTGAATACTATAAGCTTAAGAAAACAATAATTATAATTGGGATGAGTGACACATTTATTTGCGCATTGTTTTTCTTTTTCTGTTGCAAATAGTCGATTTAGTATTTATATATATATATAAACTATTGTATTCAAAATATATATTTGACGATTTTTCTATTTTTCATCACATATTAATTGGAAATTGAATATATGAAAAGAAATATATTTTATTTTCCTAACAAACAACTTTTTGATATGATTATAAAAACAAACAAAATAACGTAAACAAGAATAGAACCTATTAGGAAGGTTTAGAAGTATCAGCAATCTGAGTATTCACCATTAATGATGGATCTTGCTGTGCTTCAGCTTGTTCTTGAGCATCAATCATTTTCTTAGATTGAATTTTAGCAAAATTCATTGCCAATCGTTGATTATAATTAACATATCTTGATGTACAACGTGATGCACAATCAACCTAGATGAATATTATAATGATGATTATTATTTTTTGAAAATCTTTTTCCAACTTACTTCATTATCAAGTAAATATCGATAATTAAATGTATAAACACATCGATTAAAACATTCTTCAACAATACGATTATAAGTTTCAAGAAATTCACGAAACTATTAGATTAATAAGATAGTCTTTCGTCTTTTTTTTTTGTTAAATTCTAAAAACTTACAATATGTTCTTCAGCAGCCATAGATTACCTTTAATCTAGATTTGAAAAATAAGTAGATATTGATGTTGATTATTTACTTGTGGACAAAAAAAAGTCATAGGTTTGATGTTCTTTAAAAAGTTTTTTTTTCTTTTTCTTTTTCATACATCAATAACAATTGAAGAAGAACAAAAAAAAACAAACAAATCTCATCAGATAACAATTAAAAGAAGAAAAAAAAACTTTGAAAGTATAAAGTTAAAGAACTTTGATATTCTATTCTTGACCGGAAGTTTTTGAATTTGCCGCACGACTCGTTGTATATTGATCAGGAAAAATAAAAGAATGAGCTCCATCAGCTCGAACATGAATTAAACGACCAGCATTTGAAATAATATTCCAAGCAAGTGTTAATGTTACATTATTCGATCTATTTACAAAAATATTTTGAATAAAAAAAAATTAAAATAAAACTTAAAACAAACCGTAAATGTTCTCCATCATCCCAGAAGTAATATTTTGTTGCAAGATCACGTATGTTGATATTAGCATTTTCACCACGTCTGATTATTTTATCCCATAGAATAACTTGATTAAGACTCTAAATTAATTAATAAATATTTCAGTATACAAAAAACAAATTCTTTTCTTTTTTCACTCACATTTGCTGGTGTTACATATTCAGCTATTAAATATAAGAACAATTGTTTAACATTCCAATCGAACAATGGATTAAGATCTAAATATTTGTATTGTTTTTATAGTAAAACAAACATTGGTTTTATTATAACTTACTCATATCCATATTTAATTGTACTATGCCTAGGTCATTTTTCTTTCGATTAGCTTGAAAATCCGTCATATGTTTTCTTTATTAAATAAATGAATAAACATTTTACAATAAAGTGAAATTTTTGTTATTTTTTATTCAACTTACACAATTGGTTTATTCACACTAATTCCTACAGTTTCATGATATTGTTCAAAATACGTTGAAACAAATACTCCAGCCGTAAGTACAGCAAGAACAGTTAATGTAAAAGCAAATAAAGTATTCAATCGACTTAAAAATGAATGCATTATATTCTTATCTACAAACATAAGCATTGTGCGTTTTTTTGTCTAACATATTAAACACACCGAGCAAAGAAAGAAAAAAGAAAAACATAAGACTAGCGCAATATGAGGAAAAAGAGATTATAAAATGAAGAAAAAAAAAATAATAATTACATATCGAAATGGAGTGTTTAATATAATATAAAAAGACAAACTATCTTTTATTAGTTGCTAATAATTCATCACAAATATTTGTCAATTCAATATTTTCTTTTTTCTAAAGAAAAACAAAATAATAAAAACATCGAAATAATATTTTTTTGTATTTATAAAATATTGATTTACTTTTTGTTCTAATTCTTGTTTAACAGATTTAATTTCTTGTTCAAGTGATTGAACTCGTAATTGCGCATAACGTAATTGTGTTTGTACACCTTCCATTTCAGATGTATGTGTTTTTCTTAATCGTTCAATTTCACTATTGGCTCTAAGAAAATCGAATTATTATTATTATTTTGTTTTTTTTAATTATAAAATTTTTACTCATTTAATTTTTCTTGTGCATGTTGTTTGAGTACGGCATATTTTTGTTTTTGTTCTTCTGTATAACGAACAGATTCTTCGGAAAAACGTTTTAATGTTTCTGTATTCTAAAAAAACACGAAATTCAAATAAAATAAATTTTATTAATTTTTATTTTATTCATACCATTTTATGTTCATTTATAATTAATTTAAGTTTTTCATTTCGTTTCTTAACGTCAGTATATGCATTTTCAGCATTTATTAAATCTTCACTCATTTGATCACGTTCACTTTTAACTTGTCGTAATTCTTGTTTTAATTCTTCTGTACATTCACATACACGAAAAAGTATTCGATAATATTGTTCAACACATTCACTAAATGGACGTAAAAGATGTTCCTCAATTTGATTAAATTTTGAAAGTTTTTGTTCTTGTTCAGATGAAGAAAAATGTTCAGTTAATTCTTTAGCATTAACTCTTGGTTCTGTATGTTCGATTAATGATCGAAATAATGAAGATTTTTCCATAGGATTTTCCTGACACATAACAATACTTTTAATCATGTCTGTTTCTGTTGTTGGTTGAAATATTGTATTTTCCGTAGTTAAAAAATCATTTAATGAATTCGTATTAATATCTCTCGGTCGATATTGATCATCTTCATGAAATGATGATGATGTTGTCGATAAAATACTCGCTAGGGAAGTTAGTTTTGTATGCGGATTAGACGTGTCGTCATCAGTATTAAATAGTGTCGACATGGTGTATTTTTAGTGGAGAAAAAAAAATGTGGAGGACTACGATCGAAGCAATAATGATCTGCCAACGTATGGACATCAAGAACAGAAAAAAAAGCAAAAAAAAACAAAGTTTTTATTCTCTTTCGCTTAAGGACGCGTCGATTGGTAAAAAGAAAAACGGGAGAACGAGAGAAGAAAAAAAATGTAGATAGGCTATGACTCTTACATGATTCGCACAGGATCCATCGACGGCTGTTGCGAAGATGAAATTCCTGTAGCCGGTCGAGAAGTGACTGCAGTATCTAATGGTGTCGAGGGTGCATTGAACGGAGATTGTTTATTGCACAAATCTATTGTATTATCTTCGGCAAGCTATTAAAATATATTCCATTAAAATATCTTAAATATTTTTCTAATAAATGAAAACAGACTGTATTGAAACTATTATCTGAAGCTGGTGTTGTCGCTTTTCGTCGTTCCTTTTTTTTCAAGACAAATGTATTAGTGTCAAACGTTTTATCTGTATTGAAAGTTGGTGTTGAAGGTTGTTCTTTGAACATAAAAAGAAAAATGAACGAAACATTAGTCTTATTTTATGATATAATAATTTTTTATTAGTCAAACCTTGTCCTTCCAATGACTTATTAACATTTAATTTCATATTTTTTGTCAATGCCGTTACCGTCTCAAGAGGATTGGGTGATGATGGTGAATGGATATTTTCTTGTGGTTGTGGTATTACATATGGATATTCAACTACACAAAAAAACAAATTGATAATTAGCTCAAAAAATATACAAAATATTAATTTCATACGTGAGAATTGATTGGATAAAAGAGCTTGAGCACCTGTCGGTGTATTCATATTACTTATAGATTTCGGTGTATTTGAATCTGCTATAAAAAAAATAAAATAAATGTGAGTAAGAAAATAGAAAATATTTTAAAATCTTACGCGAATGTTTGAAATCGAATTCATTAGTATTATTATTATTATTGTTATTGTTGTTTGGTAGTTCAACTGTTAAATCAAGTCCATCAATATTCTCAGCCTAATCAAATCAATAAAGAATATTATAAAACGAGAATACCTTCGAGATTGTCTATTTTTAATATTTATTTTATAGAATAACAAAAAAAAAACTTACTTACACTATTATCTACAATTGAATCAACTGAAGGAATATTATCGTCTTTAATTTGTGGTAGTACATCAAATGATTTATTTAATTGAGGATTTCTAAAAACAAAATGATATAAAATAAAAATAAATAGATATTATATTTTACCCAAGATGAAAAACATCTTCTTTATCTTCTTGTTCATCATTATTACCATTCTCGATTGTATATGATGATTTTCTATGACCATTAATTTTTGTTGAAGGTGACGGTATGATTTCATCATCATCATCATCAATATCAACATCCATTGGAACATTACTTTGATTTAATAAAAATGAACTATTACCTTCATCACATATACGTGATGATGCTGACTGATATTCAACTGAATTTATATCTGTCATTGTCTATAAAATAATTATAAAAACAGAAAAGAAAACAAATATGAATAAAGAACAAGAGATCCATTTATATGTTTGTGTTCTTGTTTTAAAAACCAGTTTCAATTTTTTTTCCAATAATGATAATAATAATAAAAAAAATGAAACAAAACAGAAAGAATGAGAGCGAGAGAGAGAGAGACAAAGCATGAATACGCGAAAGATACAGTAAGAGTAGCAGAAGTAATAATAATAATAATATGAGAACACACACACACACAAACACACACGGAGAAAAGAAAAAACAGAATCACACATGCGACACAAGAGAGCATCATGGTATCGTCACCAGAAAGTAAAACAAATAACAACAATCAAACAATCGCACATCACAAGTTAAAAAAAGCATTATGTGTATATGCGTGGACTTTTTTTTTCAAAAAAAAAGAAGAAGACGGATTCACAAAGACAAAGATTTGTTTGTTTGTTTCTATGTTCATTAACCAACGATAAATGAATGAATACTTGTTAAGCCCCCTACTCATATAGGTTAGGCTTAAATGAATGAAGACAAAAAACGAAAACAGAAGAAAAGTTCGAAAGGAAAGGAAATCATTTACAGAGAGTAAATAAATAAACACAATCATGTGAATGCGCTAGAATGAGAAACAAATAACAAATAATGTGAATACTATGCACGACTCACGCGCAAGAGAAGAAAACATGATGAACACATTGAAGCGAAAGAACAATGAATAAGTATCAACAAAAGGAAAAGAAAATGTGATGTTTTTTTTTTTGGCTTTTTTTATATATATTGAAAGGCATAATGAAATAAAAAATAGAAGAAGAACAATAAGATCCTCACTGTAAACATGTGTGTATGTGTGTGCGTATACGATACATATTACTATCCAAACGTTAACAAAGAAATCGTGAACACTTTTATATCTCTCCCCCTTCTTTTTTTCATATATATATATATAGATATATGTATATATATATATTTTAAAATTAACTAATATTAACGACAGAATTGTTCTCTTGTTTTTCTTCTTGATTTGTCGATTGTTCTTCATCACATCTACTGCTTGTTATACTTTCTGTACTTGTACTACGTTCACGTTCATCATCTCTTGTGACTAGTTTAAAAGGTGCATCAGCAATTGAACATGGTCGAAGTTCTAGCGTAGGTAATGATATATCTTGGTTGTGTTGAGTTTGTTGATTATCATCAACTGATGTCGTGGTTGAATCAATTATACCTGTATCATTAGAATCTTTACTTGGTGATAATGAAGAATTTATTATTGTATCATTATTTGAATTTATATTTCCATTTTCCATACGTCGATTAGATTGTTGAAAAGACGAAAAATCATTTGTATGATAACGATTTGAACGTGAAACGGATGTTAATGTTGGAGGACACATATATAATGTACCAGCAGAATTAAATGGAAATGGTGGAGCTTCAGGCATCATTATACATCCATCAATTCCTGATGGATAATAATTTGTACGTGTTGGAAAAAAAGTATTAGCTGCAAGAGGATTTAAATCAGATGTTGGCCCGACTACTGGTGGAATCAATTGATACTGTAAAAAGAAAAATGGAAAAGATTATTAATTTTTTAAAATATATTTTAAATGGGTGTGGGAATCATAAATAAATACTTCTCGCGAGTTAGTAACTCTTATTAAATATAAAATCTTGTGCCTTATACTTTTTCTTAGCTAGAATCTAAAATCGGGTAAATGACATTTCGTACTACCCTTTATGAACATCTGACAATATGACTGGAAGTTCGAAAACAAATGTTTTTTTTTGAGGGTGTGGTTGTGGGTGTGCGGGTGAGGGCGTGAGTATCTGTCTTCGCTTAGCCCACACCTCGCCTAAAATCAATATACGTAATTATCCCGAGAATTTTTTCTTACAAAGTATCCTATATATAATAAATATGCACTCCTTAAATATTCCTATCACGATCTTACTGATAATCTCATTCCTTTAATTTATTCTAACGTTTCATTGTAATAAAGAATTTATTTGTGTAACTTACATATTGTTGATCACGTGGAAATATTTTCAAATCACCAAAATGTACTTGTTCGTAATTATTATAATCACGAAATACAACAGTACAATAAGGAGGTTGAATTTGAACAATATTAGCAGGATAAAACTACAGAAATAAAATAAAAACCGAATAAATATTGGTTTTAATTCTAATATTTCAATTATACTTGTCGATCTTCATTCCAACGTGCTAAACATACATCACCTATTCTCCAACGTGGTCGTGGATTCTAGAAAATAAAATATATATTTTTAATTGAATATATTTTTTTTTGTTTAATTAATCATACTGGGTGTGAATCTCGTTGTTTATCTTCATGTTGTTCATTAACAATCTGTTGAGAATTAGTATTTCCATCATTTGATGATGAAGTTGATGATGCTGATGATGCTGAATTTACTTTTTGTTCGCTTGATAAAGATTGAGATTTATTTTCAATATCATTATTATTATCATCTTGTTGGGATTCATTTGTTGATTTTTTTTCATTTTCATCAACAGATGAATTTGTTTGTAAAACAGATGGATTATTATAAGCTTTTGAATCATTATTGAAACCATTTGTAGATGTTGTTGGAAGATAAGTTGGAGGTGCATATGGAGTTCCATAACAATATGTTAAATGATCATTTGTATAGGAAGGACCAATAGATGGTTGTTGATTATGAAATGATGCATTTGGAATACCAGATAAACTATATGCTAATGGGCCCTAATTTTAAAAAGAAAAAAAAAGGTAAAATCGAAATTATTTTTGTTTTCATACTGGATTAGTCTGGAAATAAGCAAGATGCGTTGGTGTTGAACCATTAACAGTTGCAAGCATATTCGCATGTGGAACATAATTAAGAGCTGTTGAATGTTGTTGATTTGTTGATGAATTATTCGGTAAATAGGATGTTTGATCACCACGTCGTGAATATGATGAGGAAGACAATGAATGATTATTTGTTGTACCATTATGATAATTATCATTTAGTTCACCTCCAGATACTAATATTGATCCATCATAATAACGATTTGTATTTCGACGTGTTCGTTCTTCATGAGCACGTTGAAGTCTAAAAGTAAACAAAAGACTTTTTTTTATTCCTTATAGGATTTAAACGACACTTGTATTACTTTCTATAACATGCTATACGTTTTGTTTTTACTAATCTCAATGTCAATATACTTACAATATCTTATGTAATTATGTATCAATCATTATGTTATACCTTCATGTCATTATTATATAATTATTTTAGACATGTCAAATGTCGATTATTGTCTGCAATTATTTAGCTAATATTTATGTTCAAGTCACGTTGACATTGATTACATTTATGTCTTTTTAGCAAAATTTATTTTCAATAGAAGAAAAGAAAAAGAAAGACCTTGTACTACTTTTGTCATGTAGAAAAAGCTTTTTTCTTTTTTTTTGATTGGATCTTTTGTATTAATATTTAATATTAACAAATTAAGAAATTTTTCATTTTCTTTAGTAATTTCTATGAAAACAAACCTAGGTGGTAAAGGATTTCTTCTTTCACGATAATTTGAATGAGATGGATCATCTTCAGATTCAAGTTGATCATTATTAATAGGATCTTGTTGAAATGTTATTTGATCTGTATAATTATTCTGATTATTTGTTTGATATGAATGATTAGAATTAGTCGTTATTAATGAATTCGTTGTATTATTAATACCATTATTTATTTTATTTGTTTGATAATATTGTTCAGTATTTTGACGTTTATTTTCAAAACGTTCTTTTGATTTTTGATTATCATTATTATCATTTATTTGTTTTGTATCATTTGAGATTTTTAATGAAGTCATAAAATCCATTAAAGTATTTTTCGGTGGTGGTCGTTTAAGAAAATTTGATTCATTATCATCATTATCATGTCGTGTACTATTATTACCACCACCACCACCACCTATCAACGAATGAGTATACATAACCTATGGAAGAATAGCAAAATTGAAGACTTACGTCGTCCTTCATATGAGGGTCGATAAGATCCACCTCCACGTCCCTGAAATAATAAAATAGAATGTTAGATTTAAAAATTCAAATATCATTCAAATTAAATATACTCGATATGCAGATCGTGGTCTAGGATATGTATTACTACCATATTGAAAACGTGTATTGTCATGTGTAAGTTGTAATAAACCATCTTTGATTGGTATTACACCGGTTAATAATAATTTACAACCGGGTCTTATATTAAAACTAATCGAAATAAAAATAATTATTTGCTAGTTTTTTTTTGTTATTTAAGACATACCTTAAATCAGGAATATCATCAATTGTAATACCTTTAACAGTTATAATGCCATCTGTTAGAGTTAAAAGCAAAGAACTATTGTCATTTGTTTGTTGATTATTATTACTAAATTCTATTGTAGGTTCAATACCATCGATTTGCACAAAAAATGTGCCTTTGATCTATATAACAACAAAAAAATATTATTTCATTCTTCTAACGAGATCTATTGAATTCCTATGAGACGTTTAGATTTATAATTTTTAGTTATAGATATGTTTAATTAATCAAAGTGGTATATAAAGTGAAGAATAATTTTTACTTACCGAAGATTTCATTTTACGATCATTGGCTGTTCCAAATAAATCTTCAGGTAAAGGTTTACATGAAGATGATCGATGAAAATCAACCTTAAATTTAAAAACAAACAAATTTATTTTATTTTGTCAATAAATAAATTTACTTCTTGATAATCTTTAATATATAGTGATGGTCGTTCATTATCATTCAAACCGGCATTAACACCGTTATTAACAGGTGTTGTTAAATCATCTTTATCTGCTATCACAGTTACCATATTAAGAGAGTTTAACAAAGAAATAAAAACGAAAAAAGATAATCCGTCAATACAATATATATATATAATATCACTCAAACGATGCCAGGATGATTAATCGTGTTGAATGTATGTATATATATATTTATATATATATATATATATATACGAATAAAATAATAACTAAAAAACAAAAGAAGAATGAATATGATGATTCATCAAGAATAGATTTCTTGTTTATGTATTTATCAATAATAAACAAAAGAAAAAAGATTGGTTTTTCTAATCAATCAAAATTATTTTTGATTTTTATTATTTTTTTTTCTTTCTTCCGAATATTGATTGTCGATGTGCGTTTTTCTTTACTGTTGTTTTCTCCAATAATCGTACATCGATCCATAGAATATCTGTTCGTCAATAGTAACACCAATCATAATCAAAAGAAATATATAGAATATTGTTTTAATAAAAAAACAAAAATGCAAATCTTTTTTCGGAAAGAAATATTTTTGAGAAAATTTAATCTTAGAAAGAATTTTTTTTATTTTAAAAAAATTATTTTTTTTTTGAGAGAATTATTTTAGTGAATCCGTTTACAAGATAATTTTGTAGGTAGACCCTTCTGGTTTATTTTCTATTTTTCGAGAATATTTTTTTTTCTCTCTCTCTCTCTTTTCTAGTTGCGCGTTCTTTCTATAGGATCGTTTTTCTTCTATTTCAAACGACGTAAAATATCTAGATAGTTTCTCGTAAGATCGAGAATGAAACATCGATTCCTTGGCTGTTGATATAAAAAGGTAGAATATTCCAAGAATATTTCATTCCTAATGATTTGATGATTTAGATTTAGATATGGCCGATTTACAGGCCGAAATCGAATTAACAGTTGAATTAAGAAAATTTTTCAATATTGATTTATTTGTGCAAGGGTAAGTTAAATGAGACAAAAAAATATGTTTTCTTTTAATTATTTTTGTTCTTATAGTTATTATCAGATTCGAGCTGGAATTAAATTTGCACCACGAATTCAAGCAGCAACGAAAGTTGAAGTTAAATCCGAAACCCCACCTGTCTATGGTATAGAATTAGAAAAAAATAATAATATGTGTAATTATTTATTTTATTCTATAGATGATTATCGTGAACAAATATATCCTGCTTGTGTACTTAATGATTGGGGTGTCAGTAAAACATTTATGATTTTATATAAAAATGAAGAAGTTGAACTTGAAGATCAATTTAATTTTAAACTTTCAATTATTGTTGATCCTCAAAATGTAGGAGAAAAAATATTTTTGTTTTAAATTTAATTTTATAAAAAAAATAATTATTTGGTAGATTACAGATTGTTTTAATCGAATGGATATGCAACTTTGTATTGAACTTTATTTTGTTGAAAAAGAATATTTGTAAGTATTTTAAATAATTAATTGAGTATAGCCTCATGTTTAATGAAAAAAGATAATCCGACTCTCCATCCTTTTTTTCTGTCATACTTTGTCTAATTAAAATTTATATATTTAGACCGGAAAAAATCTCAGCGATCCAACCATTATGTAGTCGAAATTATAAATTACATTTTAATCCACGTTTAGGACTTCATATTCATGTTCCCATATTCTTCGATTATTTTCATTTATCTGCATTAACAGTAACTATTCATGCGTCACTTCTTTGTCTTATTCCACCATATGTATTCGATCGGTAATTTAGAGAAAAAACACAGGAATTTATTCGAGATTTTTATTTATAAATTTTTAGACCAAATGTACGTCAAACATCTTTATTTAGTTTTCTATTTGATCAAGATTTATCTCAAGTATTTTAATTTTTTTATCATTAAATATTTCTATTGCTTTTTTTTAAAACTAGATAACAACTGATCAAATAAATTCGAATTTACTTGATCGAGCATATCATTTGCACAATAATATATGTGAAATACTTCTTTCAGCTTATGAATCTTTACAAGATTTTTATGAAAAAATGATTGAACATTTACCATCAAATCAACAAAAACCAATACATAGTAAATATTCTTGCAAAATCTTTCCCATCAAATATATTTTCATCTATTTTCTAGATCATCAAAAATGTCGTCAGAGATTAAAAACTCTTTGTGATAAACTCAAAGTAATTATATAAAAACTAAAAGAAAAAATTCATTATGTATTTTCTTTTGCGTAGAGTTTAGATGATATTCATACAATAGATAATTTAGCACATGCACATATTGCTCAATGTTCAGCAGAAAATATAATGCTTTGGTGTCAATTTATTGACAAATTTGGTTTACATGACATTCCAGAAAAAATTCTTGCGAAAGAATATCATTTAAAACGAGTAAGAAAAAAAACTTTTTTTTTATTTACTTGTTCTTTCGCAATAACTTTGCGCAATAACAGCTTTCTGATGTAATATATAATAACATTCATTTTATAGGTAAAACGTTTGTCAGAAGGTTTCTTTGTTCGTGAAATATCACGAATTAATCTACTAACAGACGAGTATGAATCTCTTTGGCTTTTTTGTATTAAAATAAACTTCTTCGTTTTTTTATTCATTAGAAGTGAAACATTTAGTGATTTACATGAACTTGTTAGAAATTCTTTGTATTATTCACGTTTACCACATTTACCAATTGAATGTGTTGAACTTGATGGAGTACCATATACATTACCAACCCTTATTGAAGAAATTTATTCACCTGTTGATGAAAATTCAATAATAATTCCATCATCATTAAATGAAAAAACTAATGATGAAAAACCAATTTTACAAACAATGCAAAATATTAGTAAGAATCGAGTTTTTACATTTTATTGCAACATATTTATCCGAGTATAGTTTCGACAGTCAGTTCTATCTATCACTAATACATATTATATCGTTTATCATTAACATAAACCAATTGAGCTTTTCTTTTCATTAGATAAAATCGATCCAGATTCTAGTCATAATATTAGTGAAAAAGTAATTGAAAAAACTAAAAATTCTGGTTCGAATAGTATCACATCTCCACGTATAAAATCTCAAGAACAAAAAAAAGGAAACATTTCATCAGCTAATAATAATTCGAAACCACTTGTTCGTCAACCATCAATGAAACGTTTTCTATCATTTCGAAATCATTCACAATCAAATATTCATCCTGTTCTAGCAATATCAAATGAACCATTTGTTAAATTAACTTCAATACGTAAGTTTAATCAAGATTCAACATCATCATCAATACAATCCGATGGAACAAATTCTTCATTAGGTTTATTTTCAAATCAATCAAATTCAGATTTAAATCTAAGTCTTTCGAAAAGATCAAATTCTTCATGTTTATCTAATCAAACAGCACGGTCTTCATTACCAAATGTACCATATCAACGATGTAATAGTGCATCAACAACAAATATAAATCTGTCTGAATCATCAGTTATTCCACCATTTTTATGTACAAATGATGATGATGTTTTTCAAACAACTGATCCAGTTGAAGCTGCTGCTGCATCAACATTTGGTGATTCAAGTATGAAATCAAAAGTTTTACGAGCATCATTTCATGGTAAACATAATACAATGGATCGACGTACAACTGATTCAACATCAATACGATCATTATCAACATCATCAACAACAACACCACATAATAATGTAAGACAATCATTAACTAGTCAACCAAAAGATTTGATTACAAAATCTAATGATGATACTATAACAAAACAACCAGTGAATTATCCACTTGATTCTGTTCTTAATTTTACTTTACAATTAGAACAAAAAGCAACAGCAGATATTCAACGTCGACATACAATTTCAATGGATAATATTAATCCTGTACTATCAGATGTTTTAACTGACGATGAAAATCAATTAAAAGAAAATAAACAAGAAAATGATCGATTACAAAAGAATTCATCAATTAATAGTCAAACTATTGAGTAAGTTATTTTTATTAAATATTAAATGAATTTATCTAATCAAGATATTTAGATATGTTGTTTATAAAGAAAAAATGAAAGAATTAATATTATCAAAACATTTGTCAAATTTAATGTTTTTTTCTGATTTTTCAATTCCAATATCACCCATTCCATATTTTTCTCAAGAAAATATATCTGAAGATTTTAAAGAAACTCATCTTATAGTATGTGTACATGGTTTAGATGGAAATTCTGGTGATTTACGTTTAGTAAAAACATATCTTAATTTATGTTTACCATCAGAACAATTAGATTTTCTTATGTCATCTTCAAATCAATCATCAACATTTGATGATATTGATATTATGGCTAAACAACTTATTGAAGAAATTGATTTACATATTGATCGTTATGATTTAAAACCTCAACGTATTAGTTTTATTGGTCATTCATTAGGAAATCTTATTATACGTGCAGCTGTTAGTCATACAAATTTTGAACATTATCGACCGATACTTTATACATATCTTTCGTTATCTGGACCACATTTAGGAACATTATTCAATACAAGTGGTTTAGTTAATATGGGTTTGTATTAATTCATACAAAAATAAACAAAACAAAAACAATCTTTTTGGTTTTATATAGGAATGTGGTTAATGCAAAAATGGAAAAAATCATGTAGTTTATCACAAATGTCATTTAAAGATCATATCGATCCAAAAGAAACATATTTATATAAACTTAGTAAAAAACCTTGTAAGTTATTAGAAACGAAAATATTAAAAGAATATTTAATAATTTATTTTTTTTATTTAGGTTTGGAATTTTTTAAAAATATTTTATTAGTTGCTTCTCCACAGGATCGTTATGTTCCATTTCATTCATCTCGTATTGAAGTTTGCAAAGCTGCATTGAAAGATACAGTTTATGGTTTGTTGTTTAGTTATAATAGAATATTTAATAGTTTTAGTTTTATCTGGAATTTTTAAATAGTCAGTTTATTTAAGAATAAGAATTTTACGTTAGAACTGTCAGATTATATCTTTGAGAAAAAAAATATCTATTCTGAATAGTCAAGTATGAGTGAAATTTTCTTATTTCACTTCAAAATTATGAATATAGATGTGGAATATACTAGTATATTGAAAGAAAATTCTTAAATTTCTAAAAATTTCCATTCTGCGCATTAGTCCCTCGAATATTCTATGCGATCGATGACTCATCCAGAATGTTCTCTGCTTTACGTGAAGTCTCTTATATATATATATATGTGTGCGTGTGTGCGCACATGCACTCTATCGTAGTCGCACATGTATATAGCAGAGTATGTATTTCTATTATTTGAATCATATTTTCAGGCTCGATATATTTGCAAATGATAAATAACTTACTTGAACCGATACTTGGTAATCCATCAATAACATTTGTTCGTTATAATGCTTTTCATAGCATCCCAGCGGGTACTAACAATATTATTGGTCGTGCAGCACATATAGCTATATTGGATTCTGAATTGTTTGTTGAAAAACTTATATTGGTTAGTGCTGCAAAATATTTTAAATGATATTCAATAGACGTATGTGTATATATTTTTAAAGATCTGACTTCTGTTTCTTCTCTTTATCATTCTCATTTCTTTTTTTTTTTGTATTTTTATTTATTTATCCGGTTTGACATCGATGATTTACTTTCTGCAATGTATTTTTTGTTTGCTTGTTAGATCACTTTTAAGATTACCAACATTATCAATTAGTTTTTTTTGTTCATATCTTTGATCAGATATATATACATATACATATATATACGGAGAAACAGATGCCACTATGAGAAAATTTTCATTCATGCAATAGAATTTATTTTTCAGATATACATATATTTTAATATAATTAAACATGCCATTAGCAACTGATCTTCTTCATCCATCAATCGACAAGGAACGTCGAAAACATAAGAAGAAACGACTTGTGCAAAGTCCAAATTCATACTTTATGGATGTTAAATGTCCAGGTTGCTACAAAATTACAACAGGTAATAATAAATAAAAACCTTCTTTCTTTTTAATCAGACTAAAACCATTATTTTCTTCTTTTTCTAATTTTAGTCTTCAGCCATGCACAAACTGTAGTTTTATGTGTTGGTTGTAACTACGTACTTTGTTCACCATCAGGTGGTAAAGCTCGTCTTACGGAAGGTTGTTCATTTCGTAAGAAACGCGATACACCATTGGCACGCAAAGATGATAATGAACGAAACTAAACGATATATTACATATATTCAAGCAATCCAAAACATACGATCATTAGAATATCTTTAAAAAAAATCGTTTTCTTGTTTGTTTTTGTTGATTTTTTCATCTTTTGTTTGTGTGTAAAAAGAATAAGAAATAAAAAAAAATCGTATTATTCGAAAAATCACATTTATTCAATACTTAAAATTAAAATGATTATTAGGTATCATATTTATTTAATATCATCAGCTGACTTGAAACTACCAACCCTATTTACAACCCTTTTATATATATTTCACCCGATGAATTTTTTTTTATAGTACATCCTATGGTGAGAGGGTGTAATGTTATTTCTCGTTTTTTTTTTGTCTTCCTATCAATCGTCCTTATAGAGTCAGTAGCACATCATATTTGTAATGGCGATAGTCGACTATCTTTCTCTATTTCTCTCTCTCTCCGTCACTCGCTCGCTTTTTACCTCTCTCGAGACGCATGACGACGGCATTTATATGCATACATGTATTCACGTTCGTTTTGTTTGCCTATATGTTATTTTCTTTTCTTCATGTTTTTTTTCTTCTTCTTTTTCTTTTTCTTCTCTTTTTCTCTTTTTCTCTCTTGATTGTAAGCGAGCAAGAGAAAAAAGAGCGACATATAAATAGAGGGCGATGATGAAGGGCTCGCTGTTGGTTTTTTCCGTCATTTTATTCGTGTGTATGCATATCATCAATGCTGGTGAGAAGGAACGTGGTTCGAATCTACACTCGATCGTTCTCTTTTCTTTTCTCGGGTAATGTACATCGTCATCGCTTCGCTGTCTTATATATTTTGGAGTGAGAGAAGAAATATAAAACACCCACTCTTTCTTCGTCTTTCTTTTCTATTCTAGACGATGACGTTGGCAAATGGAGATCGATGCCCAATTGCATCCGTTCGTTTTATTAAGAAAATATAATAGAGAGTCAAATAAATGGTTTTTTGGTTGAAAAAAAATAATAATGGGCTATTCGAATAGAGAGAGAATGTTGTTGAGTGAAAAAAAAACATGTACATTTTGTCAAATAGATTGAACACTCACAAAAAAAATCTTATATATGTAAGCTGAAGTGTCGGTGCACAATATATATACATCGTCCATCAAATGCTGATCGATAGAGATACAATCGAGTGCTCTGCTACTTGCAATATGACATGTTTTTCTCGAACTCATTTTAAATATAATTTTTTTTTTAATTTTCTCATTATAATGCCAAGAGGAAAAAGAAAGAAAGAAGAACGCAGGAATATAAAATCTGAGTATATTAACTGAGAAAGTCGATATAAATATTCGACGGTTTTTATTTCTATAGATGTCAGCAGTTATTGGTAGTTAATAGTTCCACTATAATTCATGAAACTTAATCTTAAATTAAGATTAAAATGATAGGAGAATTGAATTATTGAAATTTCTAATGATTATCATTATTAATAAATGTTCAAATGCATGTAAATGAATATTTTGTGTATAGATGTCGTTAAATATCATTAGATAGTTCATATTATGAGCTGAACACGTGAACGTATGTCCATGTGTTCTAGATATTCACCAAAACAAATGAACATACGAAGAACAAGTGTACAGTGTGGTTGTTGTTGTTCTTCTTCTTCGTATCAACGTCGTTATTATTCAAAATTTCGATTGAAAAAATCAAGGTATGATGCCTAGAACTCACACACAAGACATCAGAATTTAATTTTTCTCAAAAAAAAAATTTCTGTTGGTGTGAAAGGCAGAAACAGTTTTTTTAAGAAAAGAAAAAGATCATCAACATCCACTCTTACACTTATTCTATAAAAAAAACACATATCGATATTGCTCCGAAAGAGAAAAATTCCATTAAAACAAAACTCATATGAGGTTTTTTCTATTGTTTTCAGATAATTTTTTCCATATTTAAACAAAGAAATGGATTTACAGCCAACGCGACAATTGGATTATTTACAACGAACACTTTCAATATTTTTGACAAATTCATCTGATATGTCCGAACAATTGGAATCATTGATCGATGAACTTATTCAAGAAAATAAACAAATTAATAAATCACCAAAGGTTAGTTTGTTTTTATACGAATAAAAAATAATAAATTCTTTCTTGTTTTAGAGTTCTCCTGAACCTATAATAACAGATTTTAAATCTGAAGTATTATCTACAACAACTTCACCTCAACCGTTACCTGTATGTTTATTTTTAAAAAGTACTTTTTTAATACTATTTTGTTCTTGTTTTAAATAGAAAAAACGTTCAGCACCGTTAGCAGCAAATTCTAAACCGCCGCCATCAAAACGTTTAAAGACTTTAACAAGTAAAGAAGATGATGAAAGTTCGAAAAAGAAAACTATACAAGTAGAAGAAAAAAATGATAAAGATGATGATATATATGATGATGAAAATGATAGTGATGATATTAAAGTTAAACCTTCAGAATCTCAGACAAATCCATCAACATCATCGTCTCGTGATATTGATGAATTTGCAATTGAATTAGGTCTTGTGTGTTTCAAATGCAAGTAAGTCAAATCTAAATTTATTTATTTAGTTTTTTGTTCATAATCAAAATTCTTCTTTTAAGGTTACTTGCCGAAGAAAAAGATAATCGTCTGGTTGAATGCCATGAATGTCATAATAAATATCATCAAAAATGCCATAAACCACTAGTTAGTACAGCTGATATTAGTGATCCTCGATGTTTATGGTATTGTTCAAAATGTCGAAAAATAATTAATAAAAGAGTAAGGATTTGTGAAAAACCCTTTTTTTGTTATTTCTTAAAAACTAAATGTTTCTATTTTAGCAACAATCGCAATCTTCACTTAAAGAAACTAAAGTAACTAGTAACTCTTCTTCATCAACTACTAAGTCCAAAACTAATGAATCACCACTATCTACTGCGAAAAAGAGTATACCAAGCTCAATTTCCGATGTATCTACTGGATTGTTTTCATTTAAACCAAAGGTAAAAATGAAGATTTTGTTGTTTTTTTTTTGTATTTCCTAATAAATTTATTTTTAGTCATCTGAGTCGATTACATCAGATAATTCAATCTCGAATAATCCATCTATATCAAATTCAAATTCTTCGTTAACTAATGGTACAACTACAAAAAATACAAATGGATGGGCTTCATTAGCAACTGGATTTAAAGAAAAAAAAACTACAACTGAATCAACTAATTCTTCAGCAACATCAATTCTTGCTGAATTAACAGCATTAACGTCATCAACTAATAGTAATAATACTAAACATTCACCACCATCACCTAAATCATTGACATCAACATCACTTAATCCTCTATTAAAACAATCAATAAATAATAATATCGGTACGACTAGTACAACACTATTAAAAAATACCAATCCATCAATAAAATATAATATACCATCTTCACCTCCGGTATTGAAAACACAATTATCATCATCAAAATCTACACAAAAATTAATATCAACAACTAAAAATCTTCAAAGAATTAGTTCACCGACACCACTCGGTCGACAAACATCTATTATTAAATCTCCTCCATCAGCAACTACTCCAGTCTATAATCGTTTAAATAGTTCGGGTAGTAATAGTTCAGGGAGTAATTCTCCATCATCAACTAGTACAAATGCTAAAATAGCAACTGGTTTCGATTTTGAAAAACGTTTAAAACAAATGAAAAAAATGGCTGCAGAAAAAAGTTTGACTAAAAAAAT